CCACCCCCTGCAGCATCTGCCGCCCCCCCCCCACCTCCGCCACCACCACCACCACCAGCATCAGCACCACCTCCCCCCCAGCGACCAACTGCCTCAATGCCAGTAGCTGCCATAAAACATGCCCAATCCCTCGAGGGAGCCAAAGTCCAACTACCCCCAGCCGATTACACTCGTGAGATCATCGGGACTCGAACCGAGCAACGAGTCAAGATGAATCGCATGAGACTGCGCATTGCAGAACGTCTCAAGGATGCACAGAACACAAATGCCATGTTGACGACATTCAACGAAATTGACATGAGTAAAATCATTGAATTCAGGAAGGAGAATCAGGAGAGTTTCACCAAAAAATATGGTCTCAAACTGGGATTCATGAGCCCATTCCTTGCTGCAAGTGCATACGCATTGAAGGACCAACCGGTTGTCAATGCTGTTATCGATGGAGGTGATATTGTTTATCGTGATTACGTTGATATTAGTGTTGCTGTTGCCACACCAAAGGGACTGGTTGTACCTGTACTTAGGAGCATTGAGAATAAAAACTTTGCGGAGATTGAAATTGCACTGGCTGCCATTGGAGACAAGGCTAGAAAGGGCAAGATATCGGTGGAGGATATGGATGGGGGAACCTTCACTATTAGCAATGGAGGAGTATTTGGATCACTCATGGGAACGCCTATCATCAATCCACCGCAGAGTGCTATTCTCGGAATGCACGGGGTCTTTGATAGACCTATTGCTGTCAAGGGACAGGTAAATAGATTCATTTGATGTTCATTTTCAGTTGATAAAAAAATAATAATTACGGTGTGGTTCATTTAAATTTTTGTTAAATATCCAAAAGAACTCAAGGAATGTTGTTTTCATTTTCTTCAATATCTCTTGAAATCTTTTGGACATTGTAAGAATAATTTATGAAGTAAAAATGAATTAATCAATTGATGATTTTTACAGGTTGTCATACGCCCGATGATGTACGTCGCCCTGACTTACGATCATCGATTGATTGATGGTCGTGAAGCTGTTATGTTCCTTCGTAAAATCAAGGACGCTGTTGAAGATCCCAGAATCATCCTTGCTGGTCTCTAAAGTCAACTTAATGAGTTATCTATGTTCAGGGACAATGGCAAGTTCATTATTTCTCCCAATCGACTTACATCGCAATCATCTAATACCCCATTCTCTCTCAATCACACACAAGTCTGGATAAATGTACAGTATCATGTTATATTTAATATTATGATGAGTGAAAAAGAATTTAATACAGAAAAATTTGTGACTGAATCAGTGAGAAAATAAGTTTATCGACAGTTGTAATTCGTTGAGTCATTAAATGTGTTATTGAATTTTATCATTTCAAAATAATGGAGGGCTTTTTCATGTTCGGAGAGGAAAATGCTCAAATGAATGCGATGTACAGGCGATTTGAGCACAGATTGTTGTATATAATATGTAAGGGAGGAATTAATTGCTCTTGTGGGTGAATCGAAAAATCGTAAAGCATAAATTTTCATTTTCACAATTACATCGACGACTAAATACATCATCGAGATTATTGAGTAGATGGAGAAATAATTACTCAAAATATCAGGATCTCAAGAGTGATTACGAGAAACGTGGATGAGCGAAGATAGAAAATTCAAATATCATTTTTAGTACTCGATTGATTTATCGCGTTTTTCATGCCCCTGTAGTTATTTATTTCATCGAATCGGTCCAAAAATCTCCCCCAAGTTTTCAGATGAAGTCATCGGTAAACAATGAAAACAATGCGATAAAGTTTAGATCACAATGAGAATACGGTTTCAATCGAATTGAAAGTGAAAGTTAAATAAATTATTTAAAAAAGTATTACGATAATTTTTTATTATTTATTTCCTGCTGTACGATATTACCCCTCTGGTGGTTTGAATTGTAGAAGAATGAGCAGATACGTCACGAGCATTCCAAAAATCTGAAAGACCAACCCCAGTGGTCAAAATATACTCATTAATTAGTGGAATAAGTATCTTGAGGAGTTCTTACAGAATGCAGTAATGTACAATCCAATGAGAAAATTCCACACGCTGTGAATTGAACATTTTTGTGCAGCAATTCAATAGCAAAATTATTCAGCTGATATACGACATCTGCATCGGGTGGACACATCACGATGATATGATAAACAATGTCTGCAGTTCGTTTAGCCTGAACAAAAATTGTTGATCACGAGATTGTAATCGACATTTTTTAAAGATAATTTTACGAGAAAATTGTACCCACTTCTTCATGAAACATAGCGACACTCACACTCAGTATTACGATGGGGTATAATTCCATGAAAGTCCAGAAGCTTGAATTAACTGAGAGAATTACAGGCGAGCTACTCTTTGACTCCATAAGAGTCATGAGGAAGAAATAACAACTGGAGACAGAAGAGCAGGAGCAATGAAAAATCACTAGTAACACTGGAAATGAATAGAACTGAGAAACTTGGAGGGATATATTGTAGATCATTGCCCGTGCTCGAGTGAATGTAATGAATTTCTCAACGGTCAACTGATTGTTCGAGGAGCTCCCAATGTAGAACGAATTTCCTTCAGACACAGAACATCTGCTGATGGCATCATTGAGTCCCTTGAATCTATCTCTGATAATTATATTAATTAAACTGTACTGTAATAGAAACCAGCTGCAGAAAATAATTCCAAAACCTGACGCGACGAAGAATAATGTGTCTCCAGCCATGACTGATGTTACGAAGAATGCAATCCAGAGGAACAATTGCATTACAATTGCCATAAATTTTACAAAGTCCCCTAATGTCTTGTCACACACTCCGAGCCACGTGTCCCCATATTTTTGATCGAATTCACTCAACCGATTTCCGATTGCAATAATATGTCTTTGAAAGAGTAAATAAAACATTATTATCGTAACAACGATTATATTAGTTTGCACTGAGAGTACTACAATGATCATCATCGAGGTAACAGAGTCATTTGGGTATGGTATTTCGTACAGATTGGGAACAGCTACTATATTTATTCCGAGGAAGAACATGACCAGTGATATACTGTATACACAGCCGATTAACGAATACGACCACGTGAGGGTAAACTTCACTGTCTTTGAGGAGTGAACACCAATGTCGATGTTACATGGGGCTAGACCCAAGAAGAATGAGATTATTACAGAAGTTTGAAGCATGATGAAATGGATTTTCGAATAGATTTTTGAATATTGCATTTTGATGGATTGAGGTTTCAGTCGAGACTGATTGAGTGTTTTGCGACAGGAACAATGAAAAGAAATTGCGACGGAAACAATGCAATTTGTTGATGGATAGGTATTCTCTTTACAAAATTATGTACACCATTGTTCATTCATCTGATAAGCAGAGGAGATTTTTTTACGATTAGATCGAAAGGAAAAGCGAAAAAAAATGCAATTTATTGATGGGTATGTGTGTATTCCACTCGTCCCATTATGTACAACACCATTACTCATCCTTCTGTATCAATTATTCGTGAGTTTTCACTCAGAAATGAAAGAGGATCATGTCTCTCAGTCAGTCGCAATAGTTGAATCATTTTGAAATTGTTTGTTATGCAAAAGTGGAACCCTCACTCCATAATGATGAAGAATGATCATTCAATTTTTTGAATCACTCCCCGCTGGTTTGAATTGCAGAAGAATTAGCAGATACGTTACAATCATTCCAAATATCTGCAAGGACAAATGCAATATTCAACAAATTATAATGACCATATATAATAATTTCTTACTGAATGCAATAGTGTGCAGTCTAACGAAAACATTCCACAGGCGTTGAACACGACTCTCCTATGCAGCAACTCAATAGCAAAATTATTCAACTCAGACTCGATGTCTTTATTCGGCGCATACGTCTCCATAATATCATAAACAATGTCTGCGGTTTTCTCTGTCTAGAATGGCAATGTTATTCTCAAATAATGCACATAAAATCAGTTCAAAGTTACACATACTTCCTCATGAAATGCATCCACACTTGTACTCAGCATTACGATGGGATATAGGGTAATAAGTGTCCAGAAGATTGAGTCAATTATAATAATATTGGTGAAAACATCCACTTCTGGGTCTATCAACGTTAGAACGCAGTAATACATGCTGTTGACAGAGCAGCAACAGCAATAAGAGATAATTATTAGAACTGGAAACGAGTAGAATCTAGAGACTTCACGTGTTATTTTGTGAATTTCTTTCCGTGCCTGTTTCATAATGCTCAAATTTTTGATGATCAACCGATCATTCGTGACACTCCCTCGAAATAATGAGTTCTCTTCGAATCCAATTGGATATTTAGCTGTGGCAAGTAGAGCATTATTGATTCCTTCAAAACGACCTCTGAGAACAAGAATAACTAAGCTGTACTGGGTTAAAAACCAGCTGAAACAGGATGCCCATACACTTGAGTTAAGGATATAGACTTCTTCTTCAGCTATTCCCGTTGTTACTAGCAGACCAGTCCAAATGAAGAAGAGAAAAATAATTGGCATCATTCTTCGAAAGTCTCTGAACGCATTGGCCCTCCTCCCAATGAGTTTATCACCATATTTTCTATCAAATTCGTGGAGTTGATTGCCAATTTTGATAATGCGTCTTTGCAGAATTGCATGGGTACTGATTATCACGATAGCTCCAATATTTCCCATTGTTGAGAGAGTAATTGTGATTGTTTTCAATGTTTTTGAATCATTTGGATATTGCATTTCTTCCAAAAGTGGCACACCAATGACAATTATTACAACGCATAACATGATCAGTACAATATTGTATGCACATCCCACTCGTGAATATGAAAATATGAGTGTGAGGTCAATTCTCTGAGCAGATCGATTCACTATTTTTATACTGCACGGTGCTAAACCCAGCAGACTCGAAATTATATAATTAATTCTAAATATGATGAGATATATTTTTAGGAGAATCTCCTTGGACTTCATTTTACTGGATACGACACTTCAGTGAAGAGGACAATTGTAAATGATATTGTAATTTTTTCAGGGCATATCAAATACTCCCATCGGTGCAATTAGCTAATGATGCATCATGTTCCACCTTAACGGCACTCCAATTGCGGGCGTAGAGTCGTGCATTTTTTATTACATCGAAAGAATCGTTCTTGTGTATCTTTCATTTATTCTCTGAAGATTTATTCTCTGAAGATATTGAAATTTTATTTCAACGTGAAAATTCTATGTCAATACTACGAAGTAGGAACTACTCGACTGTTAATGAGAAATATTTCTCACTAATTGTACAAGTGTACAATCCAAGGAGAAAAATACGCACGCTGTGAAATTAGCTTCCTTCACTATTTGTTCAATTGCGAAATTATTCAACGGTAAAGTATCAAATTACCAGATCAATGAATTGTAGTAATAATTCGTCAAAAGGTTTCAATATCTGATGCTCCATTTCCCTGGCGGACCCATATGCCTCCCCCTGCGCACATTATTTTAGATTATCAATCTTCTTATCTATCAACTTAATGATCCGATCGCCTAACTGGAATAATTTAATCATAATGGGAAAATAAATGTAGAAAATTCGAGTTCAATCATTCCGCGAGTTCACTCAAGGCGAATAATTTAACAGGTGCCCACTGGTGCATTTAAAACTGGCTCGTAGTCGCATTTTCCTCAGTTCGTCTAGTTCGTTTTTTTAGATCATGTTGGGGAAATTCCGGATTTTTCGTGTTTTCTGTATCTTCATGATGCTCTGCACCGTCATTGAAGGTAACTACTATCAATAACTAACAGAATAACATGAATAGCGTCTTGAATACTAATTACAGACGGCAGGGCAAAGCCGCCAGCGAGAATAATCGGTGGAGTAAATGCATCAATTGAAGAATTTCCATCATTGGTCTCGATCCACCGGAATGGCGTATATATCTGCGGTGGAACCCTCATCACCAACAAACACGTTTTGACTGCCGGACACTGTGCGGTCTTGCAACTTCCAAAGAGCCGTATTTATAACATGGTATTATCTGCACGTGTTTTTACTGTGTACGCAGGAAGCAACAGTAGTAAGAGTTCTGAAAATTCTCTGAAAGTTGAGGAGGTGCATGTCCATGACAACTACACTGGTGACTCCAGTTCAGACTTTCATGATGATATAGCTATTCTTACGGTGCGTTAGCCATTGAAATTTCATTGGATATATCAGATGAAATTCCAGAAACATAAGAAATCTGTTTTGTTTTTCAGCTTAAAACTGCTGTCGAAGAGAGTTCTGAAATAAGACCTATTGCTTTAGCGTCCAGAAATACGGAGCCAGGTGAGATTGGTATCATAACAGGTTGGGGAGCTACTACATTAAACGGACCATATTCCTCGACATTGAAAAAAGCCCTAACGATGGTCCACGAGAATGAAGATTGCTGGACAATACCAGACACTCAATTATGTGCGGTCATCAGCTACGGAATTGGATTCTGTGATGTGAGTAATTTAAGTTAGCAACTGGTGTTATCTGATCTTCAAGTAATAGACTCTGGTTTACTAATATTTTTTTACATTCAGGGTGACAGTGGCGGTCCTCTCGTCATCAACAATGAAGTCGTGGGCGTTATTTCTAATGCCGAAGGATGTGGCGAAGGTTTTCCTGACGTTTTCACGAGAGTTTTTAGTTATCTCACGTGGATTCGTGAGATAACGCATCCTAAGGAGTAAAATACTGTATTGAGATGAGATTAAATAAGTGTCCAATTGTAATGAGTGTAGCACTGGCGAAGAATCACATTCCTTTCGAGTTAAACCTGGCATTTTGTCTGTATGATCAATAAAATCTAAGAAAATCTCCGTGAACAGACGTAACTGTTTTTTTAAATTAACCAACAATTATAGAGGAAACTATAAGTTCAAGTGTGCAATTCTATATGGCCTCTATATGTCCGGAGCTAAAGTGTCAGATCTTCGATTTTTCCAAGCGCGAGGCGCGTGAGAAATGTCGAGATAAAAAAAAAATTTCACCTGGGGCCAAAGTGTCATATCTTGGATTTTTTCAGGGGGGAAGTTGACTTTCGCCAAAATCAAATTTTTGCGCCGAGTGAAGGTCGATTCTGTATTTTCTCGGCCGCCTAATGCCACTGCGCCGCTCACTTGCCCCAGAAATGCAGAAATAATTTTTTTTTTTTTCGCCCGGAGCCAAAGTGCCATATTTAGGCTTTTTTCGGGGGGAAAGTCGACTTTCGCCAAAATCGAATTTTTCCGCCGAGTGAAAGTCGATTCTGTATTTTCTGGCCCGCCTAATGCCACTGAGGCCCTCACTTGCCCCGGAAATGCAGAAATAAAAAAATTTTTTTTTTGCACCCAGAGCCAAACTGCCATATTTAGGCTTTTTTCGGGGGGAAAGTCGACTTTCGCCAAAATCGAATTTTTCCGCCGAGTGAAAGTCGATTCTGTATTTTCTGGCCCGCCTAATGCCACTGAGGCCCTCACTTGCCCCGGAAATGCAGAAATAAAAAAATTTTTTTTTTGCACCCAGAGCCAAAGTGCCATATTTAGGCTTTTTTCGGGGGGAAAGTCGACTTTCGCCAAAATCGAATTTTTCCGCCGAGTGAAAGTCGATTCTGTATTTTCTGGCCCGCCTAATGCCACTGAGGCCCTCACTTGCCCCGGAAATGCAGAAATAAAAAAATTTTTTTTTTGCACCCAGAGCCAAAGTGCCATATTTAGGCTTTTTTCGGGGGGAAAGTCGACTTTCGCCAAAATCGAATTTTTCCGCCGAGTGAAAGTCGATTCTGTATTTTCTGGCCCGCCTAATGCCACTGAGGCCCTCACTTGCCCCGGAAATGCAGAAATAAAAAAATTTTTTTTTTGCACCCAGAGCCAAAGTGCCATATTTAGGCTTTTTTCGGGGGGAAAGTCGACTTTCGCCAAAATCGAATTTTTCCGCCGAGTGAAAGTCGATTCTGTATTTTCTGGCCCGCCTAATGCCACTGAGGCCCTCACTTGCCCCGGAAATGCAGAAATAAAAAAATTTTTTTTTTGCACCCAGAGCCAAAGTGCCATATTTAGGCTTTTTTCGGGGGGAAAGTCGACTTTCGCCAAAATCGAATTTTTCCGCCGAGTGAAAGTCGATTCTGTATTTTCTGGCCCGCCTAATGCCACTGAGGCCCTCACTTGCCCCGGAAATGCAGAAATAAAAAAATTTTTTTTTTGCACCCAGAGCCAAAGTGCCATATTTAGGCTTTTTTCGGGGGGAAAGTCGACTTTCGCCAAAATCGAATTTTTCCGCCGAGTGAAAGTCGATTCTGTATTTTCTGGCCCGCCTAATGCCACTGAGGCCCTCACTTGCCCCGGAAATGCAGAAATAAAAAAATTTTTTTTTTGCACCCAGAGCCAAAGTGCCATATTTAGGCTTTTTTCGGGGGGAAAGTCGACTTTCGCCAAAATCGAATTTTTCCGCCGAGTGAAAGTCGATTCTGTATTTTCTGGCCCGCCTAATGCCACTGAGGCCCTCACTTGCCCCGGAAATGCAGAAATAAAAAAATTTTTTTTTTGCACCCAGAGCCAAAGTGCCATATTTAGGCTTTTTTCGGGGGGAAAGTCGACTTTCGCCAAAATCGAATTTTTCCGCCGAGTGAAAGTCGATTCTGTATTTTCTGGCCCGCCTAATGCCACTGAGGCCCTCACTTGCCCCGGAAATGCAGAAATAAAAAAATTTTTTTTTTGCACCCAGAGCCAAAGTGCCATATTTAGGCTTTTTTCGGGGGGAAAGTCGACTTTCGCCAAAATCGAATTTTTCCGCCGAGTGAAAGTCGATTCTGTATTTTCTGGCCCGCCTAATGCCACTGAGGCCCTCACTTGCCCCGGAAATGCAGAAATAAAAAAATTTTTTTTTTGCACCCAGAGCCAAAGTGCCATATTTAGGCTTTTTTCGGGGGGAAAGTCGACTTTCGCCAAAATCGAATTTTTCCGCCGAGTGAAAGTCGATTCTGTATTTTCTGGCCCGCCTAATGCCACTGAGGCCCTCACTTGCCCCGGAAATGCAGAAATAAAAAAATTTTTTTTTTGCACCCAGAGCCAAAGTGCCATATTTAGGCTTTTTTCGGGGGGAAAGTCGACTTTCGCCAAAATCGAATTTTTCCGCCGAGTGAAAGTCGATTCTGTATTTTCTGGCCCGCCTAATGCCACTGAGGCCCTCACTTGCCCCGGAAATGCAGAAATAAAAAAATTTTTTTTTTGCACCCAGAGCCAAAGTGCCATATTTAGGCTTTTTTCGGGGGGAAAGTCGACTTTCGCCAAAATCGAATTTTTCCGCCGAGTGAAAGTCGATTCTGTATTTTCTGGCCCGCCTAATGCCACTGAGGCCCTCACTTGCCCCGGAAATGCAGAAATAAAAAAATTTTTTTTTTGCACCCAGAGCCAAAGTGCCATATTTAGGCTTTTTTCGGGGGGAAAGTCGACTTTCGCCAAAATCGAATTTTTCCGCCGAGTGAAAGTCGATTCTGTATTTTCTGGCCCGCCTAATGCCACTGAGGCCCTCACTTGCCCCGGAAATGCAGAAATAAAAAAATTTTTTTTTTGCACCCAGAGCCAAAGTGCCATATTTAGGCTTTTTTCGGGGGGAAAGTCGACTTTCGCCAAAATCGAATTTTTCCGCCGAGTGAAAGTCGATTCTGTATTTTCTGGCCCGCCTAATGCCACTGAGGCCCTCACTTGCCCCGGAAATGCAGAAATAAAAAAATTTTTTTTTTGCACCCAGAGCCAAAGTGCCATATTTAGGCTTTTTTCGGGGGGAAAGTCGACTTTCGCCAAAATCGAATTTTTCCGCCGAGTGAAAGTCGATTCTGTATTTTCTGGCCCGCCTAATGCCACTGAGGCCCTCACTTGCCCCGGAAATGCAGAAATAAAAAAATTTTTTTTTTGCACCCAGAGCCAAAGTGCCATATTTAGGCTTTTTTCGGGGGGAAAGTCGACTTTCGCCAAAATCGAATTTTTCCGCCGAGTGAAAGTCGATTCTGTATTTTCTGGCCCGCCTAATGCCACTGAGGCCCTCACTTGCCCCGGAAATGCAGAAATAAAAAAATTTTTTTTTTGCACCCAGAGCCAAAGTGCCATATTTAGGCTTTTTTCGGGGGGAAAGTCGACTTTCGCCAAAATCGAATTTTTCCGCCGAGTGAAAGTCGATTCTGTATTTTCTGGCCCGCCTAATGCCACTGAGGCCCTCACTTGCCCCGGAAATGCAGAAATAAAAAAATTTTTTTTTTGCACCCAGAGCCAAAGTGCCATATTTAGGCTTTTTTCGGGGGGAAAGTCGACTTTCGCCAAAATCGAATTTTTCCGCCGAGTGAAAGTCGATTCTGTATTTTCTGGCCCGCCTAATGCCACTGAGGCCCTCACTTGCCCCGGAAATGCAGAAATAAAAAAATTTTTTTTTTGCACCCAGAGCCAAAGTGCCATATTTAGGCTTTTTTCGGGGGGAAAGTCGACTTTCGCCAAAATCGAATTTTTCCGCCGAGTGAAAGTCGATTCTGTATTTTCTGGCCCGCCTAATGCCACTGAGGCCCTCACTTGCCCCGGAAATGCAGAAATAAAAAAATTTTTTTTTTGCACCCAGAGCCAAAGTGCCATATTTAGGCTTTTTTCGGGGGGAAAGTCGACTTTCGCCAAAATCGAATTTTTCCGCCGAGTGAAAGTCGATTCTGTATTTTCTGGCCCGCCTAATGCCACTGAGGCCCTCACTTGCCCCGGAAATGCAGAAATAAAAAAATTTTTTTTTTGCACCCAGAGCCAAAGTGCCATATTTAGGCTTTTTTCGGGGGGAAAGTCGACTTTCGCCAAAATCGAATTTTTCCGCCGAGTGAAAGTCGATTCTGTATTTTCTGGCCCGCCTAATGCCACTGAGGCCCTCACTTGCCCCGGAAATGCAGAAATAAAAAAATTTTTTTTTTGCACCCAGAGCCAAAGTGCCATATTTAGGCTTTTTTCGGGGGGAAAGTCGACTTTCGCCAAAATCGAATTTTTCCGCCGAGTGAAAGTCGATTCTGTATTTTCTGGCCCGCCTAATGCCACTGAGGCCCTCACTTGCCCCGGAAATGCAGAAATAAAAAAATTTTTTTTTTGCACCCAGAGCCAAAGTGCCATATTTAGGCTTTTTTCGGGGGGAAAGTCGACTTTCGCCAAAATCGAATTTTTCCGCCGAGTGAAAGTCGATTCTGTATTTTCTGGCCCGCCTAATGCCACTGAGGCCCTCACTTGCCCCGGAAATGCAGAAATAAAAAAATTTTTTTTTTGCACCCAGAGCCAAAGTGCCATATTTAGGCTTTTTTCGGGGGGAAAGTCGACTTTCGCCAAAATCGAATTTTTCCGCCGAGTGAAAGTCGATTCTGTATTTTCTGGCCCGCCTAATGCCACTGAGGCCCTCACTTGCCCCGGAAATGCAGAAATAAAAAAATTTTTTTTTTGCACCCAGAGCCAAAGTGCCATATTTAGGCTTTTTTCGGGGGGAAAGTCGACTTTCGCCAAAATCGAATTTTTCCGCCGAGTGAAAGTCGATTCTGTATTTTCTGGCCCGCCTAATGCCACTGAGGCCCTCACTTGCCCCGGAAATGCAGAAATAAAAAAATTTTTTTTTTGCACCCAGAGCCAAAGTGCCATATTTAGGCTTTTTTCGGGGGGAAAGTCGACTTTCGCCAAAATCGAATTTTTCCGCCGAGTGAAAGTCGATTCTGTATTTTCTGGCCCGCCTAATGCCACTGAGGCCCTCACTTGCCCCGGAAATGCAGAAATAAAAAAATTTTTTTTTTGCACCCAGAGCCAAAGTGCCATATTTAGGCTTTTTTCGGGGGGAAAGTCGACTTTCGCCAAAATCGAATTTTTCCGCCGAGTGAAAGTCGATTCTGTATTTTCTGGCCCGCCTAATGCCACTGAGGCCCTCACTTGCCCCGGAAATGCAGAAATAAAAAAATTTTTTTTTTGCACCCAGAGCCAAAGTGCCATATTTAGGCTTTTTTCGGGGGGAAAGTCGACTTTCGCCAAAATCGAATTTTTCCGCCGAGTGAAAGTCGATTCTGTATTTTCTGGCCCGCCTAATGCCACTGAGGCCCTCACTTGCCCCGGAAATGCAGAAATAAAAAAATTTTTTTTTTGCACCCAGAGCCAAAGTGCCATATTTAGGCTTTTTTCGGGGGGAAAGTCGACTTTCGCCAAAATCGAATTTTTCCGCCGAGTGAAAGTCGATTCTGTATTTTCTGGCCCGCCTAATGCCACTGAGGCCCTCACTTGCCCCGGAAATGCAGAAATAAAAAAATTTTTTTTTTGCACCCAGAGCCAAAGTGCCATATTTAGGCTTTTTTCGGGGGGAAAGTCGACTTTCGCCAAAATCGAATTTTTCCGCCGAGTGAAAGTCGATTCTGTATTTTCTGGCCCGCCTAATGCCACTGAGGCCCTCACTTGCCCCGGAAATGCAGAAATAAAAAAATTTTTTTTTTGCACCCAGAGCCAAAGTGCCATATTTAGGCTTTTTTCGGGGGGAAAGTCGACTTTCGCCAAAAACGAATTGCTATCGAGTGGTGATAAATTTTTTTGGAAATAGTGCAATAGAGGGGATAACGCCTTTTTTTTCAGAGGTGATTTGTCAAAAATTTATTTTAAAAAAAGTACTAACTATCAAATGTTTTTTATTAGCTCGCAATTTTCTTCAAAACTACTTCAATGAGGAAAAAAATAAAAATTTGGAATATCTATACATGAGGCGCTAATTGATCGGATCTCTTTATTGCTCTAGTTCGATACTTGGAATGAGAATAATACCGCCATCTCTCAATGTCTCGGACTAGAAAATTCGGTTAGTAAGATTTTTTCAGAAGAAGTCTACAATGTCGAGCCCTATTCAACCGACCCCCCCAATCCTTTAACCAAAGAAATATTCAACACATGGAACATAACCTCGCTGAATGTACACGCGTGTGTTTGCGCTCATTCAAGAAATTCTTTGCTCTAAATTACAACAAACCTACGCGTTTTATTCTACTGAAAACCCTAATGATTAGTATTAGTGATCAGAATTAAAAGTAAGTTGCTCTAAAATTCCAAAACTTTCATTCAATTTCATCCACTAACTATATTTCTAATTTCACCCCCATAAAAAATCCTGTCATGATAATGAAGTAATTTTTTTTTATTTATTTTTCCTACAATTTTTGCAGACTCAATATGGTGAAAACGAAAAATAAAAAGAAAAACCTATCGGAGACAGCAGTCCAGAAGAAAAAACAGGAGAGTAAAAAGCCGATAAACCCCTTTGAAGTGCATATAAATAAAGACAAGCAAAAAGTGCTAGGTCGTAAGGGTAAAGCTGACCGGGGATTGCCAGGTGTAGCCCGAACGAAAGCAATCAACAAACGTAAGCATACGTTGCTCCAGGAATTCAGCCAACGTGACAAGGATAATGTGTTCATGGACAAAAGAATTGGGGAGAGGAATGCCTCAATGTCCCAGGAGGAGAAGGCGATGGCGAGATACGCAGCTGAGCAAATTAAAACCCACAAAAAGAAGAATATTTACAGTCTGAATGATGAAGAGGTGTTGACACACAGGGGACAAACCCTGGAGGAAATCGAGAAATTCGAGGACCCAAAGAGTGACGATGACTTCAGTGACGACGAAAATAATAAAGGACATTTAGACAAAAAGTTCGTGACTGATGCTCACTTTGGTGGAGGAATTCTGTCGAAGCCAGATGGGACTCTATCCAGAAAGGACCTGATAGAACAATTGATCGTTGAATCGAAGAAACGAAAGGCGGAGAAGCAGAAAATCCGAGAGCAGACGATTAATTTGACTGAGAAACTTGATACAGAGTGGAAGGATCTGCTTCCTCTGATGGCTGCATCGAAAAAATCCACTGAGGAGACGGTTGAAAAGCCAAAGGCTGATGATTATGACATTGCTGTTAGAGAATTGAAGTTTGAGAGTAGGGGAATGCCCTCTGACAGATTAAAATCAGAGGAGGAAATCATGAAGGAGGAGAAGGAGAAGCTCGAGGCACTCGAGCAAGACAGGCTGATGAGAATGAAGGGTTTCTTGGAGGAGAGTGATGGGAGGAATAAGCACAAGTCTGCTGATGATCTTGACGATGGGTTCAGGGTTGAGGACATCGAGGAGGATGATACGTTGGCTTATGATGAGGATGGAGTTGTTAGGAATGGAAAGAAAATGGACAAGTCTGAGGGGAGTGAGTCGGAAGGGGATGATAATCGTGATAATGATGATGATGATGAAGAAGAGGATTCAGAAGGTGAAGAAAGTACACAGGAAGATGAAGAAAAAGAAAAAGGAGATGAAGAAGAAGAAATTGAAAATGGAAAAAGTCAAGAGACGAATGGAAATCCTCAACAGTCAGAAGCAAATGATGATGAATCAGAAGATTCTGGGGAAGAAGAAGACGACAATTTATCTGATCTGAAAGGATCTGAGTCCTCCAGTGAGGACGAAGAGGCATCAAAGATCACTGAGGAGCAAAATCCATCACAAAAATCCACATCTGACCATCCCAAACCTCCAGCACTTGCTGCAGACTCCGAGAGACTCCAAAAAATCCGCGAAGACCTCCAAAAGCGCAAGGAGATCATGGAGAAGGCTCGACAGGAGCTCCCCTACACCTACAAGGCTCCTGAAACTTTTGAACACCTCAATAATCTCCTTAAATCTCAAAAACCAGACTATCAATCCATCATCCTAGAGAGAATAGTAAAATGCAATCACTGGACCCTGGGCCAGGGCAATCGAGAAAAGCTCTGCAAAGTGTTTGAATTCCTTCTCCAATACATAATGGATTGTGCTCACATCAGTGATAACAACAATCCCGAGGACATCATCAAGTGTTTCGAGATATTCGACAGAATTTCCCCTCATCTATTCGACTTGGCGCAGGCGAATTGCTTCACCACAGCGACATGTGTCCAAAATCTGTTGAAAGAACGTCATGAAAAATTCGAGAAAAATCAGAAAAAGTTTCCAGACTTGGATACATTAATTCTCTTCAAAATTATCTCATTATTATTTCCAACTTCGGACTTTAGACATCCAGTTGTTACTCCAGCCATAGTCTTCATGTCGCAGATACTGTTGAGGTGTAAAGTCAAGTCAAAATTACATATTTCAAAGGGATTGTTTGTTTCTACGTTGATGCTGGAGTATACCGTGTTGAGCAAGAGGTTTTCACCTGCTGTTATCAATTTTCTTCGAGGAATCATTTATTTGGGGACTGTGAAGCCTCCTCTGCTGATACTGAAGATTGTCCCCCCTTTCAAGAGAGCTGGAGATGTAGCTAATCTCCTTGTTCTCCAGGAGGATCAGACGAGTCTGGAGATCAATCATCTTGGTGCACATATGAGGGCTGGAGATCTGGTTGACGGTGACATTGACGATGAGTTCCGAATTCGGGCGTTTTTAACTGCTGTTAATTTAGCTGAAGAATTTTCGAAGCAATTGGGGGAGTTGGAAGCAGTTTATTCCATCTTCGAACCAATCATTAATTTGTTGAACATAAATTCATATGGGAAATACCCTGAGAATATTCGTAAACATGTGGAGAGGGTGTCGAAGGATCTTCTAGCGTTGGAGGACAAACAACTGGAGTATCTGGTGAAAGCGAAGAAGAAGCCGAAGGCATTGAGGCTGTACGAACCTAGGATAGAGAGAGTCTACGATGGCAAAAAGCACAGACCAATGTCCAAGGAGAAGGCAGAAAAAGAGAAATTAATGCATAAACTCAAGAAGGAGATGAAGGGAGCCATCAGAGAAGTCAGGAGAGATGCTGCATTCTTGGCCAAAGTGCAGATTAAAAATCAAATTAAGAGTGACACTGAGCGTAAACGAAAGGTCCGGGAGATTATGAATGAGGGGGCTGTTCAACAAGCGGAATTGAATGAATTCAAGAGGAAAAAGAAATGATTGAATTTAATTGATTTTTTATGCTTGTGAATAAATGAAAATATTTATAATTTTAATTGTCATATTTTTAATTTTTTATCCTAAAAAAATTCAAGTTGGTGATAGAATAAATCGTCAAAATATATTCGAAACTAGCGCACCTCGTGTCGATTATGGCGCCATTTACCCGAATCTCTCCACTACCAACATGAACCTACAAAAATAAATTACATCGTAGTACCCCCTTCCAAAGTGAGAGGATGGACCTTGGTTCGTTCAAATCATTGTCATCATAATCTATCAATGAAATTCATTGCAACTAGCCACTGAAAGCTACCTCAACAGTGCGATAAACCCATTCCCAGGACATTGTACTGTGCAGTGTTTTTTGAAATTCATCAAAATCCATGAAAACACACGAATGCAACCGTTAAAGGTACCATTGACCACTATCTCTATTTTTTTTTATCTTCATTACATTGTTACCACTCGAGCATTTTGTGGACATACCCTGATACGATTAAAATTCGTTCTCTGACAATGGAAATGGGGAAGATTCCTCACATATGGACATTGTGATTGGTAGTGTAACTAGCTGTCTTGGGTTGCTCTTGGTTAACCTCACACGAGTATTTATATCCCAATATTGTGTTAATTGATACCCCAAGGACTCATTCATAAATTTTTTTTCAGCCTCGTTAATTCAAAATATCTACAATTCCCTCTCTCATTTACATATTAATGCACTTATGATAATTTCCAGATGAAGAAGTGATAACGAATGCCTGAGACTCGGAAAATCATAACATGTCGAATGACAGTCCCCACCCCGGCCCGGAGAATCTCCAGGAAATTGAAATGGACTCTCCCCCAACACCACTGACCGGCTTTCGTCTTCCAAGGGTCCAGATGCCCTTTCAAAGGTTAAATGAGTCAACACAGTCAGAATCTGCCGCGAGGGCCCTGAGATACAGGAGCAGAGCAGTGAGATTCCATCCACCTACAGACCTATCGAATCAACCTGACATGTCAGACAGGGAGTACATTCTGGTGGAGCCATCGAACCAGGGACTTCGAAGAGACTGCAACAGTGACTCCTTCGACGTGTCAGATACCCAAGCAGCTGCTATATCGTCCGAGGAGGAATTGACCTGCAATTCCACCTCGAATATCGATCAAGAATTATCCATAGATGTTACTGATGGTGCATCAACTCCGAATCACACGTCAGCCAGTGCCTCGACATTGAGCTCTGACGACGATAAGCGATACTGTTGGGTATGTTTTGCCACTGACGAGGACGATGCAACAGCCTCGTGGGTCAAGCCATGTCACTGTCGTGGAACGACAAAGTGGGTCCACCAAGGATGCATACAACGGTGGGTCGATGAGAAGCAGAAGGGGAGAGCTGGGGCGTACGTCGCCTGTCCCCAGTGTAACACAGAGTACATCATTGTTTATCCGAATATGGGTCCTTTAGTCGTGATTCTGGACACAATCGATGGAGTTATATTTCGAGTGTGTCCGTTCATAGCTGCCAGTATCGTGGTTGGATCTATTTATTGGACAGCTGTGACATACGGAGCTGTCACAGTGATGCAAGTCGTTGGACACAAGGATGGGCTCACGATGATGGAGCAGGCGGATCCACTGGTGCTATTGGTCGGTTTGCCAACCATTCCAATTATGCTAGTGCTTGGGAAAATGCTCAGGTGGGAGGACCAGGCCCTGAGCTTGCTCAGGAGACACGCCTGCAAGGTACCTATTCTCAGGCATTTTTTGCCCAGCACCTATGCCATTGACGACAGAACACAGTCACACGATGTACCACCCATGTCAGATCCAGTTTCGGCTACTAGGGTTCTATGTGGAGCCCTACTGCTACCCACTATTGCCAGTATTTGTGGGAGAATATTCTTCGAGAGCATTCATTCTAATTTTCAACGCACTTTACTGGGGGGCATTGCATTCATCACGATTAAGGGGGCGTTTAAAATATATCATAAACAACAGCAGTATGTGAGACAGTGCCAGAGGCGGATTATGGATTATACGGAGAGCAATGTCGCCATGTACAAGAGACAACAAAATTCAGAGAACAGTCAGACTAGCTAAATTGTGGAGATGCATCACGAGTGGGTTTAGGGGGGCTACACGCGGTGGAATTAATTGGTTAATTAATTTCGATGGAGTTTTTTCGGAGGATGAATCAGTTGTAAAGAGTCGCATTATTGATGAGATTGTAATGATATAGACAGTTTTAGGTGAACGAGGCAATTATCAATATGGAGAATTTTTATTTTTGTTCTATAGACGATTTATCTGTTCATCGTATTGTCATCGTTTTATACAGCCCGAAAGATAATGAAATAAATAATGATAAAACGCGAATTCTCGTTGACATTGTCGTATTATGATGGGCCTCGTGAGGAAGAAAGGACATTGAGTAGATTATCCATATCCCATGAAAGATAAATAGGAATGTAATTACTCCTTTCATTCCTACGTAATGGAGAATTTGTTGATGCGCGGAGTTTTTTTTTCAAACTGAATTCATGACGAATTTTATTTTATGATAAAGGTGTAGATAATGGAAATAAATTTCAGCTTGGTTCAGAGCATTTATAAAATGTGGATACGCGTGATTTATATTGGTTCCCTAGCTTCCTAACATCCTCTCTTATTAATTTCTAATCATCCATCGCGTAGATCAGCAATTAAAAAGCTACAGAATTGAATTTTAAGGACTCACCGGTGATGAATCGTACAGCTGCAGCTGGAGATGATGTGCAGTCAGCCTCAGGACTTCGTTCCATCTCGTTCAGAAGTCGTAACACTTCACTGACACTGTAATACACTAACGCACTAGTGGGGAAATTTTGTTTTTGATAAATACGATGAATTTCATCAGAAAATCAGTTTATCACACTTCACTCATATTTTACTCTTATTTTAATTTTATACAGCCCGGAATGGACGATAAGAAAATTGGAATAATCGTTGGGGAAGAATTTAACAAAAAAATCACTTTTTCACACTTCACTCGCGATTTTCAAAATCGAATACCCGGACGAAAATACTCGCGATACTTCACACACCGACCACCATCTTGTGGATTTACCAACCCGTCGGTATTAACGAAACTCACGGATATACTTCACTACACTTCATAACCCCAAAATAATTATTAAAAAAATATATTAATAGTTATTAATCAGTTTTGTTAATTGTTCGTTTTTTTTCACTTTTTAAATCAATTTTTGATTCATTAAAAAGTCAATGGAGTCGTTTAAATATGTAAAACACTCGTCCCTTTGTCCAGAATTACACAACAGGCGCCATCTTGCGAGTCCACAAAGATATTGAGAGAATTTTGGCGAGTAGAACTTTGAAATTGTTCTACTGTGTGTAATTCAGCAAAATCAGCATCAAATTTATCATAAAATCGTTACTGTCTCTTATTCATCATCAGTTATGGCATTATCAATAATTATTCTGATGAGTTTACCCTCATTTTCCTCGACAATACGTAGAACAATAGCCAAATCCGTTGTTTTCTACCACAGATCCGGCGCCAACTCGAATCTGCGCGGAGATGTTGCGCGATGGACTCGACGTTTTTTGTCAATTTTTATTTTCGTCCCAGCGCTTGTAATTTACGAGAATTCTCCCAAACTTCATCATTAAACCGTTGCTGACGACGATCATTAGTTAATTAGAGTAGTATTAGTAATTATTTCAATGATTTCACCCTCTTTTTCCGCGAAAATACGTAGAACAACAGCCAAACGCGTTTCGTCCTGCAAGTGACTGGGCGCCATCTTGAATGTGCGTGGAAACATTGCGCGATGGACTAGATGTTTTTGTCGATTTTTATTTTCGTCCTAGCGCTTGTAATTCAGGAGAATTCTCCCCAACTTCATCATTAAATCGTTGCTGACGACCATCATTAGTTAATTAGAGTAGTATTAGTAATTATTTTAATGATTTCACCCTCTTTTTCCGCGAAAATACGTAGAACAGTGGCCAAACGCGTTGCTGCCTGCTAGTGACTCTGCGCCATCTTGAATGTGCGCGGAAACGTTGCGCGATGGACTCGATCTTTTTTGTCAATTTTATTTCGCCCCAGCGCTTGTAATTCGGGAGAATTCTCCTCAAATTCATCATCAAATCGTTGCTAACGACGATCATTAATTAATTAGAGTAGTATTAGAAATTATTTAAATGATTTCACCCTCATTTTCTGCGAAAATACGTAGAACAGTGGCCAAACGTGTTGCTGCCTGCCAGTGACTCGGCGCCATCTTGAGTGTGCGCGGAATGGTTGCGTGATGGACTAGATGTTACTTTGTCAATTTTTATATTTCGTCCTAGCGCTCGTAATTCAGGAGAATATTCGCCAAATTCATTATCAAATCGTTGCTAACGATGATAGTTAGTCAACTTGACTAATATTACTAATTATTTTGATGATTTTACCCTCGTTTTCGTCGAAAATACGGAGAGCAATAGTCAGGCGCGTGGTTTTCTGCTAGAGACTCGTCGCCATCTTGAACCTGCGCACTAACGTTGCGCGAAGGATCCCCCATCGGAGTGCGCATGCGTGGGACTTTCAAATGAGAAAATAAATTGTCTGGAAACCCCGGCGAAAATTAGTTTTTATTTTTGTTAATTTAGGAAAATTAAATAAAAATAAAAGTCAAAAATAATTAACTTAACTGTCGGGTTAGGTTATCAATAATTCGTTGGAAAAATCCCTTGGCTATTCGTAGTAATGTTCCAAATTTCAAACGAATTGAACAAAAATTCTACAACAATCTTTATTCATAAAGAAATCTTACAGCCACATTGTACATTATCTAATAAATATGTGAAGATTCTACGATAGCCTGGAAATCAAGTAGAAATTCTCGAGGGCACAATGCAATTAATCATTGTGATTAGTATTTTATGTAATTATATGTTTTCATACTTCACCTAAGAATTAATCATCGCAGTACCAAGTTTGTTCCTATATAATTGTTTGTTCATTACTGTATTATAATCAATATATACACATGAAACATCTTTGACCTGTTGAAGAGAATGACAAATAATTTTGATCGTTCTTATATAATTAGATGTATATTTTGACAAAGCTAAAAATTCATGCTGACACACTCATCTCACTGCAACTTATTTTAAGTGACTGCGATGACAATATCTTCAACTATGGAGTATTCCACGTTTGCCAATAATTTTTCCTGAAGTGTTTTATTGGCTCTCACAAATTCTCAGCAGTCTCTGGTCTAGTATACGGTTCATTAGATAATAATATATTATAATCAATTCAAAAGTAGACGAAAATTGATTCTAATCACTTAATCAATAATAATTAATTACTTAATCAATTAACGCACTATTTTACAATGTAATTAGTATCCTGAATTTTAGGAATCATACAGACGTAATAAATGGTGATTATTGACGTTTACAGTATTGGAATGATCTTTTAGGTAAATCTTCACATATGCTGAAGGGTTGGAGCGAATAATTGATCAATATTTGCAGAATTCAAAAAATTCAATCAACCATAAGCACTTAGTTTTATAAATTGAAAACAAAATCAAAGAAAAACAATAAATAACGCTTGGACTAAGTGAAGTTCCTGAAATGATCACAAAAAATAAAATATGCACAGTAGGGACGGAAGAACTGTATGCGATGACAGTTAATTTTTTACGTTGCAGCCTTTCCAAATAATTCTCTATTCACAATATTACACCAATGTTCTTGCAATTAATTTCGTCTACACGTTATACATATATTCCAATCTCTATTCCACTAAATTCATACCACAATAAGTTCTTCTACTTTGATTGTGATCAAGTAAAAATACTTGTCCATTATTTGGATTAAATTTAAGTTAACCCATGTTATTTTCTTCTCCTGTTCGTCTAAAGGTATGAAAATTCTTTTGCTTTCCTCGTACTAATTATCGCGTGTGAAAAAAATAAAAATGAGATTTAATAATTACGTGTTTTTGTAGTCAGTGGCGAAGTGTACCTGGACGAAATATCTGGCAACGTATACGGTCGTTGAATCAGAGTAAGAACGGAAAATAGTATGTATATGTTCTCTTTCTACTTACGATTTATTTATTTTACACTAGTAAGTCTTTGACTTGGGATTTTTATATGAAATTGACTTCAATTCGAAAGTAATGAAGCATTTTTGTGAGCACATTTGCAACACTGACAAAGCATTTTCCTCTACTTTTATCATTTTGAAAGAGATCAAATTCTATCATTAGTGCCATAAAATTTCCGATGCACAAAGATTCACCTCAGTGTTGTTCAACCCAACTGTATTCAGAATCTGCCCTGCTATTAAATTCTAATGATTGATGACCATCGCACAAATTTCCACAGAATATATACTGTCTTTTTCTATGGCATTCCTTCTCCTGTCATTATTGTGCATGAATTTCATGTACGTCATACATGCAGTCAGATTGTTTACTCATTGCCTCTGTTGACCTCACTCTCATTAAATTCACACTACCATTCTACGTGTTTTCTATTCATACTGAAAGGAACTATTGTGGAGATGAAATGTTTTGAAATTCATTGAAGAATCTTCTCTATTTCAAAAATTTCTCAAAATCAATACATCTTTCTATACTCAATTATTGTTTTCTCTCTTCAATCCTATTTGCGTATGGCTTAAAGTTCATTCTCGAATGTTGCCTCACATTAATGTTCAGCTGCAAACTTTACGGAAGAGAAGATTTTCTTCAAATACGCCGTAGAAAAACGTGGAAAAAATCCCCCGCCCCAAGTGAACAATGTGTGATCGCCTCCTCATAGTTTCAACATGCGAGGCGATGGAATGAAAGTGAGTTTTTTCCCCTTTAATCTAAAAATCGAGAGGTTGATCGGCCGATCCTTCAAGATCATTGACAGAACCTGTGTCGGAATCTTCATCATCATTATCCATTTCAATGTTTTCTATATTCACGCTGTTCGTTTTTAGACTGTCATTGGTAATTTTATTGAAAATGCCATCTGCAAGACAATAAAAATAATAATTTTGTCTAACACTCATGTTACTGGAAAATACTAATGAAAAGTTTTTTAAAATTATTATTCTTTGCACATAAATCTGCTGAATTGAAGAGATATTTACCACAATTGGGTTTAAATCCTCGAGTGCGTGTTCCCGCAAATTCCACGCCATGGGGATCGACACACCAGCAGAGTCCAAGACCACTGTGACACTGAACACTTCGGAAGTAGCCTCGCGAATCACACATGGGTGCGACGTCGGGTGATGTACGTCTGCGAACAGCAGCGCACGGTCTCTCGGCTTTTGAAAAACAGGCACACCATTCTTGGCCACTTATAGAAATATCTCTGCAATTTTTTAATATATTATTAAATTTGGGAATGATCAGATCAATCGACCAAAACCATTGGATCATATCATTTAAGAGGAATAAAATTTTAAAATAGAGTTTATAAATTTAGGAATTTATTATATTAGAGCAATGATTGAAAATGTCAGTGGTTAATTAGTAACTAACCCATTCGTGTCACAAGCATCGATGAATGGCTTGAGACAGGGCTCATTCTGATCATGCTCAAGTCCGTAGAGTTCAGAAAGTGAGATTTTGCGATCTCCATCGGTATCAAAATGTCCAAACATCCACCTCACTTCAGTCTGACATCCAGTGGGGAAGTGCCCTGCTAAAACCAGTTGAAATAGAATAACATAACTCCAATTTGATGATTAACATGTGAGATTGCTATTAAGGCATGGAAATCACTTGCCTTTAGACTTGGTATGTTGCCGACGATACTTGGCATCGGCCATCACTACTGAAAACCAATCCAGTAGACGATTTGCCATTTCCGACTTTGATGCTGATGAACAGTCATTAGTCCCGGGTATATTTGACTTTGATTCTGCTGCATCAAAAGTCGACTTCACTGTCACTGAACTTTTATTTATTTCATTGCCCATAGAGTGTTTTATGTCTTCCTCGTACTTTTTATACCCTAAGCCCTGTGCAGAAATGATTAACTATTGTCAATAAAATGTGTATAGGCAAAGGGAATCAGTGCAATCTGATATTTTAGATTATTAATTCACTTTCTATTGTAGAATAACATGGAATGATAGCCAGAATTATCATATGAAATTGAATATATGAAATTTCCTCACCTTTATGCGTTTACCATATTTAAGATACTGGTAATGATGATTGTCGAAATTAAAATCACGGGGCATCAATGTAATGTCCCTGTTCCGTCCGAGTTTTCCTAATAATGATTTCTGGGGTTTGATTTGAAGGAACTTCTTAGTGTGAACGCGGAGATCTGATCCATCTGTTGGAGAAGAATAAGAGAAGAACAGTCAATTTAATTAATGGTGTGTGAAATTGATGAAATTAATTTCTCATCGTCAATTTCGATTTAAAATTGAGAAAAATTGAAGCTGTAATCATAAGATAGAATGCAAGACGAATATAATCATGTGTAACCAGTGATAATTTATTGCCTACTCACCTTTGCATGGACAAAAGCCTTTGCATGCTATATGAATCGATGTGTGATGAATGCAGTTGTGGTACTCGAGACGGCAGGGCGAACTGTAGGTACGGTTGTCAATTCCACAGAGGAAGTTTGGCTTCACGACCGGACACTCCTGGCACCTGAAATGGATTAATGCATTAATCACAGGAATCCTGATTTCAAGGGACGTCCGTCTGCGCGATCGGAGCAATAACTCCTGAATTCATGATAATTCAAATGATCTGCCGTCAAGATGCCTCAGCTACATTTATAGAATAATGTAAGCGTTTCCATATTTCAAGAACACATTTTTTATCGCCAGTTAAAAAGTATATTTATATTTCAACGCTCACTTGGACTCATCTTGATCCTCGTCATCATCCTCAGAGTCAAAAAATGCATCGTCATTTTCACTTTCAATTGAATTATCAGTGTGCATTCTTCTCTGATTATTCCGGGATTTCGGCATGACGATGTCTCTAAAACAACGAAAGTAAATTAACAAGAGACAAAATTACGGATATCAACTTGACAGGACTCGGAATTTTTCTCATCGGTCCAAAGTCTCCCTCAAGCGAGAGAGAAAATTAAATTGATGTGCAAATAATTGATTCACCTACCCCGATTTATGAAGCTCCTTTTTCGATACGCATACCGCGGTAAACGTATCTTCCAGCAAACAGAGCTCTTTCTTCTTACAGTTCAAAGGACGACATAGCTCACCTAAAAATTCGATGTACACCTCAATATGCAATAATAATAATGGCTATTATGAGCCATTACCAAACGGGAATGTTAACGCACTGTACAACAGTACTGTATAGCTTTGTAATGATTTGTTTATTTATTTATTTTTTCATTTATCAATACAGAAGGCAACAGGCGTCTGCAAAAATGTCGAGGCCTTATTTAAAGCCACCGGACATCAATTGCTTTGACGAGCACTTGATGTGCAATTCATTACATTTATTATTGTTTGAGAAAAATGTCCATTCGCAGGTGGAACATTTTCACTAGAACTTTTCCATCACTAGAATTTTGCTCCGTCTGTGTTATTTTTTTAAAATCCTACGAAAGTCGGAGGAAGTGAGATTAAGAGAAATATTTTTCACGAGATCAGACAAGACAAGTACATAGTTCTATAATAATAGAGGAAAGCTGCGACCCTTATCGTGTGTCCCACCTCGCGACAACTCAATTTTATGTGTGCGTTCCATTTTAATTTAAGGCACTTCTTCAGTCACTTGCAGATGGTGAAAACTTCGCAATGTCCTCGCTATTTTCGAAATATATGCATCGTCAACCATTTAGTTTTGTCATTTTTGGAATTTTGGTAATTTCTACCACAGTTCAATTGAGGAAGTACCTTAATTTAATTGTATAATTCTTCCTCGTTAAGTCTCAGTTTTACTTACTGTTTGGATCATTGATCCACAATTTTTTGTCACCCACTTTCAAAATTTTTGTGTCATCCTGAAACAGAAGAATACTAATGGATGGTTTTGTATTGGATTTCCAGGAAATGAGTGTCGGTGGAGTGATTTGAATATTCATCAATTATTAAGCGTACTCGCTACTAATGAAAGCAACTGTAACTCTAAAATTACAGCCCCTAGCGGTCGGCGCGATTTGTGAACCGCACGTTGATAAAAAAATCCAATTTTCCGACTAGGGCATTAACGTAGGCTTAAAATAAATAAATAAATGAATGAATACATGAATAAATAAATAAATAAATAAATAAATGATGATAATTCTGATCCTATTTATTCTGGAATCAATACCTTCCACATATTATTCTCTCTTTTGGGTTCCTTCTTCCATGCATAGTATATTGAATTCGGCCCAAGAGACGTGAGTAAATATTCATAAGAATTTCGACCAGTGGCGTTTGTCCGAATAATAACCACCTCTGATAACTTAATTTATCAATGATTATAATGACATAGTTGTGCGCACCCTATATAATAACTGCGCATGTGCGAAATAAATGCGATTACCGCGACGATTACAGCCGTTTGTGATGAGAACAGCGTAGGGTTGCGTAAGCTGTGCATCCGTTTTCGCCTTCACACTCCTTTATCCGTGCACAACATATCATATGCTCATACCCTTGTAGGGGAGGATGGGGCAAAACGGTCCCCCTTCAATCGTCAATATTTTCCGATTCAATAATCCGATTGGGATGAGTTAGAGCTCGTTTTGAAGAATGAAAAATTATCTTCAAAAGTTGAAACTGGGAATTTTCACAATGTCATTCACAAGTTATTGACAATTGAAGGGGGGCCGTTTTGCCCCACCCTCCCCTATTCATCTCTAGCCACAGTCATCCAATATTATATGAACGAATGTTGTTCAATGTTTTCCATTTTTACTGAGTTTTCACACACAGCCAGCGTAGTCTGAATTTTATTGCATTTAATTTTATTCACACTCAATTCTTTTAGAAGAACCCAAAAAAATTATTGTCGGGTCAATAATTCAATTTTGAATGAATGTTGCAAACATTATTACGCTAAAGAGTGGGAGATAATCTAATCGAAAGCTCTAAAACCCCAGCATCAATTATGAAATAATTATCATCGTTACATGTGCATGCGCGTCTGACCAAACATACAGTTGTACTACTCGTCTAAAATTTCAGGCATTTTAGAACATTTCTGATGTGAGCAATTAATAAATCTATCTACTAATTGATGTGGTGGTGTCGAAAGAGAAGTGGACTTTAAGTAAAGATATCATCTGAATTTTCTCTCCTATTTTTATCGTCTGTCAAAGTTGTCATCTTCTTTTTCAGGGAGTGGAAGAGAATAAATTTCGGGACAAAAGTTTCTCTTCTATTTTTGTATCAGCCGAGCCGAACTAATTTGTAATGGAACAGGGGCTAAGTCCTAAATACGAAACCCATCTCCTCCCCTCGCCCCCAGCCATTTTCATCTCTAATTCTCTAAATTATTAGAATTAAATTTCTGTGGGAATAATGTCAATTGAAACGTTAAATTTATTCAGATGGTGGCGTAGCCATCGGGAAAGTGGCCATCCTTACTAAATTTTATTAACTAATAGCTCATTAATTAAGGCCTGGCACTAAAAATGTAACAAGATCTTTCGGCTATAAATTTCATCCTCTCATCCCCAAAAGGCGGACGGGAGTTCTGGGACATCCTGTATATCCTTCCGTTCCTCAGCCTTTGATACTACGTCCTGCATTATGCCCCTCGTTTTTGCGTAACCAATCCTCTTATATTGAACATTCGTTTGATTCAAGGACGACATTTCATTCTTGACGCAGTGCGCTTGGACGCATCGATCGCCGGTGAAATGTAAGTGCGCCATGGAGATAACTCATTCCGGAATACATACTACATGCACTTGAATTTTCATTGTCTTGTCGAACGGTGTAATTTGCGCACCGTCTGAGAAGAGCATAAAAAATTGGGACGTTCAGGCATCGCCTCAGTCCCAATGGGAAAACAATACCAATTTTACAACTTCATCATCTTTATAAGAATGAGTCTGGGGAATTCCGTGAATGGAATTCAGTGAATTCCTACCTAATCGTGAATTCTTCTAATGATTTTTGAAAATATAGAATACTATCGTTTGGCGAAATCTACGCCCACAAACCGCAATACTCTGAGGAAGTTCGTTTGTACAAGCCTATCGAATTACGATACGAGGTACCGATAGTGTCAAAAATCTATTTCCTACGCGGTACAACCGCACCATACAACCGCACCCCAGCGAGCGAGATATGAGGTCCTGCGATACTGTTGTTTATTAACTTGATAAAAAATGGAAGAATTTTCCTGGGAGTCAGCATCCAGAATACTTTGAATTAGAAAGTATAACAATATTGCTTGTGACTCAATTCATCCAAATAATATATCTATTTACAAATTTGTTCACTCAATGAAAAAAAAGTTACACTTAAAAATAGAAAATGTAAGACGCTTCAAGTGCAGAGTTTGACCGAAAAAGTTTTCCCCTGACGAAAAAGTTGGCCGATGCACCTGCGCTCTTTCAAAACAACACGGCAGCAAAGTAAGTAGTGGACATAAAACATAGAGGGATTAAAAATTGAAAGAAAAAGAAAACAAGCAGCAAGAGTGAAGGAGGAGTTAAATATAGAAAGAAGGCTTCTTCTTCTTCTGTCACCGTGAGTGTAGCACACTTTATATGCCAGAGAGGAGCGACAAACTTTTATGCTCCCCTGACACACGGGGATAGTACTATAGTATGTGAAAAAAACTTGATGTTTACATAAGAATGTTTTTCCATTTTCCGAAAATCAATTTTTTATGGTCAAAAAAATTCTGTAATTTTTTCAACTGATCGGGACCAATGTCGCAGATTTATCGTAAGAAAATGAACAATTTTTACTTATGCAGGGGCGCTCGGGGGATTTATTTTCATCGAATTAATAAATTAAACATTTCCAGGAAATATTGAAGATTTTTAAAAATTGGCGCCTGCTCATTTTTAAATAATCAGTTCCTGTTGAGGAATTAAAATCCTCATCAGCTTGAAGGATTTTAATGAACATCCTTAATTTGGAAAATGTTTTTCCCAGGGATTTATATTAATTTCTAGTGTTTCTAGCTTCTACCCGCAAAAACGCTTATAGCATCATTCAAGGTTCGAGCTTTTCATTATCATTCGCATGTGCCTCGAGTCACGTTGATTGATTTTCTTTATATTATCTAATTGTCCGTGTTCTACACAGGGGTTGAATAATCACGGTATTAAAAAAATTAGAAGATCAATTGAGCAAGCAGAAAAAAGCCACCTTCGCTTTGTTGTGTCACTTTCTTTTGTCGCACATAAAGAAGACGAAAAGAGAGAAAGAAAAATCGAACAGTTATCGCAAAAGCTGCGCAGAAATTATTTTACAAAATTGTCCTCTCCTTTCTCACGTCTCTTCGACTGGAAAAACATTATGAAAGAGAACAATACATAATGGCAATAATGATATTAGTGACTCCAAGCATGAACGCATATATAGTTTTCACATGAAAGCCATCAATGACGTTTTCATTCGTCCGTGAATTGGCAAAATATACGTCCTGATAATTTAATCTATTGTCCTTGATAATTTTTCCGCGAAATCGCTGAAAGACCTTCGAGCCTAAATTCAAATACGCTGATTTTCTCTGCTGTTATAATTTATACTTTGACTAGTTATGACTACTTACCTCTTCTGCAAACTCAAAATCACCATCGAACTTTCGTTTACAGTCAACACCAGTGATCACGATGACTGACACTGCAATCAGGAACACCCAGCATTCCAGCCGCCCCATGATTCACTTCTTTCAATGTTCACTATTTTTTCGACGCTTTCGCTTGCTTTCAACCTGCCACCATTTACAATGAATAAAATCGCAATAATTTCCCCAATCTCACCCTACCTTCTGCTTATTGTTTCTCTCGAATGGAAGAGAAAAACAGTAAAGCGAAGGTCTCGACGTGAAAGTATGGAAAATTCAGTGGAAAAACAAACTCGCACGATTACTCATTCACTTACAAAGAAAACGGAATTACCGAAAACACCGGTTAAGCCAGGCAAATCGCCAGTCAAATGGCAGGTGTGAGTGGCAATAATAAATAATTAAATTCAGTACTGCTCAATATTAAGTATCGAAAGAATTGTGACTGCGAGCGGAGGAAAAGGCATAGGATAATTCCCCGCCGACGCACTGACACACGGTGGGCGCCATTGGTTAGAAGCTCAGGATGTGCGCGCGCCTCTTCTTCACTGTATTTTCACAATACACTGATACATGAGGGAAATTTTGTGATCCTCTCTCATGGAGGGTGGTAATATGAACAAGGGTATACTATGTATATGGCACTTTGGCTGTACTAACGTCCATTTCCACTGCAAAACCGTTCGCGCGAGCGCATCGTTGACGAACACATGCAGTCGATATCCGTAAATTGCGCCGGTTCCAACTTCCTACTCGCTCTCGTAAATTTTTTTTTCTTCGTTCTTTCTGCATGATCCAGTGATCATAAAGCTTTTTCAAGTATACAGCCAATCTACGTTTTGCCAGCATCGATGCTGCAAAAACAAAACCGTCATTTTAGGTTTTAGAAAAAACATCTCTCAGCTAACCGTAAAATCCTTTTATTTGCTACAAATCTTTCATCATTGAATGCTATACAACCTTGAGGAGTAATGGACAGTCCTGTTTTTTTAGCCCGTTTGGAATTAACGCCTATTTTATGAATTCTATCTTCTCCCTTTTCCTGTTTACTATTTGAGATTATCTATCGATATGCAATGAATGAGAAAAATTGAGAAAGCTGCAGTCGTTGAAAAGGGGAAAAGAAATTTATAAAAAATTGGAGGAATATTGGAGGAATTGGTTGTTGTGCCCATTGTGGAATATTGTGAATGTAAAATAAGTAGCTTCTACTCCACTTGTCCACGTCTCACAGCCTCAGGCGGGGCCTGGCTTCATTTTAGGTGTACGTAGTGCCACTTATCAACTGCAATGCAATGACATAAAGTGATTAACTGTAGTTATTTCTCGGATTTTCAACTCTTTTTATGCATTTACCTATAGGATCGATGGGAGAGGATTCAGCGAATTCTGGTGACTGATTGAACGTCTCCTCAGCTGCCGCAGCATCGACTTTGAATTTGCAATCGTCAATCGTAGCATTAGCACTGAAACACGAATTTTATTACCAATGTGTCTTTATTTTTTGCAGACGTGAAACAGCAGTTAATGTACCATGAAATTCCAGCGGGCGGGGTCTCTCTTTTTATGAGATCCTTCCAGTGTTCGTGCACCTCTCCAACAATATTCAGCGCAAAATCACGTGATTTTGCGTCCCCATTGAATGCGAATTGATTCTCTGGTTTTCCATCAGGAATTTTGTAGATTTTGAACCACTCGACTGTCGCTTTCAAAAGACCAGGGTAATGTTTTTCAATATCAGCTATATCTAAAATAGGAAGAATGATTGGAAATTAACAGGAATTGAATTAAATGCCATTACATTTGAAAGGCATTCCTCACACGTACAATAGAAGAGGAAAATAGAGCTCACCGTTCATCTGATCAGCGAGAGGGTCATTGACGTCGATCACTATGATCTTCCAGTCGGTTTCACCTGAAGAAAACATGAGGGAATTATCATAATTATTATAATAACAGATTAATTTTTTCATTTAAATTGCAGACGAAGCTCTAGAGAATGTCACCTTCATCAATCAGAGCCACAGTTCCCAAAACTTTGACCTTGAGAACTTCCCCTCGTTTTGCAATCCTGTACCCAATTTCAAGGACATCGATTGGATCATTATCACCTTTGAAGCCAGTTGCTTCATCCAAAACTTCAGGATTTTCCCATGTCTGTATAAAAAAAAGAAAAATAAAAAAAATTACGGTGCAATGATTTTTTAATTTTTTTTTTCAAATTTTGTTTCTTTACTTGAGGCAAAGCACCATAATTCCAAATGTATCCATGGTGAGGGAAACAATTGGCAACAAAACGTAATTTTCCATTTTTCATATCCTGTTTTATCGGATTGAGAGTTTCCTTCAGATTAATTTCCATTTTTGCATTTGTCCATCGTGGTACCTCCACAACCATGTGGAACACTTTGTTGGCTTCGTCGGCGTAGAGAGGAATATCGTGCATTGGAGAAATAAGGCTGTCATCCTTTTCTGAAGGAAATATTCAGAATTTCGAAAATTATAGAAATTCAAGAAAAAGTACCGCGATACTCCAGAAAGGAATATTTTCTCGAGGTCGTGTGAGTGGGGGGAATTAATGGGGCATATTTCCTGTTGGAATTTAACTTTCGAAGGTTATTCCATTTTAGAGAGTTTCCGGTACAGCGATTAGAATGAGGTGATGGATTATTAGGCGACAAGTTGAAAAATTAAATTTTTCTACTTCAGCAAACTTAGAAAGTGACTGTTTCAGTCATTTTATTCACATTTGACCTTTAAAGAGGCAGCTTAGAGTACACATAGGGAGTAGTAGTAGTGGTAGTAATAGGCTGAAGCAGCAATTATTAAAAAATAATGAGTGATTGTTGAGCGTTCTGGGATTGGTCGAATCATCTGTAAGGTTATGACCGTGAATTGCACTATCATACTTACTAAAGTATATTCTGAAATCTGTGGTGTTTGGTGCACCACGCTCCACAGTTGTGTAAGACATATTTAAACTGGTCAGTTCACTACTAAATAAACGTATGCAATTAGTAACACGATCAGCCAGTACTGAACTCAAAGGAATTCTGATTCTGTTCAAACCCCACAAGCGAAAAGCGTGTAGCTTAGCGAGAGTCATCGCGACATCTGCCGGACATCAATGATTTCATCAATTTTTTTGCCATTGATAGATAATCTCATCTCTTATCAACTGCGAGGTCGCACGTAATAAATAATAGAATATAAAATTCAAACGAAATGAAAGAACGTTCAGTATTCATTCACTCAAAATTTGAAATATCCAATTTATCTATTCATCGCATCATGACTATATGACTCCAAAATTTTGTGAGGAAATGATTGAAGAGATGGCCAAAAAATGAGACAGTAAGAATTCTTCGGTTCAATTTACACATTGTTTTATTATTCTTCGATCTACTCAGCGTATATTAGGACATGACTAAGACATGAACATGAAATTAATTGCAGTAAACATCTGACAAAAAGCTCTCACATTTAATTCAAATGAGACGTGATGAAATCAAGAAATCGAGTGACCCTCGTATATACACCGGGAATTCCGGGCTCGGCGCACCGATAGCCGAACGAAACTACACCAATTGCATAAAAGGTTCTGTTCTTTGGATACATAAGCGGACCCCCACTGTCTCCCTGAAAATTTTGAGATTATCACGTCAATCAGCATGGAAATGCGCAGGGGAATAAAAATTTCAATCAATGAACAGAGAAATGTCATCGCTTACTTTGCACGCATCCTTGCCGCCCTTTGCAAAACCTGCGCAGATAACTCGGTCATCAATTACTGTTGTTTTGAAACGGCTAAACGCTGACTTGCAGCTTTCCGTCGAGACCACAGGAATTTGAAGTTGCTGAAGGTGGCTAGCACTAGGTCCCCCTTGAGGAAAAACAATTGATGAATTTTTGTTAGCAATTATCTTCTCCATTACTCCTTGTATCAAAAACTAATTGCAAAATTAATAAAACTTATACTCACGGAAATAGACAGATCCCCAACCGGCAATAAATGGCAATGAATTAATGAAATTCTTATTATAAACATCATCAGGCAACGGCAAGCATATTGGCTGGATCAAATCTGTCGGTGGATGGAAAGAATATCTCTTTATATTATAAACATCCAAATCGACTTCTGGCGATAGAAAATTAAGACGAAAAATTAAGACTCAAAACCAAGGGTTACAAGAGTCAGAATTAGGTTCAGGATGCGGGTCAGGATAAAGGTGAGAAGTAGGGTTCGGATAAGGGTAAGATAAGGATGAGAATGAGGGTCATATGGAGCTTTCAAGGCGTTGACTGGGGCCTTTTTCTAAAAATAAACCAATCGCTCCTAATGGATCGAATCGAAAAAGAATAACGTACAAAATGAAAAAAAAATCATTATTACCGGAAAATTCAACATCCCATGCTAGTCTCAACACCGCAATGTCATTAGTATACGCAGTTTCACTATACTGCGGATGTTCATGTACTTGTTCAATGGGAACATCAATGGGGCTCGCACCATCCTGCACATCGTCGTCGAGATCGAGATCACCCAAACGTACTAAATAAAGATCAGGGAGACGGTGTACGCAGTGGGCTGCTGTTATAACATGACGAGCCGACACTAGACTTCCAGCACAAAGCCATCGCGGTTTATTTGACCCTGTTTTTGAACGGTATCCCAATGCTGCGATCCAAGGCCACGCACCTGAGGAGGCAGTCGATGATTGACAGTATCAATTATCGTATAAAAACACGTTGAGTAGAATTCCGCCTTTTTTTTCTTTTTTTTTTTCAATACTCGACATTTTAGTGAGATAAAGTAATTCCCGAGTATTGGAAAATAATTTAAACGCGTTATTTACCCAATTTTGCAGGCGCACCCCCAACAACTCTGGTCAATTCCTTATTGTTAATAGCACCACATGCTGGTGCATAAATGGGCCAATATCCATTTGATTGCTGTGTAATCCTCGGCTGATTAGGGGGAATGGGGGTGTCATCGTCATCAAATTCTCTATTACCACCTGGACAGCATACAATGGGATTCGAACCCTCGAATCTACACACTGAACGCCTCAAAAAATTTCCCGCCGAATTACCATCTCTCCGCAGAAGCTCAATGAGCGGCTCGCATTCTCTGACATTGATGCAAATGCCGACTCTACCCAGTGGATTCACGCAACTTTCTATAGTAAATAAGTTTCATAATTTCACTATAGTCAAGGTATTTCAACAATTTTACGTCGTTGACAATAATATTTTTTTTTCTATTAAAAAACTTGATCTTTATGCTTCCTCCACGGATCGCCAAATATGACGTCTTCAACGCTAATTGCTGATACCACATTGAATGTTGAGTAGGATAATACGCTTTGAAATTTTGCTGACGTAATTTCCATCGAATTTCCATATACAGCAACAAGATTTTTCATTTTCCTGTGGAATCCCTTTTTACTTGATCAATTTCTCTTTTACATCGAGTAGATGTGATTCCACTCGCTTTCGTATCTTGTGGAATGCAAGGATTTGGGAAATTCTAAATTTGAAACATCTTCATTAGAATAATAATTACATAAATTGTAACAATAACTATTGATCACTCCTTCTCAGCAAAAACAGGATTAAGAGATCTCTCTAAATTGAATGCTCGATGACCTTGCTGATGATTACGGAATTCGAACACGCACTCCATAGAATGGAGAAACTCAATACCTTGACCCAAGTCTTGATATATCTTGTCTTGAATTTCTAAAAATTTAAGAACTTTGACTCACTGACCCTGCGATTGAACCAACGTCACTGAGAATAGCCCCACGAAACCGATGATCACCAGTTGTAAATTATGATGCCACATATTTATTTTCTAGAAAATGGAAATATGTAATAAAATTCCACCTTCTTAATATGGATAACGGGAAAAAAAGGGGGAAAATGAGAGAAATACGACAATATTCTTCGAAGAATCAGAAACGTATACTTATATGTAAGCCACTAATGATCACATTAGATTTAGTGTCTCGTCGTGTTGAAGGAATTTCACAAAATTCGTACTCGAGACGTTAAATTTTATCATTTTGATCCTCTCATGCGTGTCAAGAGCTATTCAAATTCAAGGACGATCCGACCACAGCCTTATAATTTGAATTACGCACTCTATTCGCGTCGAAATTTACGGTAAGTGGATTTAGCATGGTTTTTCCCCATTATTACAAAAAGGATAACAAGAGACGCGCTCATCCGATTCAATTTCTGACAGGAATCAAAATGCTCATTTGGATCAATTATAATTGTCAGAGATGACGGAAAAATGAGTACAAAAAATTCCAAAGATATTGCGAGGGAGTTTTGTTATGAATAATTTGTTGTGAATGATTTTCTCTCATTCATTCCTACCTCTTGGAAATTCTTACACAAATATTAATATTAAAACATTGTTTCGCAATAATTCATTAAAATGATCTGTTAAAAATTCGAGAATCAGTCACTTCGTCACGACAGATAGAAATTGATGATAAAATGCAAATGAAAATGAAATTATGTTTAGTACCTTAATTGAAGATGTAGTAGATTACGATAGATGATCTAAGAGCGTGTGTAACACGTGTAACATGTATCTTTGAAGATCACTGCTGCGACACACGATCACAAGGTGACTGTCGATTTTTAATGCCGGGTACATTCTCTTTATATCCAGCGAATGCGAGCCTACACTCGCTGAATGGACTGATGGAACCGGTCATTAGCTAGGTACTCATGTAGTGCTGAAGAAGGATAATTCTTTGAAATTTTAATCACTCCATTTTTTTCACTTTACTCCACAAATATTCCAAGAATTCAATTTGCTCAGAATTATAGAAATATCAAACGTATATAGTTGAATGTTTTTACAAACTTCATTTTCTACACTATTCGAGACGATGTAATGGAGGGCACGCGAAAACTCTTTTTTCCCTGTGATAAAAGCCATTCGGAAAATTATTTAATGAGACATAAAGTGTCATTAACCATACATCACCGGTAAATCATAATGGATTTTCAAATCAGATAAATACAGTCATTTGTAAATAATAAACCGGATGAATCTATTGTGCATGATTTCAGGGAATAAATTAAATATATGTTTACATAATTTCACAGTATTTTTTTCTATTTTTATAAGAGGACAATTCGATCAGACCCGGTTGCACAAACTCCTGTTAAATCATTTCAACAGTCTTTTAGCGATTTCTCATTGATTTTCACGTAAACTAACAGACGACTAAATTTACTCAGCTTGTTACAACTTTAAATTAAATAGTAGGAAGAATGCTTCACTCTATGCAATTGAAAAAACAAAATAATTGTTAGTGGATCTCATAATGTATTTTTGGATTATGTTTTAAAATAAATTCACAAAACAGTAAAAATATTCTGTATAACGTTTATTCTATTATCCCAATTCAACAATAAAACCAGTACAATCAATTATACACTATCTAGCACAATATTTACAATTAAAGATATGGAATTTAAGATGGATAGAAAATTATTATTACATTGTATTCAACCGACAATGTCATATGGAATGACAATGTCATTTACTCAATAGGTAATTTCATTCCTAAAGATGTGAGCATTACACAATGCTCTATAAAAATAATAATAATAATAACAATGTTAATAATAATGACGCTTATAACATACGTAGAAAGTAAATCAGCACCTTCAGCATACTAATTGTCTCATGATTCACTTTATTTAATTCTACTTGAATTGTTTCATTCCGTTGATTGAGTTTTTATATTATTCAACAAGATCAACTATGTAGGGGGCGATACGTCTACACTCTTAGGAAAATTGTTTATAAAACTTGGTTTTCAGGCAATTGAAAACTTTAATTTGTCACTGGTCTCCATCTCGCTCGATGAAGGAAGAGAAATTGATTTAACTTTTATCATTACTTGTCCTTAAACACTCGTCTTCATTATTGTTTTTTTAAAATTCCAATTAGTAATAAATTTCCGCAGTCAAATAAAGATAAAGAGAATGGAAAATTAATTAATTTATTTCTCATGATATGCATTTCGCAAGTGTCTTGCAAATCTTGAATTCGACGTGGTATTTCATTCCAAATAAAAATTGAAACATGCAACCATGTTTAAAAATTAAAAATGAGGCTAGAAATTAAAAATATGGACTAGTTTTTTTTCTGGACAATTTGTCCAGTGAAACTGATGGCGGATGGCCACCTGATGCTTTTTCCATTTCAGAGACTTTGGAACTTTTCATTAAAAACAAATAAGACATTCAACAGAAAGACATGTGTAAAAAATATTGAACATCTGCAATGATTCTAACATTTGTCAAGAGAAGAAAACAAGCGCCTACTCGATTGGATTTCGGAAGAAAATTTGGAATATTCTATCCTTCAATTTAGCAGTCATCGAATTGTAAACTGGCCAATTTCCTGTTCACATCAAGTCGATCGTTCTATCACTCTTATTATGTACTCGTAATGGAAAAAAAAGTATTAATCATCTCCAGCACGTACAATTTGAAAACTGTTATTTACCTTAATTTAATTTCGAAAGAATTTAATTCCACTGCTCGTTAAATTTTAGCATTAGATCCGTTTGAAGAATGAGAAAATGCAATTGTGGTAAATCTTCTCCGATAGCTCATGAGTAAGTGTCCAAGTGGAGCCGTATTTTTCACGTTCTTCCAAGTTTTCAGTACACCAACAAAGTAATTGGATAATAATAATAATATAACGGGCTATAGTTGATCTTAAACTATATAGTTGCAGTCAACTCTTTGTGTACAAACGTTTCGATATCAACGCGACATATTGGACACCGTTTGTTGGTACATAGCCATTGGTCCACGCAATCTTTGTGGAATAAATGCATACAAGGCAGTCTTCTAACACTCTCACAGTCCTCAAATTCCGACAAACATATTGTACATTTTTCCATATCGTCGTCTCCATTTTCTAACTTCTTCACCAGTTTATATTTATGAGGGAATGTGTGACTCTCAATAGATTCCTGGGTTGCTCCGCAGCTAATATGTGACATACGTCGCAGGTCGACGATTCTCATATAGCTTTCGAGGCCTACCGTTAAGTGTCGAGCTTGCTGCATTACAAGTTCCGGCAGTGGGACTGGGTATGGTGTTATTTCAGTGGACACATTGTTCGGCATGTGGGGTGAAATGCTAATATGTAAATGTGGCATTCTGGCGAGGGATGTGGTTTGATAGGGATAGGGTGTTATAGGTGACCAGTGGTACATGTGATGATGGACATGTTGATGAACTGGTATTGGTGGTATATTATCACTTGCCTGGCTGTTCTCGATATCTTCATTTCCCATTGGATTAAGCACAAGTGGTACTGGACAGGGCGGTGGATTGGTAATGGCACTGACTAATGCTGCACCACTGGCCTCTGGATGACTGTAGACCGTCGGTTGTTGGGGAAGTGGTAATCCAGCGTGTCTTGAATAACTCTGCACTGGGTTTGAATTGTCATTGATCATACAGCAATTTCTCGGCGCTGGAATTGTATCTGGATTATTAGAATCCACAGGGTAAGGACCAGCTTGATATACTCCAGGATGTGCAGCAGGTGGTGATGGTTGATTTAATGGTGACTGTTGCTGCTGCTGCTGTTGTTGTTGTTGTTGCTGCTGCTGCTGCTGTAGCCAAAGGTGCAGAGCCGACGTTCTTGGGTACAATGTGCGCCGCTGGGTTTCTTGCATCCTTTGCTGATGTAACCAGATACGTTGATGAACTGGATGGATTCGAGATCCAGTGGAGCCAGCTGCATTTGGCGGCCTATCGTGGTAGAGAGATCGATGGTGGTAATGGTCCTGAGGATGATAAAAGTGAAAGCGCGAAGGCATCATCCGTCGCATCCGGCTGTAATCGTGGCTTCGGTGTACACAGTGCACATCATTCCTGAAATATTGTAATTATTGACAAGCCATTAAATTTATTCAATTGATAATAAAAATATCCAAGATCAAAGTAACGAACGTATTCGTTTACCTCGGCACTTGTACCCCTGACACTTGAGGCTGCAAAGTGTTACTGGAACCCGCTTGACTCGCGTGTTCTTCGTCAGATTCAGCGGTTAAATCTACAACTGGCACTGCCTGTTTGCGTTGCTCTTGTTCGTGCTCTTGCTCCTCGTCTCCGTTCTAATTGGGAAAAATTAATAGTCACGTCAATTTGCAATTAACCAAATAATCAAGTATTTTGGTGAGCCCACTCTATTGCCGTACAATAATTGCCTCTAATAATTTAACTGAGTCATCTTCATCGTCACTCTCGCTACTGGAAGTTGACCAATCCAACTGCAAGTCAGGGGCCGACGGCGTATCATCAGTTTCTAATCAGGATAAAACAGTTTTTCATTATTATAAAGAAAAAATCACCCGTTATTCTACAATAGTTGAAGAGAAATATCAAATTTACGTGAATTGTGTTGTGATACACTCTGGGAGATAGCAACCGATTGCGGATCATTTTGATAAGCTGTTGTATCATTGATGATAGACTCAACATTGCCGATTTCATCAATCGTATCAGGACAATTATTAGCAGTTCCAGTAATACTGAAAATGGTTGATTAAATGAGGCTCAAATAAAACTAACACCAACATAATGATAGAAATAATGAGACAATGTATGCTTCAAGGTGGAGCATGAAGGATCGTTACCTGTAATCAACTGGTGCATCGATAATCCTCGACGGCCCTGCAATGCTCACAGCATCCCTCTGAGGGTTATTAGCCGTCATCTTATGCGCCCCATTTCTATTGTATTTAGTTGGTACAGGTAATTCTCTATTTTGCATCATATTTCTCATTCGGAAACTCTCATACAGTCTCTCATACCGTGTGCACAACCTCGTACGGTGCATACGATTATTCATAAGCTCATGTCTTCGTTCCTCCCGAATTTCGCGTTTTCGTTCACGCAGACTTTCACGCATACGTTTACGTCTCTCCATAGCTGCATTTAGCGATGGTAAGTGATGATACGGTGAATAGACATAATTATTATCAGTTTCTGAGTGATTCACTGGATTTGCAAATTGTTCAATGCGATTTTGTGAGTCCGTTTCCTCAATGTCAGACTCGGCAAATAAATGATCAAATTCCATCTCTGTACCTATAAATTTTTCCCCATTAAATACATACAGTGCAATTTTTGTCTCAACATTTTAATTAGTTTCAATGATTTGAATCTTGATGAGAAACATTCACTTGCACTGACAATATTGATTGTTTATTCTTTGCACTTTAGAAAGGTATTTAAACCATTTGAAAAATATTTTGTACCTGTTGGACATCGCTGAGGTGACGGATCTGCGGTTGAAGTGAATGCTGTATCGAAAATGTCAGCTAATGATGTAGAATTTGTATCGACAGAGCCCGTGGCACTATCATTATTGAATATTTCATTACGATTATCCGTTTTCCCTCTATGCCACACATCTTCCGTCTTTTGACTTTCTTCCATTTCCGGTAAGTCTAATTATGGAGAATGAGCAAATTGAGAAAACGCAGGAGGGATGGCATTTTTTCTATTTTTATTCAAAATTCATTTTTCAAATTTATTTCCACCGTTTCTACTATTTTTGAAGACAGAGATTGGGTCGATCATTGAGATAAGACGATGACAATTGGTAATTTTACGCATTTCAGGTGAAAATAAATTCCTACGTGCCATATTAATTGATCAATGATTAATTAATGACATCTGCAATTATATTTTCACAGGATTGAGACGAAAAGCCGTAAAAAAAGTCACTCAAAATCAGTATCACACTAAACTATGAGTTTGAAAAATTATATACGTATAATAGAATAAAACATTTGATCAAGGTCATCATTGACAATAAGCACTCGTTGGTCCAACTTGAAATGTCTCAAAATCGATGAGATTTAAGGCTTAAGGAGTCGACAATCGTCGAAAAAAAAGAAGAAAAAATGGGAAGAATCGTCATCTAGTGAAAAAAAATTAATTCATACCTGCTCGTGAAGAGATCTTCTCTGAACGTTTATCTCGAAAGCCTGCAGTTTTTGCAAGTTTGTTTGTGTGTGGGGTTTTTTCCTACCACGTCATTTTTCGAGGAGAATTTTTTCCTCCATTTCACTCATTAATTTTGCGCCCACTGCGATTTAAGAAATTTACAATTACGTCACAACACTGAAAGATGATTCACTTTTCGATCAAATCACTGTATGTATTGCACATGTGGTACAAAAAAATTTATTCACCAATAAATTCATGTTGATTAATAGTAAAATAATACAACTGATCCGAGTTGATTGATAGATTGTCATTGCAATAAATGCAGAGTGTAATAAAGAAGGAGAAATAATAATTTCAACCGAGAATGCAAGATTTTATGTAGATGAGAACATAGTAATGTTAGTTCACTGCATCACCACTTCGAAGAAGAAGTGGAGATCAAGTGCAGCAGTTGCCGTGTGATGACGCCACTGATGACTTTTGTTGGTTATATGTCTACGTAAACAATTTCGTAAACACTACGAACAAGTATTTTAGGTTATTCTCATCGTTGTGGTGTAGAATCTTTAAAACATTTTTTATTTTCATCATAAAGCAACATTATTTCATAAAGTTGGATTGTTTAACATCGTTTATTTCTTCAGGAATATTCCAATTAATTGAAAACTCAAATTGAAGATCATGGTGAGTAATTATGCATCATGAAGTGCCTCATTGTTGTCCCATTGTAATTTTCTGCTTTTCTGTTTTTCAATTATTTATTTGACACTAATAACAGAGCTAGTGAAAATTGTAGGACTTTATGTAATCATATTTGTATTTTTTGTTGCTTTGCAGGCTCGTAATGCGGAGAAAGCTATGTAAGTTAAAATACAAAAGTATTTTGTAGATAGGATCTAAAAATTATTTGGATTTTTTCATGAAAAAACTTAAATCTTGAAATTGTATAATTCTTTAGGACAACATTGGCTCGATGGAGAGCAGCACAGAGTGGCGAAGGAATAAAAAAGGAACAAGAAAGACGACCATATCTGGCTTCGGAATGTCGAGACTTGAGAAAAGCCGAAAAATGGAGAATGCAAATTATTCGAGAAATCGCCAAGAAAGTTGCACAGATACAAAATGCGGGATTGGGTGAATTTAGAATACGCGATCTTAATGATGAAATCAACAAGTTACTGAGGGAAAAGAGGCATTGGGAGGCTCAAATCAAGGAATTGGGAGGTCCGGATTATTCACGAGTAGGACCAAAAATGTTGGATCATGAAGGACGTGAGGTAATACAACTAATCATCTAACCATTCAATGAAAGTGGTTTTCAACTAAAAGAAATGATTGATTTCTGTAATGACTGAATTTTATGATTATGTTATGCTCCTAAATAATGTTATTAAATATTATTCGAAACAAAACAGAGAATGAAGAAATGTAAAATAACCTGAAATGTGCATTACAGGTACCTGGAAATCGAGGATATAAATATTTTGGAGCTGCCAAAGAATTGCCAGGCGTCCGGGAGCTATTCGAGCAGGAACCACCCCCACCTCCCAGGAAAACACGAGCAGAGTTGATGAAAGATATTGATGCAGATTATTACGGATACAGAGATGACGACGACGGAATTTTACTACCGCTCGAGCAAAAAGTGGAACAAGAGGAACGAGAAAAAGCTGTGAGAGAGTGGACTCCACCTAAGGATGTAACGCCTGAAGATTCTGAATTTGACACCAGGCAAAAAACAGTACCATCGCAAGAAGACATTTGCCAAGCATTATTAGCCAGAAAGAAACAGGAATTGTTGGAAAAATATGTTCTCTAAAGCTTTTTATTAATTCATTGTACATGAAGGTTTTGGAATAAAAATTCATTGTATTGAATTTACTAAATATTTCATCTTTATCATCAGCTTAGGTGGATATTTCTATAATAAGTGATTATTAATTAGTACGATCTTTATGCAATTGATTTTTTTTCACTTGTTTCTTGCTTTTTTTTTACAAAACGCCATAGATATTAATGGATACACCGTAATGTGGTAACATTTAGTCAAGATTTTTTCTTCTAAATTTTTGTGCAGTAGACGTACAAATTTCAATGAACTAAGGTGAATAGCCCAGTGTTTAAACGAATGAAAGTTGTCAAACAGCAGTGATCGAACGAAGAAGATTCAGTAAAAACAACTTGAAAATGGGAACGTTCAATACAGTTTCATTTGAATTTATAAACATGATATTGATTTTTAATGAAAAAAGTCCCATTCCACTACAATGAGCACTTGTTCTACGATAAGTATGGAAATGACTTCGGTCACTGGAAGGGTTCAAACACTGGTCGGTTCATCCTGTATATTTCATTGACCAAAAGAGAGTGCAGTTGTTTTGGTTATTTGTTTTTTTTCTCACTTTTTTTTTCTTATGAAAAACAATTTTCATGGATCCAAAATATTGATTGTTAAATGTATGATTCAATTGTTTCATATGATTAAAAAAAATAATACCAGACTCAAGCATTAATATTTAGCTCTGCAACATTAATTATTTGTTAATCGATGGAGAAAAAGAAATTCCACTCGTCATGCTCTGAATAAATTTAGGGAGCGAATATCCATTTTTTGTTACACATTTCAATATTCAGGTTCCTTTGGCCCTTCAATACTTTTCATTTTTAATTATCCATATGAATGTTTTGGAAATAATTTCATCTGGTCTTGCTCATTGAAGCAAAGCATTCCAAGGTCGTCCCATCCCTTTAATTTTCATGATTGCTATGTGCATCATTCACTCAATTGCGATAAAGTGTAATTAGATTACGAGGACCCAGCTGTGTAGTATGATATTGCTCGATCATTATCAAATGATTAATACATCGCTTCGGTATCATCGTCACAACATTCCTCTTTTTTATCATTCATGTTTGTATCATTGATTCATTATAAAAATGTTAATATAGTAGGTTTCAATTATATTTGAATTAAAAAATTATTCAATCTAAGTGATTTAATCCAGTAAACGCTTCCTCCTGCTTCACAGATTAATTTTTATTACGATTTTAATATGTTTCTGAGTCCTTGTAACTGTATTATTCATCTATTAATGGCCATTTCATGGGGAATGACAGAATTAATATCTAGTAAAGAGAGTGTGCTTCTTAAAGGGGAACCCCCTAAAATTTGAGAGTCTCTGGTGGCTCACGGGCTTATCGAGCGATTTTTAGTGCACAATAGACCATCTAAAAAATAGCAATCATGTAGAATTCAACCCGCTTTGCCCCATCTTTCATGGTAAAACTAAATTTTTCGAGTTTTTACCGTAAAAATACCCCATGAACCACAATTTTCATCCGATTAATATTTTTTAAATGTTCTTTAGACTGGAGAGATTCAAATTGCGTCACTCGATAGGTTTATTGCGTCACCAACGACTTTCAAGTTTCACGGGGGTTCCCCCCTAAAATAATCACTAAATATTTATATTATATTTGGAAAAATTAGAAATTCAACAATTTGTTTTTAATCTCATAGATTAAACAAGTTAAATTTTGACCAGCAAAATCATCCACTTATTCCCCTTCCATTTGTCTAATTAGCTTCATTTTTGCTAAATTTGAGTAATGAATCCGTTTCTATATTCGATAATCATCATTGAAATCAAGTGATCGTCTAACGTAATCTCTTCAGCCAAATATTATTAATATTAAAATCACAATTTGCCATTATAATGTACTTTATATGAGTTTTACGTCGTTTAGCACGGTTTAATTAAGCACTAAATTGTAACGTGCGCGATTTTTCCTGTTGTTTCTATTTTCAATTTCAGTAACGAAGCGGTAAAATGGTTTACATGAAAAGAGATTTTTATTTTTCGCAATGATCAAAAAACTTCTACCTCTCAGGTAAGGATTTTGGCCAGAAAAAAATAATAGTCATTTACAATTGAGAAAATTGTGACAAGAAAAAAGTAGAAATTACGGAAACCTTGGGAATGTTCAATATATCGTAAGGGAGAACTAAACTTACGACTCTACGATTAATTTTTTTATGCAGTTTATACCGCAATAGGCAGAGGAAAAATAATCGATTAATTCATAAAATTTCTCAATAAAAACGAATATTGCGGAAGGTGAGGTAAAACAAGAAATTATGAAGAAGATTTTAATAACTTTAACGGCAAGAGGTAAAACCATCCATTTCCCTACATGTTATTAGATGAATCCTAAGAAATCAGTGTGAAAATTGCCCAATACCGGACATCATTTCGTTCTGTTTATCTTTGATGTTGGTTTAAGTATACAATACCAAATGAACAAGCGTTGAAGGGGATGAAAAGGCACAAAACGTAAAAATGAAGGTCAAAGTTGACGTTTTTTTGTTGTTTTTTTTAAATTTTCTTTTATGTTTTTTTTTTCAGGCACGAATGGGATATTTAAGAAATCTGTGTGCCATGGATTTTCTTTACTATCGACATTTTATGTTTTTGCCTTCTTTACACTTGTTTAGTTTGTTTTTTTCACCGTAACAATAATGATGAATTAAGGTCACCAGTGAATCGATGTTCACCATTGACAAGAATTACAACTTGACGACAAATCGATAAAAACGAGAAACTGTCCACCGCCTAAACTTTAGGAGGGGAAAAAAATTGGCACACTTTATGCCGTAAAGTATTTCAATGTTGTATTTCCCTCTTATTTATATTTATCCCGAATGATAAATATATCGTATGTTAGCATCAAAATTTCTTTTCCAGTGAAACAATTGATAGTGATTTATTGACTCCAGTGTTCTCTCTTGAGTAGATAGTGACAATAACAAGGCGATATATTTTGAGGAAATATAATCGCTCCAAAGAGAGAGAAGCAATGAGCATCGTCCAAAACGTTATGCTCTCCATTCAATTTTTTGTTTTTCAAGTATTGAACAATAATTGTTGTCAATAAAATTTGCAGGAGAAAAAAGAAAAGGTAAACTTACGGACGTAGAAGTGAGTGCCAACGCTGTAATTGTTTGGGTGAACGTGCTGAACGCATGTCATTCCAGTGTTGAAGTTCCTCTGGTCCTGAGCTGTTCAGTCCTAGGCACAACCATCCAATCATTTCACGTCCCTTCTTGCCCATTGCTGAGCGTCGACGATTGTAGACAGAAATAAAAAGTGTCACATCACCAAGCTGAAACAGAGCAACCTGAAAGATGAATGTTTCCTTGTAGAGTGGATTCGGTTGTGCACGTCTCAATCCAGTTTTGGATCTGCCCATTTCATGTCCATTGCTGTCGACCAGTGTGAGCTTAACATAGGTGTCCGGTGGTTTTGTATCACTACCACCGCCACCCCGAAAATGTGAGCCTTTTATAATCTCCACTGACAAACGTCCAGTAGTACCATTATAAGCAAGACCAATGAGTATCTCAGCAATGCTACCCCCTTTCATACTGCTGCCATAGGGGGGTGTTGTGGGCGATGCATACGATTGTACCGATTGTTGAGAGCCTGTTGAATCACTTCGAGTTAAACTCGTCGTTGTACCCCAATCGTGAACAGACGAGCGTGGTGGTGGCTGTAGTGGTAGACAAAGTATTGTCTCCAACTGGAGATTTATCTGATCGAAGCAAACACGAGCCTCCCCCAGCAACCTCTCGCGACGCATTCTTCCACTCCACTGATAGACTCTCATTCTCACTCCCATTGCATTGACATCCTCAGGATTCACTCGGGGTAGTAAAAAGCTCTCCATGTACTGCGGTGAACACCCCTGACGCACCCGAGTCTTACGTCTTTGTTTTTTCGATGGCAGAAGGACCAGTCTCACTTGGCTTCCACCGATTCCAGCCGGATAATTTTTACCCTGAAGCACTTGCACTGTCATCTCACGCATAGGTGCGTCGTACAGAAAAGCCACCTCGAGACAACCAAACTCATCGATTGCTTCATTGAGAGCCTGCCGAGGCTCATCCGACGATGGCGTGCAAACCTCCTCAATGATCCCCACCTCCTCCTCCTCGTCCTCACATCCCCGACTCTCCAATATCATACTCGGAGATCCAACGTCCACGACGCACTCGTGCTGATCACTTGTGTGCTCATCAGGACAACTGCTACATGAATTAGCCGTATCAACAACTGTTGGCGAATCTTCCGTCTGAATGGTCAAAGTATCCGGTAGTGGAACGTGCGAGTGAGAAGTTTGCAGTCTTCTGAGTGCATCCTCCTCGGAATCTGAACTTGTCTCTGGATCTGAATATGCCACTACCTTTCCCAAGCTCTTGTCAACTGGAGTATTAGCATTACACTCGGTCGGCTCATTCAGTGGCACACAGATACCACCGAAGAGGGTCGTCTGTGGCACAGGTGTCAATGCCCATTTTTTTGAGAGGTAGAGAAATAACACCAGCAGTAGAGTCACGAATCCAGCGACCGTTCCTAGAAATGCTGTCAATCCCACCGGTCCTGAAAATCAGGAAGGTCTTTGTTACAGAGGGAAAATGAATTGTTAGTGGGATATTTCCAAGCGTAGCTGTCTGAGAGAGAATTAAAAGGTGTACGCATCTATATATGTACGCATTATAAGGGTTGGAAAAGGAAACCAGAGGGTCGAACACGGAGTCGTATAATTTCGGATAAAATTTCATATCACTCGTTATCACGTCGAATGAACCTTGGAAAATCACGCACGAATGAGTGAGCAAGTGGATTTTATCGAAGTAATTGGCGTGCAGTAGGGGTAGTGGACTTACCCGCAAGAAAATGGTCTGATCCAGTCAGTATCATGATTGTCAGTGAAATAAAATTCGCAGTTGCGCTACCCTTCGTTAATCGACGGCCGATGCTGAGCCGCCTTGGAATAACGCACGCATTCTATCAACGGAGATTCCGTCAAAAGTGATGATAGTGCTGTTACCACCTTGCGATGAATCTCTTGGTCTCGTTTGTTTGATTACAAACGTGCTTATACGCCGAATAATACGTGGGCGGGGGAATACAGCACTCTGTTGCTCTGCAGGATACGTGCGCCACCGAGAAAATTTCACGTAAAGAAAGAGGGGTGAAGTAACGCTTGCGCATCTTTATGTTATCATAGTCAGGGGGTAGCTTAATGGGTGGAAATTTACTTTTATATTTGCGCGCAGGTCACCAGAGTCAACCGCAACCTGCCGTGCCTTTTATTATCTATACAGTCGTAGGTCTTTGAAATGTATTGATAAACACATGTACATGCTTTCATTACATAGGGGCGGGCGGGGTAAAACGGAGACTTTAGAATTTTTTAAAATTATTCACAACTCAGAAACAAATTGATCAATTGAGCTCAATTTAGGCTCATCACAAAGGGAAAGAATTGTTCTTTGTATTGAGGAGAAAATTATTAAATTTTATCAACATTTCAACTCCTCATTAACATTTTTTAAAAAGTCAAAAGTGTCCGTTTCACCCGAATCTCCCCTATATGCTGTCATTTTTCGGATCATTTTTTATTCATTTCTCTATTGTAGCTTTATTTTTTGCAAATCATGTATATCATGTATTGAAGCACAAAAACCACTTCCACTTGTTTAACGAAAGATGAGGGGAGAGCAAATTATTTAATAATATAGATGAAATGCCGAGAATTAAACAGGTGAATCAACTATTTTGGGCAATGATTTTGATATTGTAGCATATTTTCATGTACTAATTCTAGAGTTGTTACATATACATGAAGTAGGGGAGGTTGAGGTAAAATGGACACTTGATTTTTTTAAATATTAGTGACGGGTTGAAATATTGATGAAATTTAATTATTTTTTTTTTCAATACAAAGAGCAATTCTTTTCCTTTGTGATGAGCCTAAACTGAGCTCTATTGATACATTTGTTTCTGAGTTATGAATAATTTGAAAAAAGTCTAGTGTCCATTCGACCCTACCCTCCCTTACTCCAAATTTGTATATGCAGTAACTTGCGCGCCTATTATACCATCAACACCATCAATGAATTACTGCATCTTTCGATAGTAACCATGTGTTCAAATTAGCCGTTGTGGAATGAAAGAAAAACTAATGGCTTGGGGTTTTTGAAAATTATTTACAATTTTGAATAAAAACATTGTAAACCGCATGTACTGAGGATGTTTTCATACTTCTCGTTCAACCTAACCTCGATGAGAGCGTCGATTTCCGCTGTAAGATAGGCAAAAACAAGAGAAAAACACTCCGAAGCTGCAACAATGTGAATAATTTTCTTGTTCCATCTTCTTTGATGTTAAATTTTACAACTTGTTTTTTGTTTCTATTTCTTTAATTTCCAGGAACTTGGGCGCAACGAGATGTATGTTATTGTTTCAGTTGAAAACTACAAAATTGTTGATGAATAAAATAAATGTGGAGAAGCACTTGAAGCACCTAAGTAGTCGGCTTTACTGCAATGTGGATAAGAAAAACACGTCCTCATCAAGAAAGTCATTTGGAGGAGAGAAAACAAAGGGCCTGCGTGCCAAAATAATTCACGAATTTAGAGAGACAAAGCACAAAGTCGAGGAAATTATTGAGAGGGAAAATATATGGACTGTTCCTAACTTGCTCTGCATTGGCAGGATAGTATCGACGCCTTGTTTGAGTTACTTGATAGTTTCTCATGATTATCAGGTAATTATTTGTTCACACACGTTGAATTCTGAATATTAATAATGAATGGTTGAATTTGATAGGTAGCTCTGTGGCTTCTGGGATTCGCTGGGCTAACAGACTTCGTTGATGGCTGGATTGCAAGGACATGGACGTCTCAAGCGTCTAAATTAGGTAGTTTTTTGGATCCAATGGCTGACAAACTGCTCGTTGGCTCTTTATTTTTATCATTGGCATGGGTGGAACTCATCCCCATGCCTCTGATGGTGCTTGTACTCGTTAGGGATGTCGGTTTGATTGCTGCAGCATCCTACATTAGATATCGTTCCTTACCTGCGCCTGTGAGTATTCCAATTATTCGTGCTTCAAATTTTTAGGAATTATTCTAGTTCTCTTGTTGGAAACTCCATAATTTATTCTCATCACTGCTGTACAATATTCACAATATTATTACTACTATTTTAATTCTGCTACAGAAAACATTAACGAGGTATTTTGATCCGACGTATGCAACAGTTCAGCTAGCTCCCACATTGACTAGTAAATTAAATACAGCAGTTCAACTGTCATTAGTTGCCAGTACTCTTGCAGCTCCAGTTTTTCACTTCGTTGACCATCCACTCCTCCAGGGTCTCTGTTATCTAACAGCCATCACTACAGTGGCTGGTGGTATTAGTTATTTGATGTCGAAAAATACTTATAAATATCTTTCAAAGAAAAAACACTCGGAAAATCCACCATCGTGACGGTACATATGGATAAATTTTATTGTTGTTTACTTTTATGATGATTAAAATACTATAAAAATTTGAACAGTTGAATGAATTATTTGTATTTGCATGATCACAACAATGGCATGAAGGAAAATGTAATTGTGAAAGGGATGGAGAGAAATGAGAATTTGTTGAATGACATATATCTTGACGTTTGATGTTTGAAAGTCCCAAGTCAATGCTACTGAGCAATAAGTTACAGTAACTTTTTAATATTAAATTGAATGAACCTGCGAATATTTTAAAGTATTCAAACTAATTTGTTTATTTAACTGAACTATAAACATAACGATAAAGGGAACTTTAAATGTAATAGGGGTGCGGTGGTTTATACATTTCATAGGCAAATTGTTCATAATGCTTGGGGTCATTTTCAACTCCAATATAATCAATTTCGAGTTTGAAAGGTCCTGAAATGCCGGCAGCAGTAAAACTTATGGACATCACTTCCCAAAGTCGTAGAGGTAATTGGGAATCTTGAATTTTCCCTCTGTTTCCTAGGTAAAATTTGGAAAATGGTATTTTAACGTACTGCCAGTATGGCCCTCCTCTGGTATAGAGTGGAAAACTGTGAAGATCTGCCCACGTAACATCGAAGTCATTTTTTAAATGTAAATTAATCATGTATGAGTGTCCATCCCCGCGAACTCGCAATATCAGGTGAGTGTAACTGAACCACTGATATGGCTTTTCAATTTTGAAAGGACCGCGTTGTATGACCGATCTAAGGTTACAAAAACCAGCACGCTGCAGTTTACCATCTTGAGGGACACGTGTGTCTATTATTCCGGAGAATACTCCAGCTCCAGTTGGCGATAATGATACCCTAATGATGGAGAAATGAATATTTCATTTTTCATTGACAAATATAGGGGAGGTTGGGGTAAAACCGACACTTTTGACTTTTTTAAAATGTTAATGAGGGATTGAAATGTTGATAAAATTTAATAATTTTTTTTTCAATCCAAAGAACAATTCTTTCCCTTTGTGGCGAGCCTAACTGAGCTCAATTGATCAATTTGTTTCTGAGTTATGAATAATTTTTAAAAAGTCTACGTATTGTCATTTTTTGTTATTTATCTCGAGTTGAACTTACGTCGCTTTTGAATATCCATGATTGTAGTCACTGTCACATGTTACAACCCATTTATCTAGGATCTTTGGATCCCCATTGAATTTCCACTGAACATCCACTTCACCAGGAAATTTCACGATCGGTGGATCCAATTGGAGAGAATTCTTAATTTCTTCCTTCAACTTTCCACATTCCTCAATGAATTGGAAGTAACCTCTATATATTCTTTGAAAAGGATTCAACTTTTCCTCCTTATAATCTGATATATTTGGAAAGCCCGACTTTCTGTCCGGCTCATAAAAGACCGCTAGCTTTCTGGACGTGTGGACACGTCTCCAATTACTTTTGCACATGAATTTCGAAGTATTTACTAAGCGATTTGTCAACGGATTCATCATTGGATATTTTTTTTCATAGACTATATATGTCAGGTCCAGCTGTATATATATTTATCAGCTGCCATAAACACGCGTTTGCCTATCCTAACCTAGAATATATCTAATATAAAGCCTCTAACCTCTCATTTCAATCGCAACTGCAACGTTGAATTGTGTTAAAGACTGTGAATTCACTATAATTATAAAATTAACTTCAAATAATACTTTAGCATCTTTTTCGTACTTGATAATAACTAGAGGCAACTGGGATTACTCGAAGTATGTCGATATCACGAGTACAACAATCAGAAAATGCAGGCGGTGATGGTGAGCCCATATTCCAGGACCTGAAGGCACTGGACGAGGATCATCCTCCAGTTACGATTATAGAAAGTTTGTGCATGAATTGTGGGGAAAATGTAAGTCCACTATACTATTTATTACGAGCAATGATTAATCCTAATCTCGTTGGAAATTAATTTCAAAGGGCCTCACAAAATTACTCCTGACTAAAATTCCACATTACAAAGACATTATCTTGATGTCTTTTGAATGCGAAAATTGTGGATTTAAAAATAATGAAATTCAAAATGGAGGGAAAATAAATGAAAAAGGAATCAGAATCAAACTAGAAGTTGTCGATAAGAGAGATCTAAATCGACAAGTAGTGAAATCTGATTATACAAACGTCACAATACCTAAATTGAACTTTGAAATTCCATCGCAATCGCAGAAAGGAGGTAAAAATAATTAAATATACTCTTTTATTGCTCTTTTAACTGATTAGTGCATTGACATTGATGGGATTGTTATTCAGAAATAACGACACTCGAAGGAATAATCGATAGAAGTATAACGGGATTGGAGCAAGATCAACCGAGAAGAAAGGAAGAAAATCCTGAAACTGCAGCGGAGATTGAGCTATTTATTTCAAAATTACGTTCTTTGAAATCCGTTGATGAACCCTTCACTATTATTTTTGAAGACATAACGGGGGAAACGCACGTGGAAAATCCTAATGGATTACGAAAAGATCTTCAATGTTCGATAACTCACTTTGTAAGATCGGAGATGGAGAACAAAACGCTCGGAATTTTTGAAGAAAACAACGATGGGCTTTTGAAGCCTATTGAACCAGGAAGCTTTACGTTGGAAGAATTGGAGGGTGAAGTTTTAACTTTTGCCACCAATTGTCCCAAGTGCAATGCTCCATGCGCCACAAATATGAAAATGACGAGTATCCTTTTTAAATCATTAAAATTTCATTCGTTACAGTATTTCATTTTCATTTCTCGTAGGAAACCAGTGATTTTTATGGCAATCATAATTTTCCATTAACCCAATAATTCAGATATTCCACACTTCAAACAAGTGGTAATAATGGCAACAGTATGTGATCAGTGTGGTCACAAAACGAACGAAGTCAAAAGCGGTTGTGGAATCGAGCCCGAAGGAGTAAGAATGCAAGTTAAAGTGAATGGAAGGGAGGACTTCAGCAGAGATGTCTTGAAATCAGAAACATGCGCCATGGAGATTCCAGAATTAGAGTTGGAAGTGGGGCCAGATGCTCTCGGAGGCCGCTTCACAACTGTAGAGGGCATTATCACAGCAACGAGAGAGCAATTATTGTCCAATACTTCGTTTTGCGGAGACAGCGCTGATGAAACTGTTAAAAAACGAATGGATGAATTCATTTCAAAACTGGATCAAGTTCTGAATGGCGTACGCCCATTAACAATTATTCTTGATGATCCAGCTGGTAACAGCTACATTCAAAGTCTCTCGGACAGCGGTTGTGATGAGAGATTAAATATCACCAAGTATGAGAGAAATTTTCAACAGAATGAAGAGTTGGGGATTAACGATATGAAAGTGGAAAATTATTAAGCAGATTGAATGAAGCTACATTACATTCATAATTTCCAGAATCTGTGAATATTATTTTATCTTTTTTCAATATTCCCACGAGAGTTGGAACTGTATAATAAAATGAACAATTTTATCATGTATTTTTATTTTTATTCTTTGTTTACTCTTCCTTATTACAATCAATTGATTCTGAATTCTGTTGGTTATTGTCAATTATTCGAGACGGCTGGAAGAAAAATAATGTAATAACAAGCTGTTATTGACCATAGATTTGTTTTTCATCACTTACACAATGGGAACACCATCCAATTTTTTTAATTTTGGAAGGCGTCTAGTGACTTGAGCCCTCCAGGACTCCGCGTCCAAATTTTCACAAATGGGATTATTTATTAAAATGAGTTCTTCTAATTTTGGTATATCTTGGAGCCGATTGAATTCAGCCCAGTCTTTTACGAGATTATTCCCCATGTAGAGGACTTTCAGAGCTTTAAATACATTGACACCTTTGATTTTCTCAATGAGATTGTAAGAAATCCATAATTGTTCCAAATGTCCCCCAACAGGTTCCAGTCCTGCAAAAGTCTTTATATAATTCCTTCCCAAGGACAGAATTTTCAAATTCCGGAGGGCCTCAAGACCAGCTATTTTCTCAATCATATTAGTTGACAGGGACAATTTCCTATGAGCAATAATAATGAGAGACAGAAGTACAGGAAGTTGAATGAAAAAATTGAAACTTGAGTGATCAACCAACTCGACGTTAATTAGGATTGACAAACTATTGTCCATCCTTTCGATTGGAGGCCATTGAAATGATAGAGTGACTTCTTTTGCTTCGCCACAAGATTTCCCCGTCTGTTCTTCCCATTTTTTGATAGCTTCTTTACAAGTAGTGGGAGCTGTCTATTGAATTTCCTTATTTCAGTATTTCAAGTGAAAAAATTACACAATGAATAAAAATAAATAGGAAATAGTTACCATCGTGTATTTCCAAGGAGAACTAAACGATTGACTTGCCTTGGAAACCGAAATAAAAGAATGCCGATGACAAACGAAAATTGCAAGTGGATACTTTTTTAAAAATTTTATTCCTGCATTCAATTAAAATGATGGTTTAAAAATATTTTTTATTCAATTTTTACTCGTCTTATTGTCATTTTGAAAATTTACCTACAAAATGCTGTCAAATTATTGAAACATAGAATGGCAAAAAATAAAAAAAATTGGATAATGGTGAGGAATGAATTTTGAAATTTCAGACTGGTTTCGAGAATAAACGAGAGTGTCTCTCCAGTCGTATTTTCGTACACACACCCGATTATGCCCAGTGACCAATGGCCGCCTTCGGTATTATGATGTCGGCCTCCCAGTTCAATACATACATACGATCTCGATAACGTACGTCGCCGACTTGCCGTGGTGTCGGCTGACTGGCCACCGACTTTGATGTTTAGAAAGTTATTTTTCTTTGGTCTACATAAAACAAAGATTAAATTATAATTACACCCAATTAATCTAATTAAATCATCTAAAACAGATAGAGTTATTCTAAAATCGCAACATACCACAGCCGTGTTTAGTCCGTCCGTTAGAATAGTGAAAAACTGTGTGTGATTCAAAACAGGCTCCGTAAAACCGGTAATGCCATCTCTAAATTAAAGCTTTGTGTTGAGAAAATTAGAAAAAATATGCCAAATATACTGAAAAAAGACAAGGTGCGTTCATCACGTTAATTGTAATTTCGGAAAAGAGGTGATGGAAAAATGTGATTTTTCTCTCACTTCTCTCTCTCTCTCTCTCTCTCTCTCTCTCTCTCTCTCTCTCTTTTTTTTATACCTTCCATTGGTGACTCTTTGATATCTATGTGCCGTTAGTTTGAATTTAGAAAAAATATTCAACTGTTATTAACAAATGTTTGCTATCCCTGTATTGCTTTGTCTTTAACTGCATACCGAATCAATAGATAATTCAAACACTAAAAGTAATTTAAGAAAAAAGTCGGTCCGGGAGAGGGTACAAAGGGCGGAGGGGGAATGAAAAGGAACACAACCTCGGTAGCCCAAGTATACGTACTATATCTACCTACCCTCTAATACCACACACATACACACACACGCAACACATACACATATGTAAATCTCGATCAACATCCAGCCGCTCTATCAAAAAGAGAAAATAAATTCAATTGATTCCAGAATTAATCAACAGTTGGAGTAAATTGACCACTTCAAATATCGGAATCTTCGGAATATTGAAAAATTATCATCAACTCCAACTAAAGTTATAGTAACAATTCGTGTATTATCGTCCGAATAAATACAATGGTATTGTTGAATTCTTCATTCACATAATTCACATTTGATTGAAGATTTTTTTTCATTAGTCACCTGCTTTGTGTCATTCTTTTACATTCTGTTCATTTTTTCCCCTTCGGCCCTTTGTCAACTTATTTCAGCTTCATTTTACGTTTCAGGAGTCAGGAAAGAACAAGGAGAAGGGAAAAAATGGGAAGGATCCAGAGCATGGAGATGAGGTGAGGTTATGGAACTTGCATGAATTTAACATATATTGTAAAAGTTATTTAAATGTAGTCGAAAAGTTGTACTCTCTCATACCGTTATTTTGTCACTACCGTAATGACAGTCTTTTTTCGTGTTTTACTATTATTGTATTTATGAATTGAGAGCCATTCTATGAATGACTGAGCTACGCGAGAGGCTTGGATTTTTTACTCGTCTTGATTCAGCAATGTATTGTTGTACCCAACAATGTTATTAAGGCTTATTAAATAATGCATGTTTAGTATTTGGCATTCGTCTATTATTGATTTAAAATAAATATATCGGAGCACATTTTGAGGTTATACCGATCTCGTTCTGATAGAGCACTAGCTGGGAGACTCATTTAATATTTGACTAACGGGATTTTGAAAATTTTCAATTTAATGTGGAATTCCATCGAGATACTGTAATTTACAAATTTCAATACTTTAGCGCTGCAATTCTTAAGTAATTGAGTATTCATATAAATCAGGATATGGGCCTGTTGGTTTTCCATAAGTTGAAATAATCATACAGTTATGAATCTCGGAATGGAATACATCTAGCTACACGGAATGCAATGCTTAACGGTGGCCTCTCCAGTTTACACAATAACTATGAAAGGGTGAAAGAGGTTTCAGTCGTTATTTTATGGTCCTTTTTAATTAGTCATCCGAGGCTTGTTGCATAACATCTGTAATTACGTATATTGGAGGTGCATTGTTTGATTTTGTTGCAATTAAGACTGTTTTATCTGTGGAGGTGAACTGTTGGCTCGATTCAGAGAAATACAGCTAGAGATCTCTGTCAGGCTGATGCATTAATCACATCTTTTAATGCCTTTAATTCATTAAAAAGCATCTTTTAATTAAATGCACGCTTTTTTTATTAAACGAGTAACAATTTGGTTCATTCTTACAAGTGACTACTTCCTCTCCTTTGCTCTGAAAAACAATATCAGATCCGTTTAAGAGATGAGGAATTTAATCTACTTTTTTTTCTTTTCTTATTGTTGCTTCGTCTTACCCACTGCATCTTCTTGAAAGTAATTGATAGTATTGCTTATGGAATTTGGTAGTGATTTTTTCGTGAACAATTCCATCCAAAAGTCAATGTTTGAATGTCGACGGGACTCGGGGTTGAGGGTAGGGAGAGAAGAATGAACCATTCCTGAGGCATCTGTCGTTTAATAACCCATCAGTTTGATTCAGACAAAAGTTAAAAACAAGGAACCGTATCCCCACCATTTACAAGCTGCTGAAAAAGTCGGGGTATCTATTTTGAGGATTGTGTAAATAGAAAGCATGCCAATAATATATGCCAGTGCATTCCGAGCGGCCCACGCGCATACATTTTCCTTTCCATTTATTTACTTTTTTCTCCCGAATCACTCCAATTTCATCCAAAAAATATGCCGGAAATCTAGCGATTGTAGTGCAAGTTACTGTTATACAACGAGACGATGTCAAATAGCATGTGTTTATGCTCGTGGATCATGTCATTGACGTGAGAAAATTTTGTCTTGTAAAATCGAGTGATTCTCTAGCACTTATCCGTGTATCATTTTGACGTAACTACGCAATACATATCTCAGGGACGCTGAGTGATCAAGTGAATGCCACAGAGTGAGAGAGAGAAAGAGAGAACATATTCAACTTGAGTGCCGCGGCAAGTGCAGTTATACTCGATGCCCACTGAGTCTCGTGTTCGTGGTAACAAGTGGAATGGATCGGCGATCAATTTATTATCAGGGAGGACTTGTAGTAGTTTAATCTCCTTTACACCGCTAACGAGCGATTGGAGTTACAAAAAACGCAAAACATTTGACATGTCTGTCTGATAATAATTTCATTTCGCTTCAACGGACTCTCGTAACCGACTCATCTGCATTATTTTCTATTAATATTTTCTCTGCTGTCATGTTGAGAAGGCTGCGAGAAAGGAAAAAAACATGACTAAATAGAATAGAGTTTTATTACGACAACCCAACATATGCAATGACAGTCATTTCGACTCCGTGCCACCGGCAGATCTCTCGCCAAAACGTGTCGCAAGTAATTCGATTCTCGATCATGAGCGTGATTGTCAGTTTTATTATCATCATCAGTGCCAGCCAACGGCCTTGGTGTGATACTGTAGTAAGAAAAGGAGTAAGGATCCATCAGCTTTCGTCGTTTGAATAAAAAAAACTGAGTGAATTTGTGGTGAAAGGAAGTGAAGCACTGGTGTCAAATAACGCTCGATTATGGATAGTTTGATGAAAGATTTTGTGATAAAAATTTGTGTATGTGATGTTATATGATCGTTGAGTGACACACTGGGAGGAATAACAAAATGCAGACATTTAGTAACCTTGCATTTGGAAATGTCTTCAAGAAAAAGGCAGGAACTCATCATTATTATCAACGACTCGTGCTTGTTTCAAAATTAATTACATTTTTTTTGTCGATAACCGAGAATATCTATTTTGAATTAGAGAGCTGACTAACAAGTAATGCAGTTAACTTCAACTTGATTTAGTATGAAGATAATAATTTATTCTCTTCAGAGAGAAGAACAGAATTGTGTTATTTTTCGTTCTTGCCTGAAAAAGACTCATCATCGATGATATTACCGAAACTACAGAACAGATAAGATAAATCCAAATGTGTAATTGCTCGTAACTTTGAAATAATGATATCGGAACAATAAAACCCTTATAGTTCTGTTGATCTGATTGGATCAATTTTTCATCAATTCTCAGTTGTATTTCATTTGCAGGATAACTCGCAGTATTTCACGCACGGTTCAGTTGATCCCCTGCAAATCGTCCCTTCTCTCAATTCACATCGAAGAATATTATTCTCCAAGACTGAAGATATCGAAAAAACTTTACGCAAAATTCTTATTTTTCATAATTATGTACTTTTATTATAGAATAACAAAGCCGCAGGCGGTTTACCGGGTGGCAGTACACCCCCACCTCCAACACTCATCAACAAGATCAAATATCAACCTGGTGGGCCTGTCATTAAAAAGGACAAGCGACAAAGCAGTTCAAGGTTCAATATATCGAAGAATCGTGAATTACAAAAATTGGCTCCTTTAGCTGGTGGGTGTTTACATGTGCTTCTATTTTTTCTTCATCTCAATTATATTAGATGCATCTTATTGACAACTCAATATCTGAGTAATTATGATTTTTCATTCGCTTCTCTTAACCAATCAACACTAATAAATTAATGCTTTATGCATTTCATTGGACGTGCCCTTTTCCAATAGTTCAATTTTGTGACTGTTGAAATTCTTATGCTTGAATAACTTCATTCTGCACATACACATTCGCACACACACACATCTCCTAAGAATATTATCATCACAACACCTACGTCAGTGTCTATCGATTATTTCACCGGCTTGCGCAGACGCATTTGGGTTCATATTTTACAAGCAGTTCGGTTTCTCTGGATGTTCCCTGGTATTTCTTGTCATCCGACGTAAACAGTTTCCCCTAAAACGCGCTAATATTTCTCATAAAACACACTACGCTCATCCAACGTATATATTTAAATTTAGAGGAAGACTCTCATTCCCATTTCACCCTAAGATTATTGGACCCCAGTGAATCGAATCTTCATCTTGGATCATTTATCAAATCTGGAATTGGTGACAATTGCATAAAACTGAATGGAAAGGAAAGAGAATTAGGAGCTGGGGATTATTAACATTGATTTCTACAAATCATTTGATATTTGAGTTGTCGAGTGACAATTGACAAACAGACTGATGGTTGACGAACGTCTTCGAGTGAATACAAAATTAGTTTTTGGTTCTGTAGAATAACTTGTGAGCTTCATTAGTTGAATCATTGGGTTCACACGCCCATAGATATTAAAAGTCTATTTTTATTCTTAAAACGCAGATGCAACAGTCTGTGCATTCAAATCGACAGATTAATAATGTTTAAATTAATTTACCGAATATTTAAATGTCCCTGTGACCGAATTTGGGGCATTGGCCCATTCTGACTCATACAATAATCACTTGATTTTGTATTTATCAATTGACCTATCGTTATGGTTCACGTTGGTGGTATGAGTCCCTCGTTGGGAAGTGGTCTTCCAAAAAGCCCAAGTTTTCACCAGGGATTAGCATTCGCTGCTGTTCTCACTCAAGATAATGACAAACAGTGTCAGCTGTTATCCGCTCTTCACTATCAGCCACTGCAACCCTTACTCATTGGTAAATGACCTGTAATTACCAAAGATGTGGCTTTATCTTCCACTTGATGTTTTAAAATCTTTTTCTCTTTGCTTTTTATCATTGAAATACGTATTTCGGTGTTTTTTTTTTTAATTTAACGTTGAATATCTTTCCATTACTTCAAAATGAATAGCACTAGATGAGTTGTCATTCTATTTTCATTTATGTAATGATGTTAATCATCTGAAGAGATTGCATTGGGAATTGATGATTCACAGAGGCTCAACAACCCAACGAAAGGGAAGAGCTCTTCATACAAAAGCTCCGTCAGTGCTGTGTACTGTTTGACTTTGAGTCTGATCCACTGTCCGATTTAAAATGGAAGGAAGTCAAGCGTGGTGCTTTGTTGGAGATGGTAGAGTACGTTACAAAGAACAAGGGTGTTATCACCGAATCTATTTATCCCGAAGCAGTAAATATGGTCAGTCAATGGGTTTTTCATCACTGCATTTTATTACTAGCTGCCTCAAGTATAATTATTGATAGTTGTCACTGCAACATTGATTTCCACTGTATTCCAGTTTGCTGTAAATCTATTTCGAACTCTACCACCGTCTTCAAATCCAAATGGTGCGGAATTCGATCCCGAGGAGGATGAGCCTACTTTGGAGGCAGCATGGCCGCACCTACAACTCGTTTACGAGTTCTTTCTGCGTTTACTGGAGTCTCAAGACTTTCAACCATCTATTGCCAAACGTTATATCGATCACAAATTTGTTTTGCAATTGTTAGAGCTGTTTGATTCTGAAGATCCACGAGAGAGAGATTTTTTAAAGACAACTTTACACAGAATTTATGGAAAATTTTTGGGTCTCAGGGCGTACATTAGAAAACAAATAAATAATGTGTTTTATCGATTTATTTATGAAACTGAGCATCATAATGGAATTGCTGAGCTCTTGGAGATTCTCGGAAGGTGACCATATGGAAATAAGAGTGAGGAAAATGAAAAATAATATTCTATATATTTCGTTTTTTTTCCCTTATTTTTACAGTATTATCAATGGATTTGCTCTGCCTCTCAAGGAGGAGCATAAAATATTTTTACTGAAAGTGCTATTACCGCTTCACAAAGCCAAGTCGCTATCTGTATATCATCCTCAACTTGCATACTGCGTTGTTCAGTTTCTCGAAAAGGATCCAAATCTAACTGAACAAGTCATTAAGAATCTATTGAAATATTGGCCGAAAACACATTCACCAAAGGAGGTAATGTTCCTTAACGAACTGGAAGAGATACTTGATGTTATTGAACCAGCAGAGTTTCAAAAAGTAATGGATCCACTCTTCAGGCAATTGGCTAAATGTGTTTCGTCGCCTCATTTTCAGGTTTGTACAGCGTTTCCTCAATGTTTATAATTAAATTAAGTCTGCATTAAAATGACAAATTTCTATTATTTACCTTGTTTTTTAGGTCGCCGAGAGAGCACTGTATTACTGGAACAATGAATACATAATGTCCCTAATATCCGACAATTATTCCTTCATCCTCCCAATAATGTATCCTGCATTATACAAAAATTCACGCGATCATTGGAACAAAACGATCCATGGATTAATATATAATGCATTGAAACGTCTCATGGAGATGAATCAAAAGGTATTCGACGAGTGCACGCAACAGTACACTCAGGTAAATCATTTTAATTGTTTCTTCACTTATTTATCGATTATTATTGCTTCCATTGTTGATGGGTGGATTATTTATTCAAGGATCAACAGAAAGAGAAGCGTATGATGAAAAATCGTGATGATGCATGGAGCAGAGTTGAATTACTCGCAATGAGACATCCCAATTATAATGCACTGTTCCAGGGTGCGCGGTACACTAATCCTAATCATCAATTGGATAGTCCACCATTGGATGACGATGCTGATAATGATGCCATTCCACTGACGCTGGAAAAAATTGAAGCAAAAGCCAATGAGGTATTTCATTCGTGTTTTTCTACTTTTTTTTCTTTTTCGATTCGAGAAGCAATTGATTTGCTATTGATGTTATTCCTTGATTTTCTCACTAAAAATCGTATTTTATCAAACTACTATCATTCTTATTATTATTATTATTATTATTATTTGTCGTTTCAGGCCAAGAAGATGACAAATACGAACAAAGTAAAACCTCTGTTACGAAGAAAGAGCGAATTACCACAAGATTCTTACACGATGCGTGCATTATCAGATCACAAGCGTGCAGATGAATTTCTCGTAACACCACCAGATCCGAACAACTGCTAGTCCCTGCCAAATTCACATTTGATCAATCCCCTCTTTTGTAACAAAAATCCCAGGTCTAATTATTGTATTGATTTCTTATCGCAGACACAATTGTTGACACAATCACCGTAAAAAATGTGAAAGAAAAAAAAAATATCGTTGGTAGAGATACATTAATACAACGTTTAAGTAAACGTGCCCAATTCCTCGAGTCTAATGACAAGGCTGAGGCACTCCAAGTGGTTATGGATTTCTTCTCTTTTTCGGAGATGAAAATTATGAAAATTTAACACCTGCTGTCTTCGATATATTCTTTCTATTTTTAAGAAAATGTACAACAATTATTGTGGAGAGTTTCAGTTTTCCTCCTCCATAATTGTAGGGGCGGGGGGAGGGGGGTAGAGGGAGGAGGTAAGGTGTGGTTTAGTGAAAATTTCTGGGATATCACGAAAGCTGAAGACGAAAAAAAAAACAAATTGCCAATCACGTGTGAGCTTTGAATGTCAACTCTGAATAATCTTCATTACATCATTGCCCCGACTTACGCTCCATTGATGCATTCTCATGAGTCGTTGACATAGAATTATCATAATAACAAATACAACTAATACATGAAAGTTGTAAATAATCAAGGTGACTTGCTTAAAAATTAAATGTCATTTGGTCACTAGATTTTGTTTCATTTGGACTTATCACGTCATCTTCATGGGACAAACATTACGGAGTGGAAAAAATATATATATATATTGGCAACAATGCTTTATAATGTAGAAAGAGTTGAAGAGAGCATACCCATTATTTCACAAATATAAAAATACGAAAATGAATTTGGAATGATTTTTTTTCTTTCTTTGTAAATGGCTTAATTCGGAAATCAATTGGAACTAATATGATTGAGATGGAAGAAATAACCACAGCCTGTAATTATTGGTTTTCCATCGTAGATGCAATTGTTGACACAGTGGCGGTAAACGTAAAATGTAGAAAAAAATATCGTTGGTGGAGAGACGTCAATATAACTTTGAAGTAAACGTGCCTGATTCCTCAAGACTCACGGCTATTCTGTGGTTACTCATGTGGAACACTTTTACAACCTGTCAACAATTTGACGTATAAACTGTGTTTGGACCTTTAGATTCTATTCTCCGTCAGCACATTCACCGTATCTGCGACACGCTGGGCATTTGCTTCTTTTGTTTGAACTTTATGATCGTTGGACCCTTGCGATTGTGTCGCCTGCCTACTGGGATTGACCCCTTTGGGAATTTCACCTTGCAGATTGAGGGATTGCCTCCGTTGTTCGATTCATGCGACGTTTGATCCTCGCGAGGATAATCCTCGTGATCGTTTGATTCTTATAATTGTCCGCCAGGAATGCCTTTCATTCTCGACCCTTGTGACTTTTCAACCCGATTCCCCTGCAGCGATCAGCATCAATAATTAGATTATTAATATGGTTTAATACAGGCCATTTTGGGGCGAAATAAATAATAAAAAGAAATATAACAAGGATTGACACATCCGCGGACTAGGAACGAAGATAAAAGAATAACGAATAGAAAGAGACGATACATGAAGGTGGTTCAGAAGGAGGAAAAGAAAAAATACGCAACAATATTAAGAGAATTTGCACCTTGAAATAATTAAGATTTGCTTATCTTCGCTAAACTTTGAAAAACAATAAAATAATCGATAACATGGAATTGTCAATTGACTATTGAGTAAATTATTCAGAATTTGAATATTTATCTGTTGATTAATTTAATAAGTTGAAACTTGTTGAGAAATATTAGCCAATTAACTCATTGAAAATTTACTTTTCGACGTTCCGGCGGTAAATTATCGGTATTTAATCGTGTCACATCGATAACTCTCATCCACGAGACATCCTAATCCTGCCGAGAGTGCCAGGTATAGGATGTTTCGGTGTGAAAAAAAGGGAGATGAAGGGGGCAGAGCGAGTTGTAGTGTCCCGGACGGGGATTTTGTCCGGACAATACGACAAAAAGCTAGGAATCCGTGGATCGTTTAATTCCGCTCCGGATGTTGCAGTTGCTTCCGAGGTACTTCTCGCTCCTGAGATTTATTAATCATTTTCCCTGGGCTCAATTCTCTCCTCTCCTTCTATCCTTCTGCACCGCTGTGCGCCGCATACCTGCGGCTCTCTCAGTTTATAATATCCATGTATTCAGTGTACGTATACATGTACAGCAGAGGAAATGGCAAGAGATGGTTTCTTGGAAATTTCGAGTCGAGGTCCATTTGCATAATTCTCTTTCCTTTTCCTCTGTAAATGTTGATTCTGCTACTTCCTCTGTACATCGCATATACCCTATTAAAATTCTAAAAATTCCTCATAAGTAATAAATCAATTAAATCTGATAAATTGCACACATTTGCTGTAATGGTATTATTAGCGACTAAAACCGCGGCTGAAGTATATATTATATATCATATATTGGAGGTTGAATGCGGTGGTGCAACTCGCTGTATTCCGGATATCCCGTTGCCGTGACTCGAAGGGAAAACGCAGAGTTTGTATTCGGCTCTGGCTCTATCTTACTCTAGACTGCACGCTAACTCGTACTTTGGTGAGTAGCATCAGCCACATTTCCCAGTTTCCGCAGGCAATTCCCGTTGGCCACCTCATCGCCGGAGCTTCCGGGCTTCTTCAGCTTACACGTTTGTTCTGTTCCTCATCAAGATTTTTTTCTCTCTTTTTTGGGGGGAGGGGAGGTCTCGGCTTAAGTAGTACGTGAGATTTCGTTCAGTGGTCTTTATTGGAAAATCAAATATCACTTGAGATGGAGACAATTTTCTTGGAAAATAACTGTCTAAAATGGAATTGGAATTATTCATTTTGCTTCCTTCTCTTCAAAATTTGTAACGTTTACAAATACATCTTGGTCGGTAAAAATTCATTGAGGATGAAGGGATCTAATGATTCTCAATCTATTCTCATCAATTAAAAGGGTGATTTCTGATTTGAATGAATGCGCAGGTGAATTGTGGGTTAATGGCTATGGGTAGAAGGGCGAAGGGGAGGGGGATGAGGTTTAACGGCAATCGATGCCGTGTCTCCCTCACTACCAAACTCGAGATTACCACGTAATTGAATGAACTCTGCACGATCGTCTATTAGCCATACCCCATGTATAACGTACGTGTCTATCGTAACAGTGGCGAGTGGTATGTATGCTGCGGAGGCCGGTTGGCTTTAGTCTTTCCCTTGATACCTATCAACCACCCTCTCTCACCTCAAGTAAATAATAGACTCCATTTGTTCACGTGGGATAGAATTGAGGACGAGTCGCATAGTTGAATCCTTGTGTTCATGAAAAATAAAAGTTCAATTCAATTGCGTGCGGATCAGCGTTTATAATTCACAATCTCATGGGATAACTGCCACTCGATTTCTACTCTATTATCCAAATGCGCTGCATTTGTAATTTGTGCCTCCAGTTGTTACTGATCGCTCGAATTTTTAGCACAAGTTATCACAGCCATGCATCAACATCTGTGGTATCGTGTGATGAGCGGCCATCAACGAAAGGAGGAAAGCGCTGTGTCGAAAAAGCACCGGGGATATTGTCCAAAGAGGATAGCTTCGAAATCTAGCATCGGAAGTTTGTTGGCGAGTTTGTCCACTTGTCTCTTTTGTTGTTCTCTCACAAGTACCAGGAGATTTCACATTGCGGCGGCAGCGCACCGTCTGCCCCTAACGATTATTACGGTCCGACCTTTTGCCAATGCCGTTTGACCTTCGTAACATCGCTTCCATATATCATCGCATAGATATACGATAAACCAGTACAATAACAGATTGAAAAAAAGCTCTATTCGGGATGTTAAATTGATGTGTAATGGCGTATTACTGATTTGTTTTGATTGAACAACGAAATTCGTCTTGGATTTAGTAGAATTACATAACTTTTGGTGCTTTGCTCCGTTTTTTCAACGTATTTCTCAGTTCGACATCGAGGGAGTGTCGTCTGTGCTCGCCCTCACTCATTACTTTTCGCCAGTCAAAGAAATCCTCGAATGGATGTTCCTCCATGTGCTTCAGGGTTTCATTAGAAATTTTGTTATATTCTTTGAGTATTTCTTCCCTGTCTTCGCGCGTTTGCTAAATGAAAAACACCGGAAAAGATGTACATTTGTTTGTTTGATAATCGAATAATGAATAATAAGGAACAAGTACTAACTTCGGCTTTCACACGATTCATGAGTGCCTCCATTTCCTCTTTTTCCGTCTTTCCAGCATCGGGTGAAACGTATGCCGCTTGAATCTCTGAGTCTTGGGTACCAGAAGAGTAGTTTACTCGTTTATCATCTCGCTCCGGAAATAGAAAAATCAGTGTTTCCTCGAATATTTTATTTTTCTGCTGCAAAGTTTCATCAACTCTCTTCTTTTTAAGTTTTGCCTCTTTACGCAATTTAAGTACTGGTGCTTGTCTTCTGTCAAGATCATCGCCCCTTAGTCCTTTCTTTTCGAGAATGATCTGCTGCATTCGTTTGAGCTCCTTAGAGTTCCAGCGATTTTTCGCTTCTTCAATAAATTGTCCGGGTTTAGGTTTCTGAGTGAACGAAATACGAGAGCGAATGAAGAGAGAAAGAGAGAGAGAGAGAGCGAGAGAGAGAAAAGTAATTTCTTTAACGAAAGTAGTCTTTTGAAGAAGTACAGGAGGGCCCTTTTACCAGTTGCGTCAAGCCGATTTTCTCAGCCGTTTCAACTATTTCCGCTTGATCCTTTTCTCGTACCTCTGCTCTCTTCTTTTCCATCTCTTTCTTTTCTTCTTGTTGCACCCATTGTTTTTCAATACTCTGGTAATTCTTCTCATTCCAAGAACTTTGCCACTCATGAAATTCTCGTATCTAATTGAGGGCAGATTATTTTCGAGCAAAAAAATTCAAGCGCAAATTATATCAGTAAATTGGTATTTTTGTAAAAAATAACTAGTAATCTCTCAAAGTATTCGTCGGCTATACCCTATCAACTTCTCGATCGATGAATGATCTCATCCACTTAACATGACTCTCTTCGAAGAGCAAGAGACTCGCTGGAGCAAAGAAAATTCTCATAGCGCCATTATAGTCACAAAATGCGACGCACTGAGGATTCAGGTAAAGTTCATGAGTGTATATTCCGGTTATCATTTTTCCAGAGAGGCTCTGGGTAAAACAAGGCTCATGGCTCTTGACTATTAGATCCCAGATTTCTATGGTTCCATCGGCGCGCGCCAAAATTACAACGGTAGGGCGGGATGTACCCCATGAGCACGCGGTGTACCTAAAAATTTGCACGATGATTCATCGGATAATTATCTCTTTATCAGGGAATCGATTGACGGACTGACCTAACTGTCGATCGTTTCACGAAAACAGGCTCAGAAAAATCTTCTCTCCAGACAGCAAAAGCTTTGCCACCAACAGTGACAATTACATCACGCAGATACTTGGATCTAACCGAGTGGGTAACCGGCCCATCGTGAATCATAGTATTTCGCCAAATCCAAGTAATGACTTCACGATTCATGGTCAAGCTATTGGCAAACTCGAAGCCATCCCATGTTATTGTGCCCACATCACCTTCCAAAGTGCCGATGAAAATAATTGTTGACATTTTATGATTTCTCTCAGCCATTACGTGCTTGTAGTACTTTCTCGTTGGGATATCAGTGTTCCTGGAAAACGGTTCAATCTGAATCTTTTCATCTTTAGGCACGTAGATGCTCATGGTTGTAATGGCCACACGACGTTCCTCCTCCGGATGCTTAACCATAAGCATGTATATCGGTGTCAGGACATCATCGAGTGCTTTCAGCGGTGATATTGATTGTTTCAGCGCTTCGGCGGTATAATCCGGCCCTTTTTTCTTCTTCTTATTCGTCTGCGCAGTGATATCGGTGTTCTCTTGTATCCTACCGGTGATACAAATAAAAACTTTTAAATGGAGAGCGGTAAATCAATTGGGAATAGGAGCAAATGGGTTTGCCGACCTCAGATCCCAGAAGGCCACCGTTCCATCCTCACTGGACGTTACGAATTGCCATCCAATCTCTTTGCTATCACTCTCTGCATCTTCTAGTTGAACAAATCTTCCATTTTGACCGATTCTAGTGTGCGTAGGCAGCCAAATAATTTGCGTTATGGGCGCTTTTTGACTTGACTGAATTGACGACATTGCAGTTGGATGAATCCTCGTGTATCCTGTTGGTTCTTTCATCCATCCCATTAAATTTTTCAGCACTACCCCGGATTTTGCCTGCGCTGGTGTAATTGCAGTGACTGTTTCCACGTTTTCAATTTCTCCTGTTATTTGCCATATTGCAATCTGAAATGTCAGCCGGTGCTTGTCATTATAATTATTACAGATGTTCGTTCGAGGATTTCACGAATTGGTGAATGCAACGTACCTGGCCATTACAGCAGCCACCAATAACGATATTGCCATCAAGTGGTCTTATGGAAATCGTCGTTACTTCTCGAAAGCACTGGAGAATCAATTTTGGTTTGAGGCAATCATTGAACGACCATATTAAAATGTAGTTATCTCCTTGGCAATCCGTTGAAATCTATTAATTATCGAGAAGAGCATTCTCATTGGTGCATAACTGAATAACTTTTCTTTCTCAATTTCAAAGGCAATAACTACTTGATTATCTTTTGCACTTTTTCCAGTGAGATTTTCACTTTTGGAATGGTCTCTATAAGCAGCTACAGCAACTCCTGTCCACAGGGGATGCCAACAAAGATCATTGATAACTTTGTCTTTAGTTATTTCAATATTGTGATAATTTTGGTATTCTTTGTAGACAACGGCAACTGGTATCTGAATATCTCTATCGTCTTTGATCAATTTCTTGCATTCATCTGTGTGAATGTCCCACGCGGTATTCAGTAATATCTGAAAAAAAGACCCTCACAAATAATAATGATGATAATACTAATGACCCCAGTGACTCGTTATTCGAGGAGTTTGATACTTTGTCACATATGTCGCGGGTACGTGTACGCAGAAGTTTCTGTATAGCTCTGGTTTCGTCTTCGTTATAAGCCAGGGTATTGATCGGTTTATAGTCGTAAGTGCTGTATTGAAACCAAGAGTTTAGAGGTTTTTGAGATGACGTTTGAGTATTGTTATCATAAATATGAGGATTGGTATCATCGCCTCGGGACACAAGTCTCCTGGTTATTACGTTGTTGAAAGTCTGTCTGAGAGTTACGAGCTCGACATAACTGTCTCTCTGATCATCGGCATTACGATCCACCAGTGTAATGGGGGCTTTGAAAAAGTCCCTCTTCACAACGACCTGAGGAAGACCTACTTTATGCTACATATGTATACTCGGTTTTCATTGGTCCACTGCCATTGATTTGCCATCAACATTTCATTGGCCATATGGAGTGATAATAATTAGCTCAATGTTTTATGCATACTTCGGTCTGGAGAAGGGCTCTCGTGTTCGCAATTGTCGACTCATCGATGTTTTTACTGCTACCCAAGTCATACCAATGACTGGGTTCCCTGAAAACAGCGTTTTTCACACGATTTTCCTGATCATTTCGTGACGATTCAATTTGGTTGACGACTGTGTCACGACTGGTCGTCGTTAAGCAAATGTAAAATTCTGGATTATTCGCTCTGTTTGGTGCTAAACCAATCAGCACATTGTCGTTGGGATATTGAAATATTTCATCTCTAATCGCAAGAAAATCACTACTCTCAACGTGTAGATCAAGATTGTCTTCTATTATTTCTTTTTTCACGAAAATCCACGGATATTCAGTTGTGACATTTTCACCAATTTCACAACCGATTATTTTCTGGGTCAATTCTGACAACTTGATTCTAACCATTCCATCAATTTCCTATGGGCAATACATTTTACTGATAAAATTAAAATTTTATTTACATTGCTACTATTTAGGATTTTCTTTTTACTGTGGAGTAGACGGGATTAGCGCATGCGTCCTCCTCGCTCGACCTTTCATCGTTGAATTTATCAATTTCTCCATAATCATCTGGAAATAGAAATTGACGCGATCCCAATGCAGTGAATCCCGGAAAAAATAGACCAAGGGAAATTTTTAAGGTGAACGGGTCACGTTTTGTTTGTGCAGGCTATTTTTTTCTGGTCTATCTTTCCGCCTACCCAATGCAGTAGAAATATAGTTTGGGAAATGATTATTTACCTTCATATTCAAATTCTTCATTCTCATATCTGTCAATGTAGTTCTCCATATCACAGCTATGGAATCAATAGAAAGCGATGAAACAAAAACAAAAGTAATGATTTACAGTCAGTTGTTTGTGTATACAGAAATATTTAGAGAGTTCCAACTTTTGAAAGCAAAAAAATACAGTGACATGGAGTACATCAGTGGAGAGTAGAGGCCATCAAAAACAAAACACAAGTGGTAAGGCTTTGACAAGGGTTTTGGCCAGAACAAACGTATAATCCTACAACCAAACGCAGTTCGGGCTACTTGATTTGACGTGTGGATTCAAGTGCCTCTTGTTGCATGTGCCCTGTCAAGCTAACTGCAATTAAATCTTTCACGTCTGTCGCGTTTTTTTTCTTCTTCAAAAACAATTCACGGAGGCCCAGCCAAAGCAAAATATTCCTAATGACCTGCAAAGCTTCAGGCCAATTCAAAATTCTATCCAGCAAAATCCGGTGACGCCTCAGAGATGTGGATATTTTAATGTTGTAAATTAATAGGGCGTTTGGAATGAAATTTTTCAAATATATTTCTTGGGGCGGATTTTCTACGACGTAGATAAATGGAATGACAATTGTCTGTGAAAACGTGAAAAAGAGACTTAGTTCAGCGGGCGGGGTTTGCGTGACACAGCCAGGAACAAAATAAATCCTGCTTCGACGGTAAATAACACACCGTTAGAGCAGTGAATGGGATCGAAAGGGAAGCATACGGTGAATAAACCACTTCAAGAGTAGGAAAGACGAGATTCAGGGCTGTAAAAACCACACATAACACGGCTTGCCCATCCACTGGAGAGAGGGACCTCTCTCTTCGCTCCTAGTTGCATGCGCTCTCAATGCATTCTATTTCTCCTCCCTCAAATTCTGTTTTTTTACAGGTCTCGACAGTCTATTGTGGCTCCTGCTACATCAAGCAAATTGTTTTTGTTCCGATGCGTGAGTGATTTTTTGTTTTTTCAATTTTTAGTTATTTCTTTCTACCCTTTCTCCGTTTTTACACAATATCGACCCGTTGTCGTTTATCTGTGTCAGCATGTCAATCATCCAGTACGTTTCTGTACAATTCGTTTATTAAAAGAGCGGCCAATTCGATCGACATACACATTGGCCAAGCTGACGGATTTTTATTGACCTGCACGATCTCTATGTACAAGTACGTAGTTAGGTTTTATTTTTTGTCAATAGCCGGATTAACGTTGATTCCTTTCGGATAGGGCACTCTGATTGAAAGTTACGGTAGCCGTTCACCTCTTGTTATAATAAATAATTTGAGACGAATGATGGGCAGCTGATAATGTGATCAGTTGAGGAAAAAGGGTGAAGAAAAATTGGTACGTGTTGGAAGGGCAGATTGGAAGGAGGCGCGGACGTGGCCGATTACTTATTAGCGTCCAGTGGGTGTGTATGGGATCAAGTTAACGAGGGTACGATGTGGTGACGGCGGGGGCGTTACGGATATAGTGAGAGAGTAGGACGGGGGAGGAAGAGCCGCTGTGATTAGAGGGTTGCTCACAGATGGATGAACGGACGCTTGGTTAATTTTCAATTATCCGTGCAGGGTTCTGCTTTATACTGAGGGAAAGGGAATGGGAATTCGTCGTTCACCCCCGGCGGCAGTAGAAACGCGAATGGATTACCACATACGATACTGCAGATCGGCCGCAAACTCGCACCCCCCACCGCGCCTATACCCTTCGTGCAATTCAGTTTCGGAAATACGAACGCATATTACCTGGATGAAGCCCCAGGCCAACTGATCAGCGTTATTCTGATCGAGCACTAATACAGTCACGCATATTTGCGGCTAATTAAATTATACGAATATTACATCATTACGACATCATTCATTTTAGTTTCGTAAAAGTATTTATAAAGGACTGTAATAGTATTTCGGAAAATCCCCAAAGAAATACCAAAAAGGTGAATTTAATTATCATCCCCGTGCATGCAATGGGTGAATCAGCATGGATGGCGGGGTATAAGATGGAGGATGCAATTAGTTTTTTGTCTGATGGTGATAGGGTTGGCAGTGGTTTGTCTGGCATTTCAAAGTAAAATTCTTGTGAGAATTGGATGTCAGTCAGCCGCAACGTTCATTAGTTTTTCCGACAGTGTCGGTTGTTCTGTATTGTCTACCATTTTCTTTTCCCTCTTCATGCCCAACTTTGAGGTGTTTAATTCACACACATTGTATGTATAGCTTTCATCATCTGTCCACTGGTTTCCACCACTTACACCACCACATCTGATAAAGTGAAGTAATGGATGTAAAATCTTTTTCGAGAGACACTGTCATTGCCATCTGCTGTTGTTTTTTCAGTGCGATGGGTTACGACTTAGAATTGCAAGGAACAAACTTTTATTTCCCCTTGTTGTAGCTACTCTTGATAGATTTATACATGGCATATCATGCTGTTAGAGACGAGGATTGTGTGGTTTCCATGAGGCTCGTTAATTTTTAAATATCAACGTGACATTGCATTGAAAATAATTCGAAAACGTTTCTTTTTTCATACGTCACTGCGAGGGCATCTCGAGTCGTTTAATCTCGTGAAAATGAGGAACGATTATCGCTTGAAACTTGACAGTGATGGGGTGGATTGTGATTGATGATGAAATTTCTCCTTGTTTCCACAGGATGAAGCAGAAATTACTACTTGAATAATTTTATTGATAAGTCAGCTCACTCTCTGCACCATTCTATGGCTTTATGAAAGACACACCCAGCGATGCATGCAAATGCCGGGAATTCGAGTCATTGTACATTGTCCAACGAATGATAAAGGATGCATTCCAGCGTTATTGGTGACTTTACAAAAGAGTGAATGAAGAAACATGCCGAACAGTCAGTAGAAAATATCAAAGCAGCAAAACATAAATGTCTGCTGGGTAAATACGAGGAATACTATCCGCGCAATGTCGGTGCATTTCATGAACGTGGTTGCGCTAGAAATGTTCGTATATGCAATATCACGTTCATTGTGCCCGTCGGTAAAATGTTATGAATTCTTCTCTTAAGATGTTTCCATACCAGTGCTCTTCCTCTGTGTTCATTGACACAACTGTTTTTTCTTTCATTTCTTATGTGCCTTCTGCCCTCGTGAATATCTAAATTGTCAATACTCAAAAGATAAATTGGCATTATTCACACAATCACCGTAAAAGGAACATGTGGGAAATGTGTGCGCGGTGGGGTCAGTTTACTGAATGAGTTGCAAAAAAATCTACTGAGAAAATGGATAGTCCAGACGGAGAATCGAACCCGGGACCCTCCGACTACGCGTCGGGCGGTCCTTTCAACTGGGCCAGTCGCCTCCGAATGGTAATATATTGATATGCTATTCAGTTTCATTATAATCTTCTGGATATCAAGGTACAAATTGTGGGTTCTCTCGGGTTCCCCAGCGACGCTCTGAATTATTTATGTAATTTAGGCACTGTAGATGGGTATCTCATCCGTCGTTCTGTCCTCTCGCTCGGGCCAATTTCTCCCCTACTCAACAGTGATACGTGTCACACTGCTCCAGAGGTACGATCTTGTTTCATGACGACACGATAGACGCCCCAATGACCTACTCATTCTTATCTCAAACATGGGGAAGTTGAAATAATTTATTAGGAATTTAACGGTTCAATTTATCGGATATGTTGCGGGAAAGTAGATTCATTAGGAATGTGAAGAGGTAAAGAAGAGTAAGTCCAAGTTGCTCGGATATGTGCGCGGATGATCCCTTGAGCACGTGACTGGTGATTCTCGTTGAATTATGCCTGGTTCGTTTTCTCGTTTCGCGTTGTAATCGAGTAAATGGCTCTCGCGGCACGCCAGATCGCGTTTCTCAAATCGTTCTCGAGGCGCGTGTCGATGTCTATGAAGCTCACCAACAGCGAGCTCCAAACTCAACGAGTTTTTATCTTCTCCGCATCATTCCTACCGACGAAACGCTGCGGTCCCTCAACATCATCAGATTTTTATCTTCCAAATGATATATAACGTGAACTGCATCTACCTACTACCACTCCGAGTAAACCTTTCCAGTCGAATGTCTATTTATTTTATGTATAATTATAATCAATTTGAGTTCAGTCATCAATATGCAGTGTTGCGGGGGGTCTCTCGGTGATTTTGAAACATCAATACGAGACGACGCGCCCTAGCATATTTTCAACGTTGACATTTTCTCGAGCTATCGGTGGTCTTCATTTAATGTATCTGTATGTATGGGGTGTGTTTGGACAGAAATGGGTGTATTTGAACAGGTGGGTTACAATTAAACACTGTTGTGCCGGAGACTTGGATAGTATAAATTTCTCAGTTTCTCACACAGTGCCACACCACACAAGGGTGGATAATAATAGCCAAGAGCAGTTGACATCTATTCCAGCAGTGCGGTTGCTTCCAACCAGCCTTTCGTTCTCCCCTCTCTTTTCTTTTGAGGATCTCATGATAATGATGATGATAATAAGTTTTCATTCTTCTTGCTCATATTAACATTTTTATTCGAATTACATTCTCATTCACATCCTCACACTTCCGATCCAATATATACACACTCGTATTGTATATACAATGATCATTTTTTTTATCCTCAATATATGTATATATATATAATTATGGTCATGGTATTGGTATATACACACATGTTACAACAATCATAATTGATTTTCAGTAGTAAAAAGCTGGAAAATGTATACGGCAAACAGAGGAGGAGGAGGAGGAAGAGAAATTTTGCTCAATTGGCACGGTCTGCTGTACGGATCCCCGACAATTCTGAGAAAGTTTTTCTCTTTCACCTACTGGGGGAAAATTCTATTTCAAAAGTTAACAGACAATGAATGTTAGTGCTCTTCTAGACACAAAAACCTTTCATTTCATTGTCCACCATGATTTTTGAGGGATTTTGATGGGTTGCGAGAGGGAAAGAAGCCTCAGTTATGTTCGAGATTTGTGCGATGCGGAAGGCATCGACGGGCGGGTTGTGCATGCCACCGATTGACGCAGAGATTGGGTCAATACGCGTTTGCAATATTCGATGAACACTGTGGAGGCGTTATATATCACATGTGGCCAGCAGAATAGTGGGGAGAGAGCAAAATCCGTAATCGTTAACGAATACGCGTGCCTCAAATATTCACGAAAATTGAGGAAACGGTTTTAGGGGAGATAGCGCATCACGCAGGAATAAAAAGGGGTGAAAGAGTGCCAAGAGGAGGGGGGTAATGTGAAAGTGGTGAAAGGTTACGCATGCGTCTGCATTGTTGCCATACGTGGCATCATCACTCTGTGGAAAATAAAATGTAATAACCCCTCGCCCATCAAGAAAAAGTTTTTTGTCCTATTTTCAGATGTTCAATTCTCCTTTTCATCTCTCTTTTTGCCGCAATTTTTTTTTCTAATTTCGCTTTCATCTCAATGGAATAAATCGTAACTACTGAGAGCGGAGGGGAAGCAATTATGAAAAAAAAATCAAGTGCGAATTGATGCGAAAAAAAATAGTAATGACATAAAATGTAGAAAACTGGAAAATTTTTGGTGAATACTGGGAAAAAAAGTTATTCATTTATTCCACTCGATAGTCGTAGTCCTCTTAATAATATTTCCATTCAATTTGTATAAACTATTGTTGAATTATCAATCTAAATTATCAATTGTCAAAATCTACATATCATTTTCTGTTTTTTATTCCATTTTTTGAAAAAATAATGTCAATGTACACAGGAGTTATTTTTCTCTTACAATCATGAAGAAGGGTTTGGGGGCGAAGGACGATTACATAGTTCTCTGATTCATGGGAAAGAACGAGTATGAGCACTTTTAATTTGTTTTCTCTTAATTTTTCGTTATCCTAGGCTTGTCTGTCATTATTTACCCGTTGCGATTTACTTGCTCGTGAAGAGTAGATTTTTGTTTTCACATTTTTTGTTTACATATAATTTCAATATTTTTACCATTGAATCCTTCTATGTTCATTATTATTTACAAAACATATACAAATATCTCACGAACCTGTCGCAAACGATTAAAATGTAAAATGCCCAGTTTTTATTATTTTATTGTTTTTCATTTTACCATTAACTTTTTTTTTCTCAAAAAACTGACACATTTTTATTTCATATAATCCTATATCTTAACCAGTCTTTATTATTTACAACTGAAAAAGATCACATCGTAAGACGAATGTGCTTTCAAGGATAATATCATTCACCACATATATTTGAGAATGTATTTTTTACATTGAGATATCTCATCATTATTTACTTCCTTAAAATTTTCATCGAAATCTAGACAGTGAATTTCACATTACAGAGAATTTCTGAAATGTCTTTGTGCATGGAAGAATTGTCAATGGGAGCTGTGAGCTAGACAGCTCGCTGGTATTCCTCATTTATTATTTACAAATAGAAAATTAAATACAATAAAAAAAAAACCATGAAAAATGAGGTTGGGATGATTTTGGTTTATGATTGAGCCACAAAATCACTCTCAATCCCACTGAAGGCTCATGGAGATGAAATGAATTTTGTTCCTATGATCGACGCAGCTACGATTACACGTAATACTCATTAATGTCGAGCGCGTCGGCATCCCTCTCCTATACACAACTTTCTTGTGTCGATATCAGCGGTGTACGAACGGTAACAACTTCCCTCGGATGATGTTGTTTTGTTGATATAATGCCGGTATCTTGCAGAAGACCAACAGTACTTGCTTTCGTTGATTGGCATATTTGATCTATTTTTGGGGCCCGTGCATTGTGATCTATGCACGCATAAACTGTCGCTTCTTTGATATATGGCTTTCCACCAACTAAAACACCACCACTACCACCACCACCACCACCACCACCACCGCCATTATTATTGGCATTGTTAAAGCCACCTAGTCCACCCACTCCACTGAGGCAGGCCAATTTTGTATCTGCTGTTGTTGAGAGAGTTGTCGGACGCGCCAAACATAGCTCAGCATAGGTCACTTCTCCTGTCAACTGAAATAACATTTTGTAAATATTAACTCATCATTCGAGGATTTTTCCCCCCCTAGAAATACTATTCTCAATTGAATTCTCAAACTCGATACTATTCAACAAAACCAAGTCAAAGTTTCTAGAATGAATTGGAAACTTACAGGTAATGTTGGGTAATTGCTGTATTCATTGTGTGCATAAGCAGAGAGCCCTTGCAAATGATTTGTCTGTTGATTAGGCAGCGATGTTGTTGAAACTTGGTCGGGTGTTACTTGAACAGCCAGAGGCGTACCTGCTGTTGAGCCCGTCAACTGATAATCTGAATCTTGTTAACAATAAAAGGGAATTCTTATTCGGGGAGCACCGTTTTATTGTTGTGGTTGAAATAAAAAGTCATGCAAAGATTTCACATCTGTGATTGCTGATGCCCTCGTATAATCACCTTTATTCGTAGGGACAACATCAGGATTTCTATCGTCAGCGTCGTAGAGATCCTCTGAGCTCGGAGCTGTAGCTTTTTTCAGTGGTAGATCTCCGGGTCTGTGCGCACGTCGATCACTTCTGATTTTCAATGCCCCCAGTATTATAATAGTTATAAGGAGTAGGGCCGCCACAATACCAATTAGTACTCCAAGAAGTGGTGTTATTTCGAATGGTACAGGACTACCTGTGAACAAGATACAACCCCTTTCCTGTTATTCTCAAATTATCTGACACACATTATTAATCACGCTGCAGATTCCCATTATGCTTACATTGTTATAAACGTTATACTCATTTTCCCAACCTTTCGAGTTTATTTTTTATTATTATTTTTCAGCGAGTAAGAAATGGGTGCAGTGAGCTGAAGAAAGTTCTAGAGCGCTCTCAACGTCATGGACCTGAGTGCGAATTAATTTTTAATCGGGATGAAAGCGCGCCAAGATGGCACAGTGTTGGATAGAGCCCTTTTGCCAAGTCCGCCTTTTACCGTCTGTCATTTATTCTTAATTTATTTTTTTCTCAGCCCCCCCTTTTCCAATTTTGCTCTTGATACTCGAGCATCTCGGCGAATATCATTCAATGGATAATTGCTTTCTGTCTACGTATGAAAATAGTAAGAGAAAATGAAACTTACGAGGCTTACCAGTCTGTTTCTCCGCAACTTTGAGCGTAAAACCTTCAAGTTTTGTGGATTCACTTCGTCCCTTGGAATTGAATGCGTACATTTTCATTGTCAGTACTTTTCCCGGCTCTAAATCTTGCACTGTAAACGCAGCGTTATCACGAGATGTGACATTTGCCTGAAGAATTCCTGTGTATTGATCGTACACTTCGAGCAAAAAATTTTGCGGCTGGCCCCCATCAAATCCAGCCGAACACTCGATTGATAATGACTCTGTGGTTTGATTCGTTAGAGTGCAGTTATAAGGCGCTTCAGGCTTTCCTGAACAAAATGTAACGAACGGTGGTGAAAAATGGGGCGATGTTATTTTTTTATTCGTAAACCCGGCCAAATGTGTTTTTCCATCGTTATTATTAAACCCCGCTCGCTGAGATTTTTTAACAACTATTACCTGCTGGTATGATGTGAAATATACACGCATTCGCCTGTTGTCCAGCTGTATTGCTTGCCCAACAGAGTACAGTGCCATAGTCCATTTCCGTAACGGGCCTGTACGTGAGAACACTTTGCGTATGGCGAGTGGAATTTTTGTATCTCGCTTGTGGTACATCAGCCATTTCTTCGGTATTATTGAATGCCCATCGAAAGTTGCTCGGTGGTGGATAAGCCTCAACGCGACAAACTACTTTGGCCTCCTCCAGCCTAGCAACTCCGTATATACGTTTTTGATCGGGCACACAGATTGGTTTGTCTGGAATAAGGAAGCCAAAGCAATGTAAATAAATAACGAACTAAAAGGAAACAAGTAATACTTTACTCTCTCCCCTGAATAAACTCCAAGAGACAAGCTCTCTGAGGAATAATAAGACTGTATTTTTAGGTCTACGGAGTATTAGCTGTAGTTTGAGTATTTTCTTTTTACCCATTGTTTGTGACACTTGACCGTTACGATCATTTTTTACAACTGATGATGCGCATTTTAATTCGACATCAGATGGAATAATGTCCTCGTTAAAATATTCACGATCAATTCAACCGATCATATGGAATTTGCGATGAGTGATCCTCACGCCATTGGAGAGAATATCGCTAATAATTTACCGTTAGCCACCCCCATACCGTGACCAAAGCTCATTTACATTCCTCACTTTGGAATATACCATAGTGTAAAGGACGCGGTATCGGCCGGGGCAATATTGATGAGGGTGACGTTGGCTGGAATAGTGTGAGTGTATATACTATAACTAATACGCGTTGGAGGATGCAGTGAATGCGCATAAAGGTAGAATGTTCTTCATTTCAGAGTGAATCTCTTGTTCTTGATAAACGTCATGTTAATGATAATTTTGTACCTTGAAGTGAAGGACAGTAATATTTAAGTGGTAATAATCAATGTAATATTATTTTATTGATTTATTTATTTCGTTTTTTATATGCCTTATGGCTTTTTCGGGGGTGCATTCTCACCCCAGGCCATCGACAAAACTCTCGAATGAATAAATAAATTAATAAATCTGTTGCATTGTATTTTTAACACTAGTGATCATCTCGATGGAGCATCTGCCGTTGGCAGTGATGGTGTGATTTGGCATTCGGCGGAAAATACCAGAAAGAACAATCAATAATGTAATAATATGTAAATAATAATATCCTGGCTGCGATGGGATAATGATCAAACAGGTCACGCGTTTCCGGTGTTTCACATGAGATCAATGAGAATTATTTCCGTATTCGAATAGTTTCACCGGTGAACGAGGCAAGTTTGGGAGCAATAGAGTAATTTGTCAATTCAGATTTGTTGGTGTGCTGATACCTATTATATCTCGTCTCAACGGCAGACACCAGCGGGGCAAAAAATTCTATTCAATATAGAGTATATCATACTTGTAAAATACAATAGTACTTTAGTACTTACACATAATTTTAAGCTCGACTGTCCCGCTGTATCCATCTCCCTCGACATTCGAGGCAACACACATGTAATTACCCGCTTGAAAGCGATCGACCTGGCGTAAAGCAAGACTATACTGCTGAACTATCACACCTTTCTTTGCATTATTATGAATCACCATGCCCTGAAAGGGAGGAAATTATATTGCATACGGAAATTCACGGGAGCAATTAAAGACTGATTGTGTTAACTAACGTTGTGTTTCCAGACAACTTTATACGCTTCAGGATTGGCTCGAACTTTGCATTCAAAATAGACATCGTCACCTTCCTCAATATCGTCGGGGTTCATCTTGGAACCTAGTTCGAGCTTTAATATTGGCACAACTGGAACAAATCAACACAAAATTAACAATAGCCGTTACGAAGTTGTGACGAAGTACCCAACTTATTTCACTCTTCGTGTGCAAAACATTGTTTATCTCTATGAGATTGATTGAAATTGATATTGTGAAAATGTATATTTATTGAAATCCTGTTGGAACGTATCTCAACCAGGGGCCATTCACAACGAGCATGGTCTAAATCGTCTGTCATATTCATCAGAGTGTTTTTCATTTTCTCCAACAGAATTCGACACAATGCCAAAATTTCATTTCATTTCATTTCTCTCTCGCCCTTCAAACCCCTTTGTGGATATATAGAGACGTAGCAGAGAGCGGAAAAGAGTGGAAGGAAAAAAAAGAAGGGGGAGGGTGTATACGATCCTGTCGCACTCGTCGTGTTTCCTGCCGCCGGGGACCCGGCCGAATAAATCCCGATCTCCGGTACATTCCATTTTCTACCGTTGACATCTCGTTATTTCGATTACATTCCCGTTTTTGTCCTGGTATAATCTCTATCGATGGCCCATCCTGAAAATTCATACCCATCCGACCAAACCTCCAAGGCCCCTTCACCCCTTTTTCCCCTCATCCATTTGCACTTTCAACCCGTTTAAACACTGAGCCAACCCAGCCGTTTGTGTATGCGAGTAAATTTCACTAGGACACCCAAAAATACGTCCAAATAAAATGAAGGAGAGTGAATTACGCAGTAAAAATATCATTTCCCAGGGGCATAAGCAATGAGGGTACTTTTTTTTCTCTTAAAAACTTACAAAAAATATTCAGCTTCCACGTGTCCTCCTCAAATCCCCCGTCGACATTAGAATTCTCGGCACGACACGTGATTACCTTGTCGTGGTCTTCTCGTGTCGGTGTGAATGTCAAGGTTGACATTGTCATATTACCATCTTCGGAAAACTGCAATTGATTTTTAATTTTCAACATTTTTCGGGGGACAATAAATTCCTCTTTATTGTGCGATGGCTTTGATATGTGCGACTTTTGGTAGGGGTGGAGAATAAAAAAACCAGTTACAGGTAGGAGAGAAAAAGAGGGGGAGGTCAGTGTGGAGAGAAACGGGATCACGAAAGCATCGGGCTATTCAGTAATTGCACCATGGCGTGTTCAAGCTGAACGCTAATGGCAACGATGCAAATACCGATACCGCCTTTAATGCCAGTGATTTCGAGTAACGATCAGAGTAGCCCGCACTACTTCTTTCTCACTTCATCCCTCTCTTTGTCCTCTCATTTATGCAATTTTTTCTCTCTTCATCTTTCCATATGCCTCCCCACTATTTTCTCTCCGTAGTTTTTTTCACCAAATTGTGTCGAAACCTTCGACACCTGCTGCCTTACAAAACCTCACTTAACCCTAATTTATCTTCAGCCAATAATCCACTAGATAGGAAAGGAATGTTGGAGAATATTCGATGAAAGGATGCGTAATGTGAGGATAATGAGAGGCAATTACCAAATGGAGGAAAAAAAATTGAGAAACGAAATCATTAATTTCCTGTTAAGTTCTTCACGGTTCCAGGTTTAAAAAAAACGAAAATCGATCGATTGACTATTAAATCTCCTTGAATAACGTTTCAATGATTCTTTATTCTCACCCTTTGTGTGGAGTTTTTGAGCATTTTCCCCTCCATGAACCATGACAATTTAGCTGATGGCCTTGATCCCATTGTCCTACAGTTGATATCGTATTTTCTGTCTGCACTCAATGGTGCATGTTCACTACTGAGAATTTCCACGGTAAGAGGCCGCACTGGAAATAGTATCGTAGAAATATCTCATTAGTTTGTGCTTTTTGAGATTTTTCAGTTAAAAATCCACAAGTTTGAAATAATACAAGTGTTACGATTATTGTCGTCAACATTTTTTCCAACTGTTTCGTTAGCCGGGAGAGAAAAGAAGACGTTATCCCCGCGAGGGGAAGGAAAAAAATGAATAAAAGAAGCCTCCCATGCACAGTGGTCCGGATTTACAATGAAAAAAAGCATAAACAAACGAAAAAAATGGAATAAAAGCCCGGAAAAAACAATAAATAAATAAACGAGTAAGAGAAATAGAATGAAAAAGGAGAAAAAGGGACAGATGCATTCCTCTCTCTTGCAAAAATTAAACGAGGGTCTATGAAACGTATGAAAAAAGGGAAGACCCTTACAGAGGCAGAAAAAAATTATGTGTTTGGATGTATATAAATTGAGAGAAGCATCAAAAAGGAGACTGCGAGTGAATGAGCCGGGGTTACGCCAGACGCTTTTCAAGATATTTATATTAGTGTCTTTAGCCGTCTGGAGTTATCCTCTTTCTCTCCCTTTCATTATTATTATTATATTCAAATATCGAATGTAATAATAGGCAGATGACTGAATTTGCCTGGTCAAGCCAACACGGAAGAAATATAACTTTATCATACACTTACAGTGCATCTCGATGATAACTGAGGCTGAAACTGGTTGGCTGATGTTATTATTCGAAGCCTGACAAGTGAAAGCGGCATGCAAATCCGCCCTTGTCAGCTCCGTAACAATCAAAGTGTTTCTACGTAGAGCTGGAAATTCGCCAGGCTCATCCTTAGACTCTAGAAGTGTTTCACCTCGCCACCATCTAACTGTTGGTGCCGGGCGGCCTGTGTCATACAAAAAATTGGCAATACGGTTATCGATACTCTGTGTGACAATTTTTTCACAAATATGAGGACAGAATTACCTCCAGAGACCAGACAAGTCAGCCGCATGCTTCCCCCCTCTTCGTAGGGCCCCGCAACAGTCGAAACTGTTTTCCCATGTTCATCTATAATATTTGGTTTATGGGGTGGCACTGCAACGACAAAATAGAAAAAAAAAACTATTATAAATCGTGAGTAGTCGATGTTTAGATTGAACGACACACTGTCCTTTCCCTATTGTGAGTAATATTTTTTACTGTCATGATGGGAATTAATTATGAGCATCGGAAATAATTTGAAAAAAAAATGGACCATCAACTGACACGTTGATGAGCAGAAGCTACACGTCAAGGAAACGAGTACCGACACGTTGGGACGTCTAGAATCCTCCTGACATTTTGCTATCACGTGTCTGGCGTGCACGATCAGGAACGAGTGAAGTTGAACCAACCACGAACACCTGTATAAAACCCCATCAAGTCAGGCAAGCTCCCCTTTTCTCTCAGTCTCCACCTCTCGTGTTATTATCCTCGTACTTTATGGGTGAAAAAGACATTGATTCATAGGTCTTTCAATCGTCACACCTCCACTCTCCACCCCTCGCCCTTTTTCCTCTCATTTCAATCTATTTGTCAAACAGGGTAGACTGACTCGATGATGTGGGCAGTCTGTCAAGTCAATTCAAAAGACAACTGTCTTTTGAATATTATTCTATGACTCGCAATGTTACGAATAATCTTGGCTGGAGCTTCATTTCCCCATTCCCTTTACCAACTGTTGGCTCATGACGTTGATTGGAATTCACAGTACCGAAGCAAAGTAATCACGCGAGACATCCACTTAATAAACTCGAAGCGAGAAAACGCTCAGTTTGCCTGGAGAGAACCCCCTGCCCTTTTCTACTCTATGTACATTTATGTATACATAATCAATAGTCTGACTGGATATCGCTGTAAAGTCACAGCGGGAGCAAGGGTGCAGCACGTATGCCACATATTATATAATTTCCCCTGAGTCGTACAGATGAAGTTGAGAAATAAATTTCCAAGTATCGTTTTTTTTTCTTTCATCAATCCCAAGCGTCGATTATTTGTCTCAAGATTGGAAAATATATAACTTCACAGGCAATTATCTTTTCCATAAATCACATGAAAATAAATAGGTAAAAAATTTTTAAACACTGGTGAATAATCTCTTTTTAGAATAGGAGTCCTATTCTAAAAAAACATACGCCGGAAGCTGTAACGTAACGCTCATTCCTCAAATTTCATTGGTCGAACATTCGGATCCGCCCGCACGTGTTCGACTTCGGTCGGCTTTCGGTTTTCGTGTCACGATTTGAAAAGTGAAAACATTTTTTCACTTGATCTTGGATCTTGGATCTTGGATTTTTACAGGGGGAAACTCGACATTCGCCAAAATCGAATTTTTTACCCGGGTGAAGGTTGATTCCAACTATTTAAGCGACGGGCTATTCAGAACTCTCAAAAGTAAGTGGAAAAAGTGAAAACTGAAAAAAAAAAATTTTCACCGGGAGCCAATGTATCAGATCTTGGATTTTTCCAGGGGGAAAGTCGACTTTCGCCAAAATCGAATTTTTTAGCCGGGTGAACGTTGATTCCAACTATTTAAGTGACGGGCTATTCAGAACTCTCAAAAGTAAGTGGAAAAAGTGAAAACTGAAAAAAAAAAATTTTCACCGGGAGCCAATGTATCAGATCTTGGATTTTTCCAGGGGGAAAGTCGACTTTCGCCAAAATCGAATTTTTTAGCCGGGTGAACGTTGATTCCAGCTATTTAAGCGACGGGCTATCCAAAACTCGCAAAAGTATGTGGAAAAAATGAAAACTGAAAAAAAAAATTTTTCACCCGGAGCCAAAGGGTCAGATTTTCGGTTTTTCCAGGGGGAAAGTCAACTTTCGCCAAAATCGAATTTTTTAGCCGGGTGAACGTTGATTCCCACTATTTAAGCGACGGGCTATTCAGAACTCTCAAAAGTATGTGGAAAAAGTGAAAACTGAAAAAAAAAATTTTTTCACCCGAAGCCAAAGTGTCAGATCTTGGATTTTTTCAGGGGGAAAGTCGACTTTCGCCAAAATCGAATTTTTTACCCGGATGAAGGTTGATTCCCACTATTTAAGCGACGGGCTATCCAAAACTCTCAAAAGTATGTGGAAAAAGTGAAAACTGAAAAAGTTTTTTTTTCAGATTTTCAAAGGGTCAAATTTTCCGTTTTTCCAGGGGAAAAGTCGGTTTTCGCCAAAATCGAATTTTTTAGCCGGGTGAACGTAGATTCCAACTATTTAAGCGACGGGCTATTCAGAACTCTCAAAAGTATCCTATTCTAAAAAGAACATCCACCGTAAGCTGTAGCGTAACGCTCATTCCTCGAATTTCATTGGTCGAACATTCGGATCCGCCCGCACATGTTCGACTTTCGGTTTTCGTGTCACGATTTGTCTTCAACACGCGCGCTGAAGCGCGTGATCGTTCTCGTGAAGGAAAAAGGAAGGCATAATTACGAAAACCAAGCATAACGCAACTCACCAATAACAGTAAGATAAATTTTGGAATTTCTCGTTGGACTCCTTACAAAATCTACCCTACACAGGTATTCTCCTTCATCTCTCTGCTCGACTCTTCTTATATTGAGAATAGCCGGCTCAGTTGCTGTCTTAAAATGCCCCCTCTCATTCAGATACTCTTCGTCTTTCCAGTGCGCTGCTTTGTCCGTGTGTTTACTCCTCATATCGTAGCTAGAATGACAAAACATTGACAGATAAATCCATAAATATTGATAACAAGTGCGCGTCATGATAAAGAGTCGGTATGCGAGTTAACTATGGATAATTTGATTGAACTGTGGTATGCAGTGAACATTTAACACAATCCTCGCGGTTTTGAATTACATCGAAATGTTGCGAGAATGTCCGATCATGTCTACATGGTAGACCGGTTGCGAACAACCACGCATGCAAACTCTCTCATACAGTACAGAAATCCCAATGTGTGTCATTCCTACCGTATTCAATGAACGTTTCACTCTATTTTCACATTTCTATACATATTCTGCATGGAATCAAACATTGGCTGACATCAAAGGTTTGGAGATTGAACAGATCAGTCATTCAATACATAAGCTACGTCTTCAGCGTTTGCTTTGTTTCACACCTATTGTTCCACAAATAATGCTTGGAATATTTATCATTTTCATTTTCATTTTTCAACCCTAAATAGTTTTTGGAATTACCGGCTTTTAGATGTATTTGCTAATAGCTTCGTCTTTATCACCCCGTACTTGGCATAATGTTCTGGTGGGGAATCCATGACAGGCTTCCAACTCACGGGAAATTCCAGAGCATCCTGTTATGGACGTGTGAAACTTTATCCTGCAATTTAGATACACGATGGGTTTCCGGTGATATCCGTACTGAAAACACGCCGCCTATGCGACAAGCTTGTACTACTGTGACGTTGCAGGCATACCATGAGGGGCTTCCTACGTTTACTACTCTGTTTATTATTTCGAGCCATTAGTTGGAAATTTGTAGCCCGCTAAATTTCAACGTGTCACCCGGCATTTTTTCACTTGAATGTATTTTTATTACAATTGGTGCAATTCAGTAGCGAAGTGGTAAACCGGGTCAAGTCAGTTTCGTCAATTGATCAGTTTTTAACGACTATCTCGGGCTTTAAAAGAGATGGAAAAATTGTTGTCATGACCTTTTTTGTAGAGCCAATTGAGTGTTATAAAGAAGGTCATATTCATCGAACATTGGCCAAAAATACAAATCGACTTAACCCGGTTTAGCACTTCGCTACTGAATTGTTTTTATAGTGATTTTCAATGCGCGATTGGAGAGAAAAAAACCTTGAACATTATTTCACTGCTCAAGACACCGGAAGTACGATTTCAAGAAGGGAAATAAACATATTGGGGCACGCCATTCGACGATCACTTAGCTTATTCGAGTCATATATCCGGCATTGGAATACCAAATGATCCATGTACTCGACCGTACATGAAGTACTTTCGAAGCCCAGTAATTCATATATGGGACATATTTGCCCGTTGTACTCGAAAAGACGACGAGGAATGTCGGAAACCGTAAATACCCTGTTTTCACTGGTTCTCCATTCAAAGTAGAACATTTGTTGTTGAGTCAGACGCGTCGTTGAAATTCACCATTGAATGATTTTCATTCTCATTTTTCCCACTGATTCACATAGGGGAGGATGGGGCAAAACGGCCCCCCTTCAATCATCAATATTTTCCGATTCAATAATCCGATTGGGATGAGTTAGAGCTCGTTTTGAAGAATGAAAAATTATCTTCAAAATGAAGTTGAAACTGGGAATTTTCACAATGTCATTCACAAGTTATTGACAATTGAAGGGGGGCCGTTTTGCCCCACCCTCCCCTACTTTTAAAGTTCTTAAATGCGAGATTCGTCGGGGTTTGACGGGAAATTGACATGTATTGCAGATAACCTAGCGGCCAGATTCGGTTCAAGCGTGGTCTTTATAGTGAATGTTTCCGTTCGTAAGTCAACTAAATTCGGCTTGTGACTGTGCTGTTTCTCTCTTCATCTCTCTCAGTCACTTCGCCGGGGCTTCCCAAACGCCAGTATAGGTTGCCACGGCGTTTTCAATTACCGGTGGGGGATATGTTCTCGGCATTTAGATCTCAGCGTCAGGAGCGATCCAATCTAAATTGTATGGACTCCGTGCTGCAAGTACGCGCGAGAACTCAACTTGAACTCAAACTCTCGTGCATCACACGACAGGTTATGTGATGGATATACATATATATACTTGTGCATGATGATGTGTGTGGTGGTAGGTGGTTATGGAAAAGGTGCGATTGAGGGGAAGGAATGAATACTAGAGGATGGAATGTGCACGTAAATTTTACTACATTTTATTGAGTGTAGACGTGTAGAGTGGGTGAAGAGGGGGCAATCACTGATAGAAATTTAAAAAATTATAGTGCAGTCCCATTTCTGCTCCTGCAATTTTTCACCTCTCGACCAAAGAGAAATACACCGAGAGGATTTGTCGGGAAGCGATCTCCGGTCGATGGTTGCCCTCTCTGTTTCTATCTCTCTCTCTCTCTCTCTCCTTCTCCCTCTCAAGTATCCTGCGATTTTCAATTAACCCGCGCCGTTTTCGACCTCAACCTCCTTCACCATTTCTCTCTCTCGTTCTCACTCCCTCGCTGCCTCTTCAGGGAGTTTCGCCTCCTTTCAGTGCCCTGGGAGAAGCACATCCAAGGTATCCGAGCGACCCTATATCGATTTCGTGAAATCGACGGCGAACATTTGCGCTTCAGTCCCGATGCGACGACGTCACCTCTTTTCCCTTTGCCGTCCTCAATGCCCTCTTGAGTTGGAGAGAAGCAGCTCCCAATTTCTGCGTTGATACTCCACTCACGACGGGTCTGCCAGATATTCTACCAGTCGTTGAGTTTCCTCGCACCACTTCCTGCAACCACCGTTTCCCCCGTAGTTTACCTGCTATATTCCCGCACAAACCTTCCACCACTATTTTTATCCTCCTCCTCCTCCTCCTCTCACCTCTTTCTCACTGCTTTGCGCGCCTGCCTGTTACTCTTCTTGTAAACCTTCGTGGAAACAATTTGCATATTCATTAAATATTCGCATCAATGCTGCCCATAAATTTGGCAAGAAGACGGTATAGTTCATATATTTGTCCCGAGAATATTTTCATCAGGGATTTACTCCCAGACCATTTCAATAATAATTTATAAATTTTCCACTCAACTCACTAACCAAAGAAACAGTCTGCAGTTAACGACTTAAATTTCCGACAAATTTGCATCTTGACCATTTTCAGGTTGCTAATTTATCGTTAGATCTGTCTCCTCCCACGTATAGAAGTAACCGAATAATCAGGATTGGGCGTGGAGACGTACAAGAGTTTATGGCCGGAAAGTTCTGCATCTGTAGCTAAGTGTTGGTTATAATATAGCTATAGGTGGTGTAGCAGGGCTGATGGAAGGTGAGGACGAGGCCGCCTTATTAGGAGTGGATTTGCGTATCAAGTGTGTGTTATATACAAGTAAGTATCTTTGGGCGTCTGTATCGTATTCACCTCAACACCTGCATGCGCTACAACCCTACGAGTGGTAAGCAGAGAGAGAGAGATAAGTTTAGGCAGACTCGTTAGTCGACTTTAAACTATGACTACCATCAGACGGTTAAGATCTCGACCTAAGGTGCCAAGTTCAGCCATCTCCATTCCTCCTTCACTTTCTCATACCCGCACCGTAATCATCAACTGTACTGTCTCTATTACCTACTCACAGCTCCCGTCCTGTATCATACGTACACGTAAGCTAGTTATTCCGCACACCCAATAGGGAGACATTTTCATCCAAACACAAATTGTTATGTGTCTCCTCTTTCTGTGTGTATATTCGCCATTTCTTTGCTTGCTAAAATTATGCATTTTCTTGTCACGCCTTTAGAACAAGAGCCGACTGAATACTGATGCTGTGTGTAATAGTTTGTAAACTGGGTCTCCGTGCACCAGACTGGCCACAACTTGTACGAGTATATGCGCATCCTCCATGCTAAAACTACATTCTACTACAGTAAAAACCCAAGGCATAGAAAGTCGTATAAGTATCTTCAATATCTCTTGTGATAAGGGTGTCAAGCTGCGATTCTTGTTTCACCGTCATTGCGATTGTCGCAAACACATCATCCTCTATATATAAAAAAATAGAACAGTTGTCTCTCCTAGTGCACTCAATAACTGCTTCCCTTCAACTCCTTTATATTTCCAATGCAGTGTACACCAAATAGACACACATTCATATACGAACACATAGATTTGGAAACCTCCATTATTCATATACCTTGTTCGCGCATCGCTGCTCAACGCCGTCTCGAGTATTGCACGCTCAATATAGAGGGGCCACTTCCTCCGCGCTATACCACCTACACTGCAGTGAAAATCCTCCCGTTGGCTGTTGTGTACTCGTAAATGGAGGGAGGCGGAAGACGATACGAACCCGAACCAAGTGAGAAGAAATGGAAAATAAATATGAAGAAAAAAATGTCAACAAACGCCCATCACATAAACCCTTCTCTCTCTATTTCGGTTTTCTTCGCCAATTTTTTTTTATTCTCCATTTTTACTCCGATATTCTTGCTCTCAGCTGTGTCGTGTCGCGGTTACTAGCGTCGTCCCATTTCTCCTAGTGGATCGATTTCAACTTCACCAACGGCCCCACCAACCAGGTATATAACGTCGAATAATTACTCGGTCGTAATTACTTCGCCGAGTCTAGCGAAAAAATAGAAAGAAAAAAAACTAACTCTGGACAAAAAAAATTAATGACCTGTATATTTCCCTTTTTCGGTGTTCATTTTCCCTTGGTACTCCCTTCGATTCTGTTTTCATAGAATTTATAATATGTCGCCACCCATTACTCACATTCCAAATATTATTTATCTATTCAAATGAAGCCAGTAGGTTGAAAATTCCCATTGAGAAATTAACAGTAAAATCTCTGGTGTTTCCTGTGTCCCTTCTGTAGCATGAGTTATACTCTACCGAGTCCTTTACTTGGTGAGATCGTCGCCCGGACGTGTAAACTGCCTCGATCCTTGCCACATCCCTCGGGGTTACACTACAGAGCTCGTGATTAAGTTCCTTGGAAATTTCGTGTAGTCCCTCAGAGAGAAACGACAACGATGATGCACTGGGAGTTCAACTGTTCTCCATCTTACTTTTAAACTCACACCGCTGTATTCGAGAGAATGGTGAAATTGAAGATATTGTTTCAATGTCCGACTATACTCGGAGTAAACTACGTGAAACGGATATTTTCCTTCAGTTCTGTGGCCAATCTGTGATGTTCTCACTTCAATGCCGATGAATTTATTCACATAATTAATAAAAACATGTATTATTGATACATGTCGCGTCGTGTGAAGAGAGAGGCCACTCGGGATAGAGTGCTAGATTGAGTAGAAAGGCAGTGCAGTTCACGACTTGCATCTGTATGTATATAAAGTGAGTTGGACGTGTTGAAGTTTCCGTTTCGTTCGATTTGGACCAGTGAACTGTACATCACGAGAATCGGGACCCATGACTATACATAGGGATCTGCCTCTGCACAGGTATCTGTATATCTGACTATTTCACATTTACACTCAATCGTTTTAACCCCCAGTTAAGGATGAGAGCTTGCAAGATAAATTGGTGTGATAAATTTCATGATTTTCTATACATACTTTCGCCGTCGAAATCAAAGGGCGGAGACGAAGCAAAATAAAAGGCATATAAACGTTGGGGTATTGGTCTCATTCAAACACGTTGAAGCCATGTTGGAAAGTGCGCTGCGAGATGAAAATAGGGGATATGAGAGTGTGGATATGGAACGTTTGGGTATAGTGGAGACCAGGGAAGAAAGTTGAAGAGATAAAGGTTAGTCGTAAACTCGGACGCTCGTGTACTTTTCTTGTTTATTTTTTTTCTGTTCTTTCTCTCTTTGCTTTGTTCCATTTTCTCTTCTCCAAGTCCCCCTCGAACGCCCTTATTACTGCTGGTTCTGCTCAGTGGCTGCGTGCTTACCACTGGGACTGAACTCTCGACTGTTTTTCGCGTAATTAGAAGCCGGATAATTTATTAACCAGCGTCTGCGCTCGCGTCGAGATACGTTAGCGCGACATATTCTATATTCTGAGATTTTTTACAAGGTATTTTATCGGTGAATCTTGTACGTGGAATATATATATTTTTTTTATATGCTTAATTTGCTTCTATTGCCACAGGAATATGGTTTTTAAAGGTGCTAAAAGTTGCATGAAATACAGTAACATGAAAATTGTTGCAAAATATGTGGGATGTACAATAATAACTGCACATTATATAGCAACGATTATATGTGATAATGTGGATTACTAGGAAAGTCGTCAACGATGAATACACGCGGGCGTTTATGGTCGCTGCAAGTATACCAACATACGTATCCAAGTATAAAATTGTAATTCACTCTTGTACAACATGAGCACACTTGGAGAATGTGTGTATAATAGAGTTCACGATTACAAATAGCGAGACCATTAAATTTTATCATTTTAATTTATTCTAAATTGGAATTGTCAACATATTTCAACGTGAAATGAAAATGGAAATGAATTTTCACAAGTAAAATTATGTTATGATGGGGAATTATCCAACGTAAATACAAACATGAGATAAACATAACAGTTGAAATGTGTAAGGACTAGGTACCTATATGTATAGTACATATAGGAATCAACCTACTACTCGGTGGATAAACGTTTCGGAGCGTTCCCTGAGCTTGCTATCGCATCCGGCGGCTTTCCGTCTGGCGGAAGGTCGTGGCGTACACCGAGAAATTACCGGATTAACCTCGTCTTCTCTTCCTTCATGCTTCAAGGGACATAGACATGTGGCAGACCCGTTAAAATAGTTAGATTGTATTGTCAAAGAGTTCCCGGGAGATGGATGATACAGAGTTGTTGATAGGGATTTATGCAGTGAGAAAATTTCTGCCTGGATAATATCATGTTTCCATACGTACAATTTGCTCTATAAATTCAGGGCCAATGAGAAAAAACTTTATGACATTTTTCTCATTTCGATAATCTCAGTGAAAATGTCATAATGATACGTGGAAATCTTTAATTGTTGTATTCTCTTGTCACCGTGATACTGTCACAATAGTTATTTTGGCAGGAAATATTCCACTGACTTACACGCATCCTACGCTAACCCTGTACTTGCACACGATCACTTTCATTTCTTGTGCACCCTGCCACGAGTTTAGGTCACCCCCCTATATTCTCGTCACGCGCAGGTCTTTGCATTCACATGTCACACGCAGAGCTCTCCGGGTAATTCTAAACTATATGTACAGCACAATGCTTCATAGAGAATGTTAGACTGGCTTGACACATGTATTACATTCACCAAAGACTTTATCGATGTGCTGATGGAAGAAAATATTTCAATTTTTTCTCGCATTTGTTCTTGGAAAATACACATTCTTATCAATTTACCTATAAATTGGTGTTATGTCGGGTCGACGTTCTGATGCTTTGTACCACACAACTAAAACTGCTGAGTCGTTTGGCTGAGGGGGCCGTATGTCACATGGTAGCTCTGCTACACCATCCACAACTGCTCTCACCTGGACTGCGGGTCCTGCAATCAATAACGACAAATTCTCATTTTTGCTGACTGTGTGATTTTTTCAATATTTTTGTTTGCCAGTAATTTTTTAAAATAAATAACCCTGTCAACTGGTAAACATGAGTATCCGCAGTGGAGGATTCATTTGTTTAGTCAGACGGGGAAACTATTTTCGATATACGCCATGGAAAAAATTGGAAAACCTAGAAAAAAAAAGTTTGATCATTCGGGTCGTTTATAGAGTAGCATATGCGAAAGTTCAAGGTAGTAGCTGAATTTGCTTTCGTGTGCCGACGGGCCTCATTGCTGTGCAAAATTGTTTCATGGTTGAATATTACTGTGTTATGATCAGGAAAATGGGGCAGTGAGAAAAAGGGAAGAAGAAAAAAGGAAAAAAAAAACAAAACGTGGAGAAATGATTGCGCCAAGTTGGCGAAAATCTAATCGAGAATTATACATGTATGTGCACTTGGACTATGGGGTTGGATTCGTTGTACGTGCCTGTTCGGTATCGCGATCGCTAAAATGAACTCTTTCCTCTTTTACTCCTTTTTTCATTCATTCTCTTGAAGAAACGGCTTTTCTTTTGTCTTTTCATCGACCTTTAAGACTCGTTATCGCCAATGCGTGCTCACGTGAACGTACACTGTATATCCTTCCGTTTTCGAATCATTTCTGTGGTAAAACGTTGAAACGGTTAAAGTGTATATTCCCTGGAAAATCGACTCTGGAGATGACCACAATAATTTCTGCGGTCCTTCTAAAAAGTGTTGCTGATTTTGTCTTTTCGTACAATTGCTGACAATTTCACAGCTCAAGTCCCTGTAACCCAATATATATGCACGTGCCACACAAAATCATTATTGTTATAGTAGGCGAGGCGGGAGGGGTTCATTTAACGTTAATGGCATTAGACTTAGGGTGGGCATGAAATGCTTTTACTTATATCAACCTATACATCATAACTATTCTGTGGTTTAGCCCGGGATGTCATGTTTCTCATTCTCTATAGTGTACTCTCCACCAGTCGTTCTGTTCTACACTCCTAAAACTCTGTCTCTTTCCCATGTACACCAAACGAAGCATCTGAAACACCGGTTTTACCACCGCCAAGCAAAATTTCCCCTGGGCTAACCTCGTCGGATTATGAATGCGCTGAAGGATATGTCTCTGTGTTAGGCTGTACTGTCTCACTCTCCCACTCATTATTGATACAGGCTTTTAGGAGAATTAAAAATCCCCAAGTCCCAATGTTTTACTGTACTCTCTTGTATTTATTTGGATGACTACAGCTATCGATATCATCGTACTATCAGTTTACCTCGATCGTGCGTTTGTGCATTGAAATAATCCAACTAGGCTCCCCTTTAGCCCTAGTAAGCTCATAATCTCCCGGTCAGACGGTGGTGAGAAGCCGCACGAGTGACCATCAGATATCCATTGCGACCCTAGCAAATTTGTCCCGCTAGTCGTTGGCGTTGTACAGAAATGGAAAATCTACGTCAAAATAAATGTTTTTTTTTGTATTTTCTCACACGAAAATTTTATGGGACTCGCATAAGTGAATAAACCCGCATTTTGCGATGGAGCAATACAAATATAAATGTTCTCCCTCGTCTCTCACTAAAAGACAGAAATTAGTCAACTTTTAATCGTCTGTTCAGTGACACCATTTCTCGACTTTCCGTATGTTCCCACTGGTAAACATGCACTTGAAAAGTTTATACGTTTGCATTGATGCATGTAGGCCCGGATGGCGTTTCAGGATTTTCCTGAATTCGTGGGGCGTGTAGGTACAACCACGCGATCGTATATATAATACTAGGTACCAACATTCGTGCACGTCAAAGAGAGGCATTAAACGCGTTTCACTCAAACTTCCGAAACGTCGGACATGCTCGGCGTTGGTTGGTGCATTCCTCCTTTATCGCCGTCCGCTGCTCGGTCCGTCCTCTCCCTCCCTCTCCTTGCCTCCTCTTTCACTCTTCTCCCGTATCCTTTGCCATTTTCTTCTCTCAGTACACTCTATCTTTCGTTCTTTCAACTTTTTCCATTACACCATTACGAACATCGTGGAGTATCCTTGCTCTGTGGAATTTTCTCCTTATTTTTTTCTCCTTGCTTTTGCACTGTAGCTATGTATTTTTCCTGCCCTTCAACACTGCTTTTGTCGAAATCCTCGCCATTCTTGCTGTTTCTCGTTTCCTCTAATTACCATTAAAACAAACGGCGCAGCTGTATTGCAACGGAGCCTCCCCTCAATATGAACGACAAATAATTTTCCCTTGCACTTGAAACTTGCGATGAGCGCACACAACGGCACGCCTTGACAAATGTACATGGGAAATCTATATTCAGTCTCTACCTCTTACCTTTTTCCTCGGTTAAAGAAAAATCTACAGCCAGTATAATTGAATGACACTGGCAATTAGTCATTATAAATATAGTACAATAGTATATTTTCTAATTTCACTCTGGACGCATAGAGTGATGAGAAAACAGTCGCAATGATTTTGCTTTTAAGACCGAAGGGTGAATACCGAATACTGAGGATACGGTTCTTTTGGGGCTTTACGAGAGATTCATGCTCGATTTCAAAGCCGATAAGTATGCTCGTAAAGATAAAGGCCCAAAGATAGCTCGATGGATTTAGAGAGGAGCTGTAGTTCTACTCCTCCGCGTTCATTTTATGCTTCTCTTTTTCTACACCTAAATCCCAGAGATGCAATCATTTTAACACAAATTATCTATATCACATACGTGCTTGTATGAAACAACATTTTTTCCGTGTCCCTCTGATATTGGGAAATTGCATTCTCTTCATTAGACGCTCTGTATTTTCTCACCAAAACTTTGTCGTCCTGCATCCCGTCCCTATTTTGTCTGCTGCCACCCTTATTCGGATTTTCCTTCTCCCTGCTCCTCTCACTCTCTCGCCTTCCTTCTCCTTTTTTACCTTACCACCCTCGCTTGCTTGTCGAAAGTTTGAACCGAGTGGCGTGCTTCGTCTCCATCATGGCGAACGCCTCGCTTCAAGTTACCACCGCGAAACGCTTCCGAACTAACCGCAGGACCGCACCTCCTCAGGCGGAGTAGAACCCTCCAAACGCGTTTACTATGGTTCCCCTTCTATTTTCACCATCTCTCTCCCACTTTCGTACACCCGCCCGATCTTGCCTCCATCCCCCGTACGATCTATCCTCATTCATGGGAAAGTTTCATTGGATTTAACGGAAAGGCATTGTCTTGCTTGAATTGTTGCGGCACTTCCGACAAGTCAGCCGTAACGTCTATTGCAATTGTCTTGATTGTAGCGGATTATATCAGTTTAGTAAAAGCATATTTATAACTATTATGAATGACAAGAGTCGAAAGGAACAATCAAATATCAATTTATTCCTCATAAATCATCGAGCTACAAATTGAAATTGGAATTTTGATGACAAGAATTTAGGGTAAGCCTAAATAGTACAGTTATCATCTGGAAATTCATGTCACGTATAGAGCAGTGTACGTGATTATCCTTCGAAAGCCCGCATGCTTGTATAATAAATATCCTTCTGGCCATTGTGGATCTGTGAGTCAACCAACAATGGGCTTGACCCAAGAGAAATCATTTTGTTCTATCAAGCCACGCGTGCTTGTCAGATCCTTTATTTTTCTTTTTCATTATTTATACCCTTCTTTACTTGGATATTCAAAAGCTACCTCAGCCTTTTTCTATCAATAGAAGGGTATATATCATATTGAGAGTCTCTCCCTTCAACTGGAGCTATACAATGATTCAATGGAAAAATCAGAGATGGCGTCATCGAATCGAACATCCGTATTGTCTTCCGTTTTCAGACTCACCACCTTTTACGGCACTTGTTCTCTTTCGGGTTCATACGAATTCGGAGAGCCGATAATTTTGTGCCCCAGTCGCGTGGAAACAACGTGGCGGACATTCTCAGGTTTGTGTAATACTCATCTTACATATTCTGGCTGTTGGCCAAACCTTGTAAATCCCAAAATTACACGAGGAAAGTCGAGATTTTTCTACTGCGCCGCACTCTTCGCATTTCTCTCTCCCCGTCCACTTTATTTCATGTTGATTTTTTTCTCTCCCTCCCTGAAGGGAGAAGTGCTTTTAGATGATACTCACTTTCCTTCTGACTGCGGGTTTTATACCTTCTTGCAATTTTTAAGCAACCTTTCAACTGTAGAATGATTTAGTAATGAGTCGGGAGAATCCTACTCTTCAACTTGATCTGGTAATATTATTTGGTAACTAGTTGTACTGAAATACATTTTGTACGGCACACAAAAGAGAGAAGTGGTCAGACGAAGGATGCGAGAACAGCCAATTTAATGAGAGCCGGAGCAAAGCCTAGCACTGATGTTTGAGTTATGCTAGAGTGAATTCGTTGTCACAAGGTGTTTCTGCTTGACAGCTCCACAAAAGGTAGCCCGCACGCACTCTTGGAGACCATACGTGCTGGTATACAATTGACCACAAAAGACTGTAACATTGTGCAAAGTGCAGAGAGAATAGCTTTTTTCATCTCAACTCTGTTCGTTTTAAAATTAAAAGTACTTCTCATTTCCAAACTGTCCAAAAGAAACTTCAAATTACTTACTCTCATGGAGACTCAATTACGATGGAATCTGTGTTACTGAGCAGACTAAACTCATTTGATTGTTTTATTTCCCACAGCTTTGGTAGAGGGAATTGATTTTGAAATTGGTATTTTGGGTCGAGAATTGATTACGTGGCTTTGACGAAGGTTCTGACGAGTCATCAATAGAGTTTGATAAAGAAAATCGAGGGAAAGGGAAGCCGAGAAAACTTGGCCACCAGGGTCTAGCAAATCTTCGCAACCACGAGTGGGCGTAAATCAAAATTGGCAGGTACAAAATTGCGACAGCTCTTGGGTTGGTGAGCTTCGTGAACCGTAGAAAGAGGGCTCGACAAAGTGTAGTAAATCTGAGAGCCACGCTGGAAGAAGTAGTACGGAAAAGTTTTCATGCGG